TCAAAAACAGGCAAAGCGAAATCAAGTGGAAATGATCAAAAAAAGCTATTCGGATTTGTCTATCAGTAGTGTTGAAAAGAGCCCACAGAAACATGAGGTAAATAATGTTACACAGCGCAAAACTACACCTGAAGCTGAACGTGATAAAGAGAAAACAGGGTCTAGACCTAATTCTGGGCCACCAACAGTGATAAAAGGAGACGTCACGGGTAAAGTAAAAACCACGACAGAAAAAATAAGTTTAAGAAGGGGGCATCCCGTTGAAATTCGACTGCCTTCTCCAAATGAAGAAATCAATGACACTGACGGTGTAACAGAGTATATGCATAGTGACGAAGTAACAGAAATATTTTCCCATGCGGAAGATAGATTTGCATTAGGCGCAAATTCAGAAAAGAGGACATATATTGTTAATAAAAATTCACTTTTTAGCAGCTCAAAGCAAAATTGCTTTCAGATCGTGTTTCCTGATGAGGTTAACAAATTAGAAAGTCCAAGAGCAACAAACTCGAACCCTTACATCCCAGGATGGTTGTCACCTGTCCCGTTTTCTACTGTCGACTTGTCTCTGGTGTACTATACGCCAGAACACAGCCCACTCACATCCCCTACACCACATATGGATCACGTTACCCGCAGAAGAAGCGAATTCTTCAAAAGAGAACAAAACGAAGATTTTTGACGCATATAGGGCTGTTGCTTGAACTTTTGGCAAGAGCTTCAGCATAAACCTTGGATGTAAGCGAACCAAGTTTGAAATTTTATGTTTGAAACATCAATGTGTTGATTATGAACATCTCATGTCGTCTAAGTAATTTTAGGATTAAATCTCAAAGGGGATAAATGTGTTGCGAAATAATACACATTTTAAACAGACAGGTGAAGAAGCATGTGTATAAATTAAAATCTGTCAGGTTTGAAACACTGGAAAGCGGGGAGATATTTCATGAGCTTGGCGATTTTCAGAACTTGATGACAGCTGTAAACAACCAACAAAGCAACGGGCAGCCAACCAAAATATGAACCAAATTATATTTTTTATCAATTAGAAAGTTGGAAGCTAAACAGATAACACTAAACTTTACATCCTAGTTAAAAATTCTTACTGATGAATAGATCTTTTCCTAGAGATGACATGGTAAAAAGGATTCCCTAAAAAGGAGTAATGAAGGCTGTCTCGAAGTATTCAAACAGTTTGCAGAGAGATAACATCATTGCTAATTATTGCATTTTAGAATTTTTTAGTTGAATATGAAACATAGAGTATGAATAAACAATGTAAACGTTCATAAACATTTAAATTTTCAGTACACTAAATTTTCAGTAGCCTTCGCATATCGAGGTTTTTAGGGTGATTATTCACTCTGCCGATGTCTAATATAGGCACATGGCTAGAGCGCTTCAAAATGCTCAACCTCGCTTATTGTTTGTGTTAGTTTGGTCAACTTTAATGTTTAGTCAATGGAAAATTCTAAATTGTCAAGAGCAGCAAAAGATGTATTGGGATTTAGATTATTGCCTTTCTTTGCATACGAGGCTGGACATGATTTAATATCATTGTTCGTAATGAAGATCAATACGACTAGGACAATAGCAGTTTGAAATAATTTACCGCTATTAGATGTAAAAGCAGCTGAATTGCTTCCCTGTTTACAAAAACTTGTTTGTTACTTCCTCGCTTAAACTGGACCTAAGGCCCTTAAGTCATGGTAAATAGGCATTCTCTGTAGGGGAATCATTTGCTTCCATCGTCATCGCTGATGTTTTGTGTGATATCGACAGGCGTTGTTTACATTTAGCAATTGCTGGAACCTGTTTTGAAAATCAGTACAAGTTGGGTTCATGTGATCAGCCCGAGGTCCACCAATAGCAATGCAGAACTACTGCCGTGGCTCAGCGTATTTGGTGTATTTGGTACAACTCGTTACGTTGGAACAAAGTGGCGCTTGAGGCGATAACGCATATTTTATCATGGGGCATCTAGCATTTTAATATAAAATTTTGATAACATTGTTTTTCGGGAAAAGCGGCAGTTGCATCATTGGGGAAAAGATATGAAGAATAAAGAAACAATTTTCAGGAAGTTGGATATTCAAGAAAACTTCTGGAGACACTGAGAGCAATACCATGTTGGTTTACTGCGTGCAACAGATTGGAATCGTTCGGTAACAAAAAATGAATAACAAAAAATGTCGAAGCGCTCGCTATTAAAGCTGAATTGAATATCATTTGAGTGAAGAAAGGGAAATATGCTAATGTAAAACAGTTGATATTGACAAAATAGAACTTAAGGAGAATGTGTATTTCCTTAAAATGTGTATCACATGGAAGAAATTCTCAGTAAAAAAGAGACATGGTGTCTAGAACACTGGTCAAAGCCAGAGCGGGTGTAATGGTGAAAATGATGAGTTGCTTTTGCAGGGATTTGAATATTTATTTAGAAAACGTTTTGCCAATTAATAATCCTTGATTTTCATAGTATATATGTGAGTAGATTGCAAAGATAATTGTTTCTATCTGCTACGATCTTCGAAAGCCTGGGTATTAAAGGAACTTCACAAAAACGAGATTGTAAGATTGTCATAGATCAAAGTGAGAATCAAATTAGAATCCTTAGGGCCTGTTTACATGAAGTAGGCTAGCCCACTTAAGTTGGCTGGTCAACTCGAGTGGGATCCATGCTTTCTATACATTGTTTTGTTCTCTGTATTTGCGTTTACATGGAGAGTGGGCCAGCCCGCTCAGGTGAGATCTGCGAGAAGGACAGGTGGGATCCGCGTCAGCTGTGATGGAAATTATCCACGTGAAGGCAATCAGATGGGCTAGCCCACTCACTGAAAGTCGATGCGCCTGCGTAGAGGAAGTTGGCGCCAAACTAAACCAAATCGTAATGTCGTATGTATCGAAAGGAACAGTTCGATAGATCGAAAACAGAATCAGAATTCCGTCTTAAGTGGAATCACAGAATCAAACTTAATTGGGCTAGCCCACTTCAGGTAAACAGGCCCTTAGAGGAGAAGCTCGAAAGAATGTAAGCCTTAAACGACAGTGCGAATCAAGATGAACTAAAGATTAGGTTTATCAGGTCTAAGATAGCTCGAGAAAGTGGAACCGCAGTTTACAAATGGTTTAAAAGAAGTTACAAGTCTTATGAATATACATGTATTCATATAGTTATCAAGTGATCATCGAAATAAATTCCACTCACTGATAAGTGTCTCGAAGCAAGATATAAACCAGATTAATACAGGAAATTGCTTATACAAAAACTCTTTGACAATCATCGTGGAATAATACAGCACCACAACTGTACTGAGAAGACTCCTTCTCATGACCACATGGTCGATAATAGACGAATCCTTTTTAAAGTTCAGGACTCATGAATACGCAGTGTAATCTTAAAAAATCACGTGATTAGCTCTTAATTGATTAAAATGTTTGTAGCAGTAGGTTGACGATTTCTTTCATAAGTTGATACGTCAGCTCAGCCAAATACTGCTTACACGGGGTTCTGCTTAATATTTTATTCAGAGGGGAATATTGCATTGGGAGCCTCATTTCAGTTGAAAAATAGAGGATGTGAGAGATAAACGAGACTAGGCCAGCTCGAAGACGCCTTCCTTAATCAGACTTGTTTTTTTACACTATTTACTAGCCATGAGAATCTGCTTGACCCTTCTCAATGATAGAAAGACTCATCTACAGGATTATCCGGCCAAAGACAAGAAATTCTGTTTTTCTTGCATAATTCATAAGAAATTTGAAACGCATGTTAAATTTCCCATAGAGCGCTGTTCTCTAGAGTTCAGCTTTACAAGAACGGCTTTTAAGAAACACCGAGGGCAATCAATTGCTGTTGTACGGCAGAAGAGCAAAAAATGAGCAAATAGTGACATGGTACCGAATGCGAAAGATCACAGCTCGTGAGAACTCTGAAGGAATGCGAAAAATTGCCATATTGGCCGACTAACGAGCCAAGGCAAAAAGACTTAGAAAATAATATCCTCTTCTATTTCTTATAGCAATATAAACAATATAACAAAGCTGTTAGAAAATGAAAACGATGTAAAATAACATTAGAAATGAAACATAATAGATGCAAGTATTTTTATAAAAAACTAAGGTTCGGTGCTGGTAGGCAGTTTCTTAAATTTTCTGGCCATTTTGCTATCAGAAGTTTCTTACATGTTTCTTAAATTTCTTAGGTAATGAATTTTTTAAACGTGCTTCCAAGGTAAAGTAAATAGTTCACTCGCATTAAGAGATAAACTAACAAAGTGATCAAGGAATGTTGTTTTCCTAGAATGACTAACTCTGTTGATATCTGTAAACAGCTAAGCTCATTGAACTTCATCAATGTCAAGTTGAAATCAAAACAAATTTTTAAATGGAAACTTCTTGAGTGTGCAATTTACTGAGAATGAATGCAAACTTCGTGTCAAGTGTAGTGTTGCAATATACAGTGATATTCAATGTCAAGACTGTTTCGAGTGTCAACTCGGAAAATCAAAACTGCAAATTATAAAAGTTTCTTGTCTTTTTTCAATTTGGGTAGGGTTGTTTTTAACTTTCGAAAATTGAGCCTAACGTTTCTTATAACCTGCTTCTCATAAATGGGTGTAATGTAATATAACATATGATGTAGTCTAACATAATTCTAACTTAGCATTAGTTATAACGTTCACAATAGAACAAAGTTTTGAAATTACGATAAAAAGGTGCGAGGATGGCTCAGTTGTTAGAGGCTCTAACTACAGACCCAAGGGTCCGTGGTTTGGAAACTTCACCCAGAGTGGGGAAAGTCGTCAGCTTTCTGTAATTCCAAGCGTAGGAATCACGAGGTGTGGTCCAGAGGAAGGACCAGGACACTGCTCGATAAGCATAGCTTCTCAGTGTCCTAAAAACTACCTTCGGATGCTAGATAGCAACAAATACAAATACAAATACAGATAAGAAACTATATATTGTAGCTTTAATGAAATAAACCAATTTTCTCTTACCTCCGTTTTTTTATCCAGTGGAGCTGGTAAATCTATCTCTAGAATATCCTTGATGTTGCAAAGGACTGTTTTTTCAACATCCCTGTAAAGGAGAAGAGAGAGCGTCTATAAAGAAGCTGTTCAGGGCTTATGAATACGTTGTAGGTATTCAAACAAGTACATAGATTTCAATACAAAAAAAACAGATCATATCTAGATAAATAACAACACCAAGATAAATTAGATGACAAACAAATGTATTTGTCTTTGAAAATAACTATTCACTAAATGGTGAAGATTTCCATCTGAGATCACTCAAAATTAACCAATGTTCGTATAATGTTCAGATAGATAGTACGATTTACCGAAAAATATCACCATATTAAATCTTCTAGAGAAGGAGATGGTTGGCTCTCTAGCACTGCATGTTAAGCATTCCAATTTCTTATGACATTAAAACAAACTGAAAATCACACCATAAACAACTATGGTGACAAAACGTGACTTAATATCCCAAAAAACATTCTACTAAACATTTCTCTAAACATTTGTTTAATCAAGACGGATGACGTTTAGCGATGGTGCAAAATGTGACTAAACATTTCAATAAAAATTCCACTGAACATTTCTCTAAACGTTTGTTCAATCAAGCTATGTGAAGTTTAGTGATAGTGAAAAAATGTGACTTAACTTCTCATTGAACTACAAAAAACTTCTTAATTGTGCAGGGGTAGGGGAGTTTGGCGGGAAATTTGCTTTCTGTTTGTTTTGTTGTAAAAAGTAAGTAATGAAGAAAGATACGAATCATAGAATCTTGCCCCAGATCTGTTAGCGATGTAACTGACTGAAGAAACCTCCAATAAAGGCGAATGGACTCAAAGGGATAAAAAGATGGCAGAGAAAAGGTTTTTGGTATTCTGAAGAAACAGTGGCGAACGGAGATGATGCCTCAAGAACACTTTCTAGAGCTTTTGAGTCACCTATAGACAAGATAACCTATTGATTTCTAAAAGATACCGTGCCTGCACTAGCACAACAAACGTTAAATTGGTGCCAAAACGACTGAACCAATGCTAAACATCACCAAACAACGCTAAACTTTTCGACCTGCTTCGAAAAATTTCAAACTTTGCTCAACAATACTCAACATGACTAAACAACACTAAGCAAAGGTTGAATGAATTGTTTAGTGAAACATCAAGTGCAATCTTCAGTGGTTTGATGAATGCAAGAAGGATAAATGTCTTACCATAGAGCGATATCGTGGTTCCATTTGCTACGAAGAGGACCAACGACTAGAAGGAATATAATCTGTTCTTAATTATATTTGAAGATTTTTTGTCATTTGTGCTAAACATAGTCACAGAATAGGGTAACTTTATTTTCTCTTGATAAACTTTGCCATGACATCGCCTGTTACAATATTCGGTGATCCCTTGTTGGAAATTGACATAATCATAGGCTTAATTGGTCTGATTCAAGTTTTCACTCTAGGTTTAAAAATATTCCAAGACATATGCATGAAAGTTCTAAGTGAAAGCATGCACTAAAATGTCCAGGCTTCATCTGCTGTACAAGAGTTGCCCTTCTGTCTAATTCCTATTCTGTGACATACAATCATTGCAAAAGTACTTATAAATTCCAGCAATTTGCGTGGCATTTCATATCTTTCATTTCTTTCCCAAAAAAATTACTACTTCCGGCACCTTCACCTTAGAAAAATGTTGATAGTCTAGACAAATATCATAAAGGAAACTCAAAAAGGTACTTCTCAATTCCCTAACCTGTTTTATAGTAACCCAACATTGTTTCGTGGGGTGTTGGGGAGGCTGAATTTGACATTGCAAACCGACGTCAGTGTTTCAAGACTTTGGCAGGCATTCAGTGGCGTAGCGATGGGGAGGCAAGAGGATGCGGATGCCCCCTCAATGACAAAAACCTCTTTGAAAAAGGGCGTATTCTGGCGTTAAAAAGAGCATGGATCCCCAATTTTCTCTGGCTCAAATTGCCTTTGCCCCCAGACCAAAGTTATATGTTTTTTGCGACTTTCGATGTCATAGCGGCAACTTGACTATACCCAATTGTCTTTTCCGAGCGTATTATGTTATATCCTTGAAAGCAATTGCCAAAGTAACAAAACATTTTAGAATAAATGGTGCAAGCAATTGAGAGAATGTCCAAGCATGTTCGATGGCATGATATCAAGTTGAAAATACATTTACTTCAACTATATTTTAGCATTCATTTAAATACCAAATTGATTTAAAAATACGCATACCTTGATCTGGACCTAAAAACCGACACACCGGCAACGATCTTGGCTGCGAAGGGGCAATCGTAACCAGTAACGAAGCTTTGCTCCCTAAAATTTAGTAAAGAAGCACATGTAAGGTCAATTCCAGAAGGTAAAAAGTGTAACATATATTACTTTGACATAATCGCATCACCTACCAAATCTGAAAAAACACAAACTTGAGCCCTAATTTTCTTAATGGCAAGGTAGAAAGAAGGGATAAAAAGATATTGTTGCAATGAATCCAGAACTCAAAAATTACTGCCACCCCACTAGTACTGGGGGCATTTATTGGACTACATCTATTTTCTATTTTCAGGAAGCTTTATTTATCACGGAATATTCATGCTGGCGGCTGTTAACTGAGATTTTATTGCCGAAGGAAAATCAGTTGAATTTGCACAATTCCTGGTTAAGAATGAATTCCAAACCAATTTATGGGAGAGAAAACTTATAGAAGCAAACAAGCTTTCATAAAAATTGTTTAGATTAAATGAATATATCACTTCAAAAAAGGAAATATGCATGTAGTGAGAAAGGTGGAGCGGCCTGTGATTCGTTTGGTTAGGTAGAAACTCCATGGATGGTTAACAAAACATAAAAGGTAGACACAAAATCATTCGTTCATTACCAAGGGCGACTCTGCGAAAACAGCACGACCACGACTGGGTCTCTGGCTCAAGCACCCAGCAATTCTCGTCAAATTCTCCAATTATGTCCCAAAAATCTTGGTGTTTCTCCAGTTCCTACGAATGTAACCACAATCAATACATCAGCAAATGATGTAACATCAGACGATGAATATCGGGTTGAGCACATTATACTACGGGAGATAATGGAGAGCAAAATGAATAGAAAATGGAAAGATATTGATATAAATACATAAGAGTAATAGTAAATATCAGTGGCGGTTTTAAGGGGGTCCAGGGGGGCCATGGTCCCAGGCCCCACGCTAATGGTAGTCAAAAAAGGCCCCACACCCAAGAAAAAAGATAGGAAATATAAAGAACAAGGGCCCCGCAGATTTTTTTGGCGCCGGGCCTCGCAGTCCCTAAAACCGACACTGGTTAACATATGAGATATAAATAAAATACATCATCGGTGATCCATAAATTCAAAAGAAGAGCTCGACAGCAGCATCATAGTTTAAGGGCGGGGGGGGGTGCAATGGTTTTTACGCTTAGAAAGTGAAAAAGACGAAGTTCGTCTCCGCTGAAACGGAAGTTGTCTAGCGGATAGTTTTGAGTAGCACAAGTATAGCTTGCATGTATTTAGCAATTTATTATAAAAAAGGACTAGCGATCTGTGATTATCTGATAAATTGTACCTGGGGTTTTAGACTATTGGTCAGCATAAAAATAATAATAAACCAGTAAAAATAAGATAAACCAAATAGAACGGATATTTACGTAGTAAGTGCATTATTTCAAACATCGATTTTCATGGGAAAAGTGATAGGAAGACGAATGGAAGAAAGAAAGCGAAGATAGTTGATATGACTACTGAGACCACTGCGCAAAGCACATTAATAGCAGAAGAATGCGAATATCCAATTCATAATAATTTATAGTTTGACACTACATAAATTACCTGAACGAACTGTTGGTGTACATAACAGATACCGCCATCCTGGTAGAGATAAAGATTATTTTCATAATAATTGTGAATCCAAAATTGAAGAATTCAAGACGGATTAAAATAAAGACATCTTGGTTATCTCCATCAATGACGGCTTAAAACAGCTCGGTTCGTGATTAATGACAGCTCAAATTCGGTTCAATATTCGGTTCATGACAGCTCAAAGTTGAAAGCGAATTAAATAGGCACAGGGCATTTTCAAGATGGCTGACTCCATCATTAACAAGGTATTCCTTTCTGCGTGATAACATATGGGGAAACAAACAAGGAAACAAATAGAGGAATATAAACAAAAAAGGAATAATGAAGAGAGGAAAAGCTTTTATTTTCCTGATATGATCATTTGGCTCATTTCATAAACAGAACTTCATGTTGCTACCCAACCCATACCTGCATTAAAAAGAATTGTCGAGCCATACCGTCTTAATGGTCAACGGTCCAAGTATAAAATAAAATTAACTTCTAAATGTAGAATTGTTTTATGCCAGAATATCAGAACTACAGCAAAAGGCGGATCAGTTTTCTTTGCATTTGCGACCTTTTTGTATTAATTAAGAAGCTTCGATTTCTACTTGAAAGAAATCATTTTTCTCTATATTCAAAATCTAAGGAATACTGATACATCGGGTGTTTCTGAACTGACCGGAGCAACAGAGGCCTCCAGATAGTATGCAACTGCTCAAACTGTTGCAATATTCGTGGAAATTCAGTTAGCCCAGAAGATATATTTTGCGCCTACTGATTTAAAGTGTTGCATGTGCTGTTCGAACCACTTTTCTAAATTTTAAGTTGTCCCTTGGTTTGGCAGTCCCTTAGCCAAAAGAAACACGAAACAAGTTCATAAGAATATTTTCACTGTTAAGAAGGGTTATATAGCAAATCTTATAGTACTGCACTTGCTTAGACTGAGAAAGAGCAAATATTTAAGAGCTTGATTGTTTGGTTTCCACAACTATAGTTGGAAACTAGGCCTATAAAATGGCACATTAATGTTGTCCCTGCCGTTCATTTTACTGCTTAAATCTGGATCGTTCAAAGAAGACTGGCATAAATGCTTCTAGAAGTAAATACTATGCTTCTTGTAGAAAATAATCAAAGTGTTCATTTCTACTGCTAAAAGATGCTGTTGTACCTTTGCTTTTATGATGGGACGAAAAGGAGCTGGGAGGTCAGTTTGGCAAAGCAGTGTTCTTGCACCATCCTAGAAGTTGAGATGCGAAAGTTGTTATTAATGAAGCAAAACATGTAGAAAATTAACCAGTGTGGTATCGTCTTTTCCAATGATTTGAGACCAATCTGATGTGTCGCTATTGCAATTTGGAACATTGAGGAAAATTATTTCAAACGAATGCTGCAACTTTATGCTCATGAATTTTACAATCTTGTACGCTAAACGGAAAGCCTGTGTTACTTTTGCTCTTCATAATTTCTTTTTTCAGACTCTCTCGTCAATCCTATAAAATGCATGTTTTTTCTTTAACAAATTGATAAGTAAACCCAAAGTTCACTAAACTGGTATCCATTGCATGCAAAGCATGTAAAAGTACTAGCAAAATGTGGCTACAATATAAAGACTAGATCAAACTTATTGATAGAAGAAATAACTACCTGGGTGTGATACTGTACATTCAAAAGGTGCTCTCTCGAAGCAACGTCTCTAGATTAGATGTCAAGCAATAATCACGGGTCTGAATTCACGGGTCTTTCAAATACGTAAAGTTTCCAGGTTTAGATTTGCAAATAAGAGTAAGGATAGAGAAATCTCTGACGTTAGAAAAAACTGATAAATCTCTGAGATTAGATAATATGTAAGCAATACCATCTAACCTCCGAGATAAAATACAATTGCACATTCGTTACCAATTTCATACTCATACAATAAAATTATGACAGCATTAGTCAGAAGATTGTGTTTAGCATAACAATATTTTGAATACTTGCAACTGCACGGTCGTTACAAATTATTCAAACAAGAAGATCAGAAACGTAAAAAATACAATAGAAAGACACGAGACAGCGCAAACTTTGAAAGTTGAAACTATGAAGCCAAAAAATCGAAAACTCTAATAAAAAACAATTTTTTTCAAAAATTATACTGGCAAAACTTTATTTAAATTTCATCGTTTGTTTTTAAAGTGTTAGGAAAAGGCCTGCAAGACTTTAAAACGCTCATTGCGAAGTTCTCAATGAAAGAATAAGCAACGGGGCAACCGTCTGCTAAAACGTTGATTGAATGTCTCCGGCATAATATAAGAGCGCAAAAAACTTTATGTAGTCCTTTAAAGACTAACATCGACACAAAGATTTAGAAATATTCTATTTGTTAGGCAAGCAAAACAGCGATCATGAAAAAGGTCCTTTGAACAAGACGGGACTAGAGGGATCTTCCGGTAGTGTCACAGGTGTTTCTAGAAGTGTCACAGTCCTGCAGAGGTTATTAGTCAAAATCTATACAAAGTGGTTATCTTAGCTATATGTTGACTTAAAAGTATTGATAAACACTTTTATTACAAATACAGAGTTGACTAAGAAAACAATACTACTATGTGAAGAAACTCTTAAAAACAAACGATTTTGTTTGGCTGTTAAGAACATGAGACAAAATCCTTCAAACTTACTTAGCTATCAGTGTCATTGAACTGAAGCTGGCGTCAAGATGCAATAATCTAGAAGAAAATGTTTTTGAATAAGAAAAGGTAGTGAATAAAACGCGTAACGCCTCGATGCATAGGTTGAATAATTCAAATTACGTAGAACGATTTTAGGGAGATAAAATTCTGAATCATTTGTTACATAACAAATATGTCTACCAAAAGTGTGACAACGTACAAATTTTCGCCCGTGGGTTGCTACTTGACTATGAGTGCGTGAAATTGCACTTAGCTGATACATAAGACAGTCGTTAATGAATGATTTCTTTATTTTCTTGTTCAAAGATCCATTGAAGTTTTTCTGAGTCAGTCTTATCTCCCCGGGACATTATAACCTCTCATCAAAGTTTGTTGACATAACTCCACATGATTGTAGCTGCCTGATCAGACTAAACTCACAACTTGCCTAAATAAAAATAAACGCGTAGAATCAAGCAGTCATAAATCCCACTTTATGCGAAACTTTTAGTGTTTTTAACCTGATTTTTCTATGGACTAATGTTAGGCATTATTATGATCGAGCATGGAGCCTATTGCACATTTCACACTTAAGATCCTATAGGATAGCGTATATTATTTATTGTGGTATCAAGAGAAATCGTTGAAATTAAAATCAAACTTGCTGGGTCAATAATGGTAAAGAAGAATGTCTACAATAACAACCGATAAATAGACGTCAACAACATTGGCCACAAAATGAAAACACGAAAAAGCTTCGTTCTTAAAATACTGGTAATCAAATTTTCTGGAAAGTCTCATTCTCATGAAAAATTAACGAAGAAAAGGAAGGGATTGGAGCACAACAACAAACGCTGAAGAAGGCAAAACAGCAGATTTAGGAGTTCGTTTCAACAATCATGTAGCAAGCAATAATTAAATTTTAAAAGCATATCATTCCAGGTGTATCTACTAAATCGTTTGTGTCTACGTAAGCAAACAAAAAGAGTGGAAAAAGCTTTCAGAGCAGAGAAGCTTTCAAGGCGCAAACATTCGTAAGCAAAAAAATCTGTAGACAGGTGGCTTTATGTTGTGTTGGCTGTAATCATAGATTCAGTACTAAATTCCACCTCGTTTCGTGATGAAGTCAGATTTGCGTTTATAAGTTATCGTTCTTTAGAGTAAAGTAATATTTTTGAGAAATTTATTCCATGAAGTCAGCCAACAGAATCTTGAATGATGCAATGCAACTGATTAAAAGGAAACTGCAAATGTCATCATTGTAAAATGCCATATCGTCATCAATGTAAAAACATGAAGTATACTTAATGTTATCAGATCAACAAAGCTTCAGTTTGCATGTAGAGCGGCTTTAGAATAAGACCAGAGAGATTGAATTCTTAAAACAATGTGTTGGCAACATCATGGATTTCAGCATGGATTTCACATGCTTATGCAATCTTTATCGTCTAGACTCACCACAAGAACAGCCATAACAAGCATATCTTAAAATATTTAAAGCATAGTTTCTTGTGTCAATAAATAAGTGCCAAACGAAGAATTCTTAACAGGTAAACATACCATGAAAATTTTGCTTTAGGGCAAACCATGCAGTCATCTCTATTTTTATCATTGAAAATCAGTTTGCTGGCAAAATAATACCATATTAATTGCTATACTTAACCGCAGTGACTTAAAAGAAGATGATTTCTTGAAGCAATAGATATTTTCAAAATTTGCATAAGCTAACATACTTTTCCCAACCTAACTCTTCAATTTCCTTTATGACTGTGGAAAAATGACCTGGTTCTGATGTTGAGAAGTGCCGCTGCGACCTTCGATCCCGGATTTTGACTAACTTACTCTGTAAATAGATGGAGAACTGTATTACTGATTTGATGTAAGCCTAGTTGATATTAAGCAAAGCAGAGATGTACATTCAAAGCAATATATTGGTACAATCTCATGTTAATCCCTAATGAAGAATAATGAAAAGGTCAAAAAATAAGCAAAAGGAAATTATTCAAGACAAAGTAAGAAATGAAGAACCCTTGATAATGTGAAATGTACCAAATGATGCATTGGCTGTGAGTTTCATCTTGAAAATTTACTGTGTTTACATCTTTAATTCAGTGAATTTTACAATATTCAATTTTTCATGGGCAGGAGGCACTAACTGGATGGCCTTGACAGTCATGTGCACCTATTTCTGACTGGCCTCTTTCGATCCACAAAGGGGTATATATATTTCAAAGCTTAGAGCTTTCAATCTGTGTCCTGTCAAGTTACGCCCTGATCTTAAATTTTGCTTTTTTCACAGTCAATTTTAAAATCTTTATAACGAAAAAATTGTTTGAATATCCAATTTACATTTCAAAATAGACATCATCAAAATAAAAATAAAAATTGTTCCTGTTAGACGAGGGATGTTCAGGTTAAAAGTTGAAACTGAAGTAGAAGTTGGATAGCGCTCAGAAAATAGAGTTAGGTGTCTGAAAAAATTCTAAATAATAAAATATATTTGCTAAACAAGGAATATGTGAAAAGTAAAAAGAGGGTAGAAAAATTCCTAACCTAAGATTATATGTAGGATACGCAAAGATTGACAACTATTGTAATAATATATGCTTTTTTAGAATTTCAAATAATGATGTATCTACATACTGTTAAACTGTGGACCTCATGCATGAATTCATCAAGATCTTTGGAATTGTGCAAACTCTGGAATACAAGAGGTCTATGTTATGAAAACTTTAAAAAATTCTAACAAGGAAGAAAACAGTTTAGGTATTTCATCTTCTAATTAAGCAGATAGAGCTTTATTCAAATCTATATATATATTTAAATTAAATTTGAAATAATACATCTATAAAGTATGAAATGATTGAATAACAAGCAACATTGAATAAACATAAAACCAAACAATTCATAATTTCTGCTAGCTTTCAACATAACTTGAAGTATGCCTTCACATTTTCTTAGCTGATAGAATTCTTAAGGCCTCCAAAAAGGCTCCATTTTGGAGAAATATTGACCAAATTGCCTGTCCTGTGAGATAATATACCAAATCATGGTACATTTGAATAAATAAGGACATTATGTTTACCACATCTCAACTACAATATATACGACTACAAATTAAAAAATCACAGTATCCCATTTGATTACCCTTCATGGGGGTATTTAGGTCTTTGACATTGGGGGCCAAACTTTGTTGACAAACATATAAAAATGACTATATTGAAAATAACGTACAAAGGTAATGCACAAACATGTACAAACCAACAAAGTCGTCAGAGAAAAGGTCAAAAAACAATGTGTGCACATTTTCAAACACATTATGATCTGCACAAGTTTTGATTTGGGGACTCTCTAAAACAGGAGGCCCAGGCCCCCCCCCTGCCCCCTCTTGCTCTCCCCTGCTATTACTTTTGTAATTCATTGTCACAAATTGATGGTTCATTCAGTTATTCAAACCAACCTGCTTAAGTGAATCTTCAAATCCATTCAACAAGTTTTTCAACTCCCAGTCACAGTTGAAGCTAAAAATGAATGACATTTTTGGTTACACTTTTATGCTTCATAACACTCCAGTTAATGAAATAAGTGTTTTAAATGAATTCCATTAAGAACGAACTAACAAAGAACATCACTAGAGATATCAGTCTAAAATTCCAGCAAAAATATAGGAACTTGAAGATATGCTAAAATATTCCTATGTTGAACTTGATGTTGCAATGTATTTTTATTAGTGCAGTCAAGTTTAAATCTGATCTGGCATGCAGAAAAAGTGGAGATAGTAAGACACATTGTTGCACCAGTTATTAGTGTATATCAGAATAATTTGTGTGCATCCTAGCTCTAGCATTTGTCCTATTCTGCCAATAAAAAAATTTACCTAGCATCCTTGATGTCTGATACTGTGCTCAACTTTACTTCTATTTCAAATTCCTGACTCTAGAAGTGGAACAAAACAAGATTCAAGGTAAACTAAATAGTATGAAAAAACAATTTAAGATGTAAGAAAAAAGATGCCCTTTGCTTACAAACATGTTGGGTATTATTTAATGGAAATTCTTTAATAGAAACAGCATCTTAGATATCTAGTCTGAAAACTTTCAGAGACAACTGCCTACACATCAGTAGCAGGAGCTTAAAACTTTTGATGTAGGAATATATTTTAGTTATGAAATTATTGTCATAGAGGTGTGGTGAATGCTGGCAAGTGATGAGCTCTTAGAATATTATTTCCTCACACTTCTTTGCAGGAGAGGTTTAGCTATTGGCTCTCTTGCAGAATTTGTTTCCAACACGGCTTTGACAAGGTTGGTCGCGGCATTTCAGGCATAATGTATACTAATGACAGGCAATAAAAATTCCTACTTGACATTGGCAATCAAACAGGCCCCAGTCCAAGCCTCAACCTAGTGGCACTACAACCTTAAATCTTGAAGCTGACTAAAGCTCTCTGACAAGAAATGAATTAAATTGACGTTGGAATGGATCAATACCAAATTAAGTTAGAATATTGACCTTTTTGTTTCACTAAAAATTTTTTGGTTTTGCTTAGTTTAGGCTAATTATCCATTATCACTGCCTTGATTTTTGTCTAGATGTACCCTTAACATTTACAAGTGAATTTACTTAGGGATACCTTTTTCAATTTTGGTTCATTTGATTTAACTTTGTTATAAAAGAACAAGGGAAATATTTATCTGATTATCATTGTTACCACATTTATCTGTATCCTCAAACTTGATACTTTACAGTGAATAGTCAACAAACAAAAATATCCCTAACACCATACAATCCAATAAAAGTTTGCCTTTATCAAGAACTTATAAAAAATACCAAAATAAAATTGATATGTGGCAGCAGGGGTAGAATTGGTTACAAGTAAAAGCCACAAGTAAGAGCCACTAAATTATAAAACAATACAAAGAACTCAGACAACCATCAAACTAAAAACAAGCCACTTTCTGTGACTCTTTTTTAGACAACCTATATTCTAGCACTATAAACTATACCAAAGCAAGCTTCACATCAAATATGTTTTAAGGTAAATATCATTCAATAGATAAATATTTTGGAAAGGATGAATATACCTTGGCAAAAAGAATTCCTTTCAGAAGAGTTTTTTCCAGGTTCTGTGGAATTAGAATCCACCCTTTGTTGATTGAGTCCATTAGATTTCCCTAATATATATTCCAGGTGTTTGTGTCAGAAGGCTTCTAGCCCTATTCAAACAAGGGAATTGAAAAGATTTGAGAAAAATTAAGTATTTCTTGAATTTATTTATGTAAAACACATAAACAGTGCACACAAATTGGGACTTCAATATATGATTCAGGACATGCATTAATTATCATGATATTATTTGGACCTTCAACAGCAATTGAAGGTGAGTTCTTTTCATATGTCCGACAGCAAACATACTAAACTTCCAGCTACCTACTGTATGTAGTTTTCCTTTTTTGTAAAAATAATTGTTGTTTGTGGTTCAAGTATCAAATATAAATGTAGTAGTTAATTATTGCTGTGACTGATATGTTTTGAGTTTTTTGAGTTTGAGTTTATAAGAAAATGACTCAAATATTTGTATAGCTGAAGGAAATACTTAAAAGAAAACACTGTTCATATTATAACTTTAAAGCATGACTTAAAAACTCCATATTTTACTTACACTAAAATTTTTGCATAGGCTTAAAGCTTATAGCAAAATTCAGAGAGAGCAAGGGTAAAAGGAAAGGCTGTGGGTAAATATCCATCTATCATTCAAGAAAGATGATCCAGCATTCCTTTTCACTACAAGCATAGCCTTGCATTATGATGTAATTGAAAGAAAAATCCCCTTATCCAATGATCTTTACCCCAGCAGACCTTAAACCAACTATAACATAATTAACTGCTGTGTGTTAATGAGATACATGCTAAGGTTTGTACTGAAAATTCTGTCTTGATAGAGTCTATCTGATTTATTCTTCAGACTGTTTATACTTCAAACTGCATTTACCATCCTCACACCTCAGGCAATCTTTTCGCACAACAATGAATCAAATACCATACAGAAGATATATTAGCATACAAATTACTGGAAGATAGTTATAGCCAGGCCCTAGGGCGAGAAATGTTATTTAAATTTTTTTTTCAAGTTCGCAATTATTTTTTCGATTTTCAGCTAGAGCCATAAAACGTTTCAGCTAGAGTTTTAAAATATACGAAAGTATGATTCACATCATCAGCATAACAGCATCAAGACTTGTTTAACAGTCAGGTAGAAACTTACGAAAATGTGTTGCTACTTCCATAATGATTTCGGCAGCTTCTTCTTTCCGTTCAAATAGATTACAGATCCAAATAAGATAACGCAAATTAACGAAGACCACGTTTTATACTTACTGGACCTTTGAGAGAGCACTAGGCCATAACCATTTTCGCGGCATCTAGAAGTGAGGCCAACCACAGGGAGCCAACGTACCAAATTCAGCCTGTGAACGACTTTGTACAAGAAATGAATTAATTTTACCAATAATTAATATATTGTACAAAGTCGTTATTTCATTGCATCAATTTTTGTTCAATACTCGACGTACTACACGCACATTTCCACTTTATCAATTCCGCATGCGTTAGCGCGGCATGGGCGTCTTCGCCATATTTTTCTAATATTCTGAGGTTCTATTGCATAAAAGTTATTTTTATCCATTTAAATGATGGTGATTGTAACAACTCCAGGAATTTTGTTAACTCAAAAAGAGTGCAAGAAATCATTTGCATGAATGCATTTCTACAAAAAGAATTTAGAGTAATCAGTCAACTAGGCTTTTCCTCGTTCCTCGTACTTATTTTAATTTTAAGATGGATTGGAGGATGGATTGATAATTATATGAAACTTGAAGCTTTTTAAATGATTCGATACGGAATTTTTTTACATTCCTTGGCTCGTTATAATTAGCTTTTCAGTTTTCTAAAATGTATTGTGTCTGATCTGTTTCAATGTATTAGTGTATAGTGTATTATGATAACGGATAGCTAAAACATAATATGAACTGAACTGAATAAGTTTCACGAATCGTATTCCTCAAACTTTTCAACTGCCTTGACGGGGCGATGTTGTTTCTTTTGCCTTCATCACCCAAGTAATATTTAAACAAAGTGCACTTTTTGAACAACAAAATTGAAAACAATCCTTTTGTGGTACAGAATTTAGAAATGGCTTTGAAAAATGCAATGATTAGAAACATGTTACTATAGCTTTTTATCTGATACTCTTCAAGGTATAAAACGTCAGAACATAGATCGAAAACTTTTCTTTAGGAAATGTATATACCCTGTCGTGGATCTAAATAGAATAATCAGAAACGCGAGCACATGACTGTTGAAGATGCCAAATCAGTTCAGCTTGCCTATTGAAAATGCTACAAATGGAGTCCTAAGGTGAAAACGAACTCCTTCTGTCTACATAATAGTGACTTTTTCACGTTTATGTAGATAGATTTTAAAACAAATAATTTATATTTGCTTTTTTAACGCCATTTTTACAATTTTTAATGATCAAACACCTTGGCAAAATGCTATACCCTCGTGCCTCCAAACTCCAGTCGCTTGCTCACTTCCATTTTCAATTTTTGACTGTGAAACAAGCACAGACAACTTGTAGTGCTATCATTAGAATATGCTTGTTGTAATATCCCTTATAGCCAGTGTTTGGTTTCTACAATTTTGTTATCTTGGCTACTAAAATACATCGCTCCAACTTTGAATGAGGAGGTTGGGGAGGGAGGAGGGGGCAGGGTAGAGGTTAGACGATACTATCACAATGCAACTGGGCAATTGTTTAAGGGGTTTGTCTCAAATTTGCTGTCCAAGATTTTTGAATTGGCTTCGATTTCATTCTAGAAACTATTGACTAGTCTCAACCAAAGCTAAGCTTCATTTCACGGTGTCGCTATTTCTCTTGGGATCTATCTGGCTGCTTCTCCATCATAAGAATCATTTACTTCACATCGATAAATAAATTTTGTTGTCCATTTTTTTAAAAATGTTCAGGTAAAATAATCATAATCGATGGGTTCCATGAAAATCTCAATTTTCGATTCAGATGATGCAAATTAACCTTAAAAACTCTTTGGTAAACATGATCGTTGCAGTAAACAGAGTTGCGTCATACTTTGCTTTTGGAACAATTTATTTGAATAGGTGTGCGTTTTTGGTGAAGGCAGGGAATTTGCGAACACGGTTTTAAGGCCTCTGTGCGGTGGCACGGTTTCTTGCTTCTCTGGGGAAAATAAGCTGTTGGAATAAAAAAGCAGCATTTCACTTTTGTTTAATCTTTCAGTTGCCTTTGCGCTGAAGTTAGTTGTGTTTATTACTTATCTTCGTTGAGTTTCTTGCAGGGCTGCAGTAAGCCCAATTCCTCTGGTTTATAACTGCATGGGACAATTCTGGTAAGTGCATATGTAAAATTAGTTAGGCAATTATATGGCTAAAGTATAATAATTTGCTACCACGTGAATTTGATCATGATAAATCTGAATAACACGCTTATTATCTGAAGCGTACTTATCTAAATAAGCGAATATGGTAAACCTGCACGGTAGAGCCAATTTACCAAGTTCTGCAATGATTGACATGCTTTAAGTTTATGACATAAGCAAAGCTGTTTTCGTTGTGCAATACATGTTGGCCAAGATATAGTTGATTTTTATAGAGCGTCTTATGTGGCTGGATGTGGCATTTTTGAGGGATAAATTTGGGTATGGCACTTTGGGATGTAAAACTAACCTTCACACGAATTGCAAAACAGGACATGAGGATGTCACTAGTCTTTGGAATCTTGAAAATATTTTGAGAAAAATTTTGCCATTCTGGGCAGATGTGGAAAAAGCAGCCTGTTTGTAAGGGTGGTGAATGCTAGATACATGGGTCTTTATAGGTTTGTTAAGGCGATGTAGCAACTTTTTTATCTTAAAGTTGAATGAACAGGGTCGCATAGAAAATTAACACCTTGTTGTTTCAGAGTTTATTATTGCGATTAAGCTAACATTGAATTTTCAATCTTTTTTGCAGAAGCTAAAAAGCAATGGTGAATAAAGTCTGCCTTGCTGGCGTTGCCTTCTTGTGTGCGCTACTAGTTCTTCAAATTGACTACAGCCACTCCAGTGAAGATCTGATTTCATCATTGGGGCATGAGTTTGATTTAGCAGCGCTGAAACTGTTGCAAAGCTATGATGACGAAGGGAAAAGGCAAAGTTCTAAAGATCGGATTTCTGTCATGAATGAAGGAGGAGATAGTAAGTTACCCATTATCGATTTATGAACAGATAACAATTGTATGGAAATATTTTTAATTGGCGAATGCTTACAATTCTCAATGTGTTTTTATTTTTTGGTTTTTATAGATGCTAGCGAAAAATCTTAACATAAAAGGATTATCCAAAATGGGCAACCAAGAAATATCAAGAACAAGCTGCTTATGCTTTTTCTACATCAGAATTTTCAAAACCTGCATATCAATAATCCTTATTGCTATATCTTTGTAGCACACGATATCTATTTTTATCGTTTTATCGGTATTTCACTTTTGTCTTGAACATGCTTATCTTAAACAAACAGTAGCCTTTAATCTATTGAATATTTAAAATTTATTAGATGATTTAAAATCTGTTTCCTCGTGGGCCTTGAAAAAACATAATTAGCATTTCTTGTAAACAAATTTGACATGCTACAAAGTTACCTATTTGCATAAGAACCAAAGCTTTTGTCATACGCTGCAGCATTCGTCTCTCAGGATAGCCAATTTTATGCGTTGCTAGGTTAACAACACCTCACGCAGCATTTGTCCGCGTATTTAAAAAGAAACTGGGACCAAATCGAACCACTTACCAAACATGCTTTGCGGGCAACATATATAGCAAGAAGATGTAGCGTCGAAATTGTTGCATTGAATATTTTTTATTTTTTGCGATCTTTTCATATGACCCATAAGTGCAACGTATTTGTCGGGCTAGTTTTGTGCAGAATGGAAAAGTTTACTAAGCTTAAAATCGCTTCTTTTTTAAGAAAAACAAGGCCTCTCTGCATATCTACAATTTAATGACGACTTAAAATTTCTGTGTTTTCTGTCAGCTCAAAAAAGTTGATAAATGTTTTCCAAAAGCTCTTATCTCGAAAACCTGTCCTTAACCAAGTAGGAAGGTTTGGACATTATATAAGGAAGCTTACCAACGAGCACAAGATAAATGGTCATGAATTCTTGATTGACCTCAAATAAACATTTTTATCGACCGCCTTTTCTTATGTAGTTTAAACATAGGAAAAAAGTAAATACTTTCTATCAGATTAGTTATCCAGTGCCACCGCTCAGTTGTTGCCACAACAGCAAATTGGAGGTTGCCAAATCAGTTCCGCTTGCCTATTGAAAAATTTACCAATGGAGTCCTAAGGTTGACAATATACATGTTTGCAAACAATCTTTTGATGGTACACAAATTAAAAATTGCTTTGAAAAAAGCAAACACTTGAGTTTTCGTTATCTATGAGTTATATATGAGTTTACGTGTCTGTGTGATTCTGGCTACGTAGGACGCATTACCCAAAGATTGGAGGATAGAATAAGACAGCATGTCCCTTCCAGCATTAGAAATGGAACTCTTCCCCAGAGAGAACAGACTCCTCGGTCTTGCAGATCAAAAACAACTAGTAAAACATGCGATTCCGCTATCGGTCACTATTTACTGGAAAACCCAGATTATGCAAAAACTATAATGGCGACATGTTTCGGATTATTGGCAAGGCCCGATCGTCGTTCCATCACGCAGTTTTGGAACCTATCTACATAAACACGAAAAAACCGCTTTTTTGTAGACAGAAGGAGTTAATTTTCACCTTAGGTATCCATTGGTAACATCTTCAATACTCAAATCTCTACAGTCATGTGCTCGCGTTTCTGATTGGCCTATCTCGATCCTCAACTGGGTATATATATACTAGCGTAGAGTTTTCGGTGTATGTTCTGAAATTTTAAACTCTGAAGAGTGTCAAAGCTTCAGTATACTCAAATGTTTGCTTTTTCAAAGCCATAAACATGTTTCTTTATCCTACAAATCTTATTTCACATAGAGGATTTATTTGTTAATTACAAAAATAACTGTTAGAAGGAAACATCAGTAGCATGTCCTATTGTTAGTAGCTATGATATTCTACTGAGCATCTCAGTAAAAGGTTTTGGGCTGCAGAAAGTTTACAAACTCCACCATGATATATAACCAAACAATTATGGTGTAATCATAAATTTTTGTTAGACGTATGCCTTAATCTACCACGGTTTTCTAAAGCTTTTTACAATATAGAACAAAAACCTTTTCCAATAGTCCTAGTAAGAGCCTGTGATAAAAATAGTTTATGGATATAGAGTGAAAAATTGTATTACCTGTCCCTCTCAAATCAAAGTTTATTGAAAAGCCTGTGACTTAAACTATGCAAAACTGTCACTGTAATTGAGTTTGGATGTCTGAAACTGTTGCAAGTATTTGTTTCAAGGGAAAGAAGGAGCAATAACTGAAAAGTGCAATGTTAAAGGTCACTGTAGGAAACTTTTGCAAGCAGTATTACATCTTGTCGTAAAGATTCTGTTAGTTCTTTCTCTTGTGCTAGTCCTCCTTCTACCGCTAGTGGCTAAAACTAATGAAATTAATTTTACAGCCTTGGTGTTCCAAAAAATCCACCCTGTGCAAAAGTTAAACACAAGCTACACCAGGGACATTAAACATATGAAGATAAAAGTTAATTCGACCACAGATTTGCACCTTCTGGCAGTCGCAAACCATTTTAACCCGAACAAGCGATTGAATTCCACGGTAGACATATATAAATTTGATGAAAATAGGAAAACTTTTGTGCTTCTTCAGAAGATATATCAATCGGGACCTTATCAGCTTGACTATTTTAATGTTTCTTCAAATAATGGAACGGTGAAGAACATACTTGTTATTGCCAGTAACTCAAAGGGTAGCACGGAGACGAACAACAACCCTCACGTTTCTGTTTATGAAATTGTACTGACCGGAAACACGATAACCTTTAAGCGATTTCAGAAATTCGATTTAGTCAGTGTGGATGCGCTTACGTCGTTTGAGAGGAAAAATACAACCTACCTGGTGATGGGCCTAAGCCTGAAGCCTGCAATGATAACTGATTACCCTGGTAGCGTTGTGATTCTCTCATACAACAAACAGAAGCACTTTTTCCAGTACCATTCAACTATTCAGTCAAACATTGTTAGTGATATTGAAGTAATGACGATTGGTAAGGTGACCCTAATGGCAATTGGTTATTACAAAGATAAGGACAACAATTTGAATCTAAATGCAACAGTCTACAAGTTTAGCGACACAAAAAGACAATTTGAGTTTTACCAAACGATACCAACCAAAGGTGTTCGCGACATCGAATCATTTAGTATTTTGAACACATACTTTCTTGTAGTAGCTGCTGAGTTTTGCAACAAAGAGACAAAAGAATGTGCTCAGCTGCCATCGAGTGTATATAGGTTAGTTGGTAGTAAATTTCAGTTGTCCCATGATGTTGAACCAAAAGGCCCGGTTAAATGGACTAGCATCGACCTAGCTGAGTGTCAGAATACAAGGCTTCTGGTATATGCTGATCGCAGTGACGCTGTCGATCAGGTTGGGTTTTATATATATAGAGAAGGTCATAGAAAGTTTGAAAAGTTGCAACTTTCGCTGTATCAGTCATACCCACAGGATTTTAGGCCTAAACCAAATGTTTTAGCTTTGTTCACAATAGAAAAAGATCTGTTTTTGGTTATTGGAACTGATAACAAAAATGCCAGTCACACGTTGTATCGAATTGAATATAAAGTGACCCCTAATGAAAATGCTTGGGAACATGTGGCAGCAGCCCTCTCCTCCGACCTTTCAAATCTACAACAAAATTTGACTGTTCTTGAAGAATCAATTAAACAGCTGGAGATTGAAGTAAGCAATGTCATGAAGACGCATCTCATCCAGAATGTTACAGGTACCAAAATATTTGCAAAGAATGTAAGTTACGATCTGGTAAACATTGAAGAGCTGCATTTGTCTAATGGTAGCATCCTGTTCTCTAGAAATGATAGTTTATTTAAGGCAGACGATACAAAGTATACATTTGAAAACTTGACGCAAATAGAAATTAGGAATGATGAGATCGAAACCATGACATCTGAAAGAAATATTAGCCTATCAGAAGCTCCAAAAATCTATGAAGAAACAAGCCTTAACGTTATCTTGAATTTCTCACATGTAAATTTGAATAGCTCCAGCGGATCGTTTGGAAATATTGACGTTCCTGACTGCCAAATCAACAACATAAACGTATGTAACTTAAAGAAAGATACAATAACAAACAGAGGGACTGACACAATAGCAGGCACTAAAAGATTTGCAGCCGATACCGTAATGCTAAATCATCTGCAGCTGAACGAAACCTTAAATGGTGTCAAAGTTTCTCGAGACTTAATGGACACCAAGCTAGATCAAACTTTGCATGCTAACACAACCTTTAGCAAAGTAGCCTTTCTAAAATCGCTGAATGTCTCAGGAAAGTTAAATGGCATTGATGTCAGCGAAGTATTGAGACTAAAAAAATCCGAAGTTGTTTCAGGCATCAAAACCTTTTCTTCGAATTTGGAACTTGGAAAGGCCAACATCAGGCAAAAGATTGATGGTGTCAATTTCGATAAGTTTGCACTGAATACAATGATGTTACACAAAGAACAAAACGTAACAGGAAGAAAAGTCTTTAGAAAAGCTATAAATGCGATAGGGGACATTCAAGTAAAGAACCTGACAAACAACCATGACTTAGATAAATGGAGCGCTGGCTTGGTAGAGATCAATGCTGCTCTTTCTACATTTAACAGAAATATCAGTTTTCTAGATGAAGTCAGTGTTGAAGGCAATGTCACTTTAGATGGAGCTTTCAATGGTCTTAAGTACCCAGACGATGTTTTCCTGGTTTCTGGGAAGCAGTTCATTAGCGGAACAAAAACATTCTTGGCCAACATGTCAACAACAGGGAACCTAATTGCGACTGGCCTTGTCGACAATGTTAATTTGAGTGATACTGTTTCACTGCGCGATGATGGTCGCATTACAGGTCGGATGACATTCCTGAAAAATCTGAAAGTTTCAAGCCATATAGCAGTTTCTGAGAATACGTTGGTAGATGATGTCGATCTCTCTCAACTACAAAATAATGCTGTCTCCATCAAAGAAAAGCACAATATTACTGGCAATGTGACCTTTACGTCAAATGTACAAGCATTTGATTGCTTAACTGTAAGAGGACAAATAGACCACGTTGCAGTGAATTTCTACAGCGATCTATTCGCTAGATCAGTTTTGAAAACAGGAGCTCAAAGCATCATTGGAGAAAACACCATTATGAGCAATGTTGTTGTCAAAAAGAATCTCTCAGTTAATGGACAGATAAATGGGTATGATTTCCCAGATTCGTTTCTCAATAACTTTGGAAACCAACAAATCGGTGTTTTGTTCAACCTTAGTGATGTTTTGCAGAAAAAGGACATTCAAATTGGTGGCCTAGTCAGCAGTTTCAACATGAGTGAACTTGAAAACGTCGTAACAAATATCAAAGATGACAAGCCTGTGTATGGTAAAAAGATCTTCAATGAAGATTTGCAAGTTAAGAAAAGCTTAAATTTTTGCTGCACTGTAAACAATTTCAAACTCTCCAACCTGCTCACTAAGCATACCAACCAAGTTGCCTATGGACCAAAAAGTTTCAACGAAGTGCGTGTTTTGAAAGAATTAGAAACGACTGATGTTCTAGTGGAAAGCACAATCGATGGGGTAGATTTGCTAAATTTTTCAGAGATAGCGTGGGTTGATCAGCCAAATAGACGCATCGATACATGGGTGCACTTCGAAAATGCTACTGTAAGTAATGGCTTACAGACAGAAGAAGTAAATGGTATCGTCTTGGAGAATCTAACTGGTGATATTGTTACTTTGAGCACTAATCAATCGGTACCCAGTGAGAAAAAAATCAAAGATATTCATGTAAGATCAGATGTCCTTGCTAATTCAGAAATAAATAACATTGATGTATCACAGCTTTCTGAAAACATATTGAGGGTAAATGAAGATGCAAGGCTTAATGGAACAGTACGATTTGGAAGTATTGAGGCAGCAAGACTAGAGGTCAATGGGTTTATACATAACAGCAATATTTCCCAGATAGTAGAAAGTACTGTAATGACTACTGGAGATACAGTTTTATCAGGAGAAAAGACTATTTCTGGAGACGCACGATTGAGGAGAAGCATGCTTGCAAGTACAGTCAACGAAATGATTCCCACAAAAGACTGGGTGCTTAAAGGTAGAATTCAAGTCATTTCAGGTAAGAAGACTTTTTCAGGTACGACGAAGATAGAGGGAGATGCAACAGTGGCAGAAGCAGTTAACAGTGTTGATATTGCGACATTAGAAAAGGAAGCTGTCTCGAAAACAAAAACAGGGAGCATTGGAGGGTTAAAAGTTTTGGCAAAAGATACTCAGAGCAAAAATGATGTTTCCATTCAAGCCAATATTGATGGAATTGATTTGTCCAAACTGGATAATTCCACTGCAAAGCTGAACAGGTATGTTAGTCACTTTTGCAGTGATTCAAAGGAGAGTTTGGCTTACTTTTCTCATTTTTAATTGTTACAATCGATACTATGTTTGTTAACCCATTCCTTCAAGCTTACTTCCATATCAGCCTTATTACTGTTTTAGATACTGTTTGTTAGAACAGCAAGTTTATGATTTACTGTCAGGCACTCTGAAGATAAACTACCCACTGATTTTTCCTAGTCTCCTATTTTTAATGCCTGAAAAATTTGCTGCAATTGTTTTGGAGGATGTGATTGAGTCATTATCATCCTTTTTTAAGTGATGCTGTTTTGGAGGGCAACAGAACATTTTCAGATTCAGTTGAGTTCAAAGCAAATTTTACTGTCCGTGGTTTGGTGAATGGAAAAGACATAACGACGATAAAGAACGATGCAGTTTTGATCTCTGGCATCCAACGCGTGACAGGGAATGTGTCTTTTGAGCAGGGCCTATTGCTGATGAAAAATTTAACGGTGGGTGGGAACATAAGTTCATCGGGCATTATCAACGGAGTACAGATTGCGGATCTTGAGAAGATGGTGGTGACGAATGACAACGATCAGATTATTTCAGGGAATAAAAATTTTACTAAAACAACAGTTCTGAAGCAGAGTGTAGACGCTGTACGACTGAATACTTACGAAAGGGATGAGTTTGTTACCATTAGTGGAAATCAGTCAATTGAAGGTACGAGTCACAATTTCATATTTCTTTGCTTTCAATATTACAGTGAACTCTAATCAGCAACACAGATCAACTTTGGTTCGTATATTGTCTTTAAGAATATTCTGCCCAGAAAGTATTTTTTATTCCAATGATGAGCTAGATAGAAAGAGGACAATTATGACTGTAAATCTCTAAATCTAATTTCGATATTCTTATTGTAAGAATTAATTTAATAGATTGAGACTTGGAAACAGCAGCTTGCTGATTATCTTGATAATCAGTTAAACAATTCTTGCTAAAAATCAGTTAATTAGACATATCCGGTATTCGAGTTTGACTAATCAGGTGCTTGACAAATCCATTGAAAGACATTATTTTATTAGATTACATAGACGTTTCGACTCTATTTAGAGTCATCTTCAGTATATATTAAAGGCAATCTGTCTCGTTGTGGATTGGTTAACGAGAACAATAGCTGGAACAATGGCCTAAACACGATTCCAGCGCTCCGCCATATTTTTTACAATGCGATAAATTAAAGGGGGACTGGAAACCATAAAAAATCCCTTTGTTCTTATAACCAATCAACGTCGTGACAGATTGCCTTTAAAGGGTGAAAAAACAACTATAAATACATCGGTTAAACAAAGGGGATCTTAAACCGTGTAATAAAGCAGCACGCTAAAGGAGCAATCAGGATGCGAGAGAAGTCACAAGGAATGGTAAACAATCTAAAGAGATAAACAAGCAATAAAGGCACTTCAGTCTTCTAGGATTTTTAATTCTTTAACGGCATCGTCACTGCTGCAAGATAGAGCGATCGAGTAATAGACCCAAGAAGTGTCCCTCCCTTTCTTTTCAGAAACAGGAATAAAATCCCTATTTTGACTCAGAGGAGGGGCTCTTCTTGACAACATGTGTCTCCTCCACTTTTGAAATGCTTCCTGCGTCTTAGATTCCAAAGTCATACACGGTCTCACGATTATCATTGACTAAATTTTTTCAGGTAAGAAGACGTTTGCTCAAACTGAGGCCATCGGCAATGTTTTAGTTTCCAAGCTTGCAGATGGCAAAAAACTTTCCCAGCTTGCAGCGGACACCTTGTTAGCAACCGAGAGTCAAAATATCATCGGCCAAAAGTTTTTTACAAATGCTGTGCTTTTAAAATCAAATTTATTGACAGAAGGCCATATTGACTCAAAATTAATTGAGCCGAACACTTTGCTGACCTTGAATTCTGATCAGAAAATCAATGGCACGACGAGGTTTTTAAATTCACTCAATACACAAACAGACTTAGGATTGCAAGGGAGATTTTCAGGTATCAACCTTACTGCATTAGAAGAGAGAAGAATGAGACTGAACGAGTCCCAGATTGTTTTCGCCAGTTTGCTTGGATCTACTTTCAGAGTTAAAGAAGAAATCAATATTAGCAATAACATAAATGGGATTGATTTCAGTGATTGGAAGAGTTCTCTCGACACATTCAGTGGAAATTCGACAGCATATCAAAATCATCAGGAAGCAATTGCTAAAACTAGATGCCCTTACCTGAGTCATGTTGAGGATATTACAAAAAGTGAGACTTTATGCAACTTGTCATTTTTTTTATAGAAGACATATTATTGAAACTTTTATTAGAATTTGAAACTTCGCCTACCCCCCAACTTACATGCTACATTTTAACTGAACTTTCTGAAAGATCGTTCACTTACAAAGTTCTGTATCTAGCATTTTTAACTAGATATTGACCAAAAATTGGCACATACCTAGATTTTGACCAAAACTGCGATCTACGCAAATATTGGAACATGGTGATGAACACATGGAAATTTTGGGAATCTAATGCCGCTGTATAATTAAAGATAGTTCTTGCGAACTCATTAGTAACTAGTTGGGTATAAAAACCTGGTTATTTAGATAGCGTTATCTACCTTGGTCAAGGTCTCTGACCAGCAAAGCTTTCCCATTTCACCATAATCTTTTGTGGTCTCATCACACTATTTTTCTCACAGGTAGCCCATTTTACATCGACTACTTCGACCATTTTCAAGATTTTGATAACTACATTTACCACATGGAGCCGTTTTTGGTTGGAAATGACAACTTCATTGCGACTGTCAGGTCATCAGACTCCTCAAAAGTATGTTATTCGAGCGAGATAATGATTTTTAATCGCATTCAGAAGAAATTTGTGACTTTTCAATATTTGGCGGAGGCAATTGATTCAAAATTCAGATACTTCCGTATCAGAAACGAAATCTACTTGCTTTTGGAGAGTGGCCCTCAAGGATGCAATCAAGGTAAGGTTTAATATACTTCTTTGTCAGGGTCAGCTTTCACTCAATTAAAAATTTAATTATTTGATTACCTACTTCTAGTATGAGATGATGGTATGCATAAGGGTATCCTGAAGCCACATTGCCCCAGCTCTTATCCCAATGCCTGAGAAAACCGGCGACTCTATCTCGACTCTCTTCCTTTACTTCAAAATCAGATAATCAAGTGCCACACACCTCAGTGCCCGTGGTTGAAGATAAACCACAAATGTACTAATTTTACTAAAGATAAACCACAAATGTACTAATTTTACTAAAGATAAACCACAAATGTACCCGTGGGTTCCATCAACAGCTATCTAAACACACTGAATTGATATTTAGATATTCTCCTTACTGAATGGGTTTTTGTTATTTCGATACAGGGAAGAGTGTACTGTACAAATGGAACAACACAATCAGATCGTTTGAAGAGCGCCAGACCTTTCCGATGAGCTGTGTCACAAGCACAAGTGTTTTCCAGGACCGTAGGAACACAACATGGATTGCAATAGCAACAGCAGTTCATAAAACATTTCTATCCAATGTGACTTTATGGAAACGCGAGTCAAATGGTTCGATCTTTTTGTTTGCTCGGGAATTGCCAGGCATGATGCCATCTTCTACAGAGGCTTTTCAGATCGGAAATGACACTTTCTTGGCCATTGCAATGTCCTTTGATTCAGCACTTTCAACAACAAGCACTCTTTCAGTCATCTATAAGTTGAATTCGAATTCAAAATGGGAACTTCTTCAGAAGATACCTACAACTAGAGCGTCTGATGTTACAAGCTTTACGGATACAGAACATCATTTTGTTGCTTTCTCCAATGAGCAGGACAAGAATACTCTATCGACCTTAACACAGCAAGTTGAAGTCTTGCGATATCTTCCATCTAGAGGACAGTTCGTTTTGGACCATTCCTTTGGATCATCCTTTCCGATGGGAATTGAGACACTCTCTCTGGATAACGTTAACTATTTGGTCGTTGTGATGAAGAAAAGTGGTGTCAACATTTACAGGTTCAGACTGCACTTCTCCTACCAGCTGACAACTTTCATTCCGCAAAATACTGTTACCCACGTGTCCTCGTTCATGCTTGATGGCAAGCTGATGCTGGCTATTAGCAGCAAAATACCGTTAAATTCTGCAGATAATGGAAAATCTAAGCCACGGCTCTTGAAAGCTGCTTTATCAGGTAAATATTTTTTTCTTTATAAAAAAACAAAGGCCGATGTTGAGTACTCCATTTTCTTGAGGTTCTGGATATTTCAATATTCGTCGTCTCTTATGAGTTTCTTAATAATGATGTCATGAATGATGTTATAGAATGTTTGTGACCTTTTATATCACGTCAATAGATTCGTTCTGATGCTGTATTTAGATGTGGGAAGTATATTTTTATCTCTTTTGTCTTAAGTTCTAGGCCAATAGGGCAATCATGTTCTTGGTTTTTTTTAAAATTTCATTGTTCTCAGTTTTATCACGATTTAATAGTTTTTTAATTTTTTTGCTTCGAGTACTGAAGTTTGTTAATTTTTGCTGAGTGTCCAGTGCTCGTTTCTTATAGCCAGTTTCTTAAAAGAAAATTAGTTTAACTTGAAATGGTACATCAGCAATTTTGAAAACAATGAAAAGTGTCCAATCCGAGCCATAATTGTTGATGGTGATAAAACGTAAGACAAGTATGACTTCAATTGAAATCCTGCTTATATTTTAATATCTAAGTCACTGCTTACTTTAATTTAGGTACTTGAAATGATAATAAAATTCTTACAATATTGGGAACCGGGATAGCTTATAGGAAAACATCTCTGGTCCTAGAACGTTTTGATGGCTATGGTCAGTGAGTCACCATTGAGAATGAAAGATTGTTTTACGTCAAATTTAATACTTCACTAACCTCATTATAATCATAAACGTGATATGCATGATTATCAACATTGTTCTTTTCCCGATCTGAAACCATAAGTAGAAATAAGATACTCAATTGACATGTTTTCCACAGTTAAAGCATTAGATGTCATCTAACAAAGTCAAGTGTATTTGACTTCTTTTCTCTATTTTAGGTATTCAGCCGTCATCTTTCCCCGCCTGCTAGAAATGGGGCACCACCTGCCTGAATATATGCTGTTTACTTTACTGATATATCAAATTCTACAATTATACAAGATATAGAGATACGCATATATATTTATATGGACAGTAAAAGCTACAGAATATAATTATGCTGCATATTATTTAGCTGATATTTAATATGAATAATAGATATATTTACAATGTATTATATATTGAAACTAATGCTATATAGAAATTATTTGCTACAAAGAATGCTGCTAATGATAATTACGAAAATTTGTAAATCATATTACATTATTGCTGGAAATTTAATTAATATTGCATACATAAATGAAGTTATAAATCGGAGGTTTAATTGAGTTATGAAAACAAATGGAATTATTTCTGAATATTTTTTCAAATAGTCTTTCATGCATGAAAGGAACGAGAATATATTTGTGAAATGGAAGAAACTTCATCCAGACCATATCTATATATGCAAGTGTATTATTTGATCTTACACATGTAGGGCTCTACAAGAATAATTAAGAAACAGGCAAATATATTTGAGGTTTTCCACAGAGTCAGAAACATCTTGATCTTTCTTCGAAACAAGAGGGCCCTTGTCGATGAACAATATCCTCAGAAAAACAGGCTCTTTTTTTCGTCGATCTTCCTCTTAATTTGTGACATTTATGTTTTATTGATTCTCGATTTCCATTATTAACCCAAACTGTAGAAACACAAAAACTATTATCGACTTCTTCTTAAAAAATACACTAGTGTATGGAAAAATTCAAAGGACAGGCTAGCTTTTGTAGTTTGACATTGAATTTGGAATTTCGAAAAATTGCAGATTATTTGCAGGCCAGAAAAACTGTTTACGCTGTTGCCCCATCACGTTGTTGCACTCATAATAACAGACTCCATTTCAGCAATAATGATGAACAATTCGAGATTTACGGTATGTACTTCGAAACGTTAAGTTGAGTGATGCAGAATAATTACCTGACAAAACATTGCCACAAGACGATCCAGAAATGCGTTTGATTAGATCAGAGCTTTTGTTTTAAAATGTACTAAGTTATACCATATAATTCCATAATCAGCCGAGAAAACAAAGGTTAGGCAATGCGGTCGATGGTTGAGAGGAATGCCCTGCCTATATGGATTTTTACTCTGCTCTGGAAATTTTTGTATGGGCCCAGAGTTGCAGATTCGAGTAGAATTCATTCATTTTTGCAAAATAAACGTGATCGATTCATCTCTTCTACGCAGCATAAAAACTATAATTGGCAATATTGGAAAACCTTACTTCTGGGAAATTATGGTCGTGCCGGGCACGACCTATGGTTTCGCCACTGCATAATGAATAGCAGTGTTTCTTTCTGGTATCTGTTTTGTTTTCCTGGTTTTCACAGAAAAAGCTAAAGATGAGAGTTTTTCTAGGGAAAACTCGCTAAAATACGCATGCATCATAAAGCTTGATATCAATACGCAATTTTGATTTTCTCGAATAGATCATTCAACCTAGGACAGTTGATTGTCATCGCTAACCCCCCTGATCGCTTTGTAACGGCACTACAAAAGGATAGCCAACGCTCGACGTGGCTCCTAGTAAACTTTGTGATCAGAACTGCTCAAGTATCGGAGAGATGGCCTCAGAAAATGAAAAGCTGACTGGGAACTATGTTTCTGACGATAATAACTACACAAACACCTATGACGTTTACCGAAGGGGACTTTTGCAGCAGCAGAAGGTCTGGGTAAACGAACAAGTAGTCCCTCTGTTAGTTGAACGCCATGGAGGGCCTGATGCAGAAATTACAGTTTTGTCAGTAGGTTCTGGGGAGGGGGACATAGATATCATACTCCTGAACGTTTTAATTGAAGAGTTCGAGAAGAAGGGCATAGATAATTACTCGCTTCAGTATACAGTAGTGGAAAGGAACCCTGTTTTTGTGGAGCGGTTTCGCAAAACCGTGGAACAGAAAGGTGATGTATTCGCAAAAATAAAGTTTACATTCATGGTGTCCACATTGGAAGAGTGTGCAAGGACAATCTTTGGAAAGAAATTCGATTTCATTCATATAATTCATACCCTTTATTACATGGATGCAGAAAAACTGATGAGACTGTGTGTTGATAAACATTTGAATAAAAGGGGTATTTTATTAGCTGTTGTCCAGTCTGAGGAAAGTCTTTATGCAAAGAACTGGCGGTTGTTTTCACAAAAATTCAAGCACTCCGTCGGGGATTTCAATTTGCTTTGTGAGAAAGAAATGAAAGAAATTGCTGAAAAGATCGGTCTAAAGTTTTCGATTCTTAAAGGCAAACGGGTGATTGATGTTACAGATATTGCTTCAGGTGATGTCCCCAACGCAGCTGGTTACAAATTGCTCGACTTCTTTTTCCATTCAAAAAACCTAAGAGAAATTTTGCAGGGGGACGAGCTACGGGAAATCGTTGAATTCTTCAAGGCCAATACGAGTGTTGTTGATGGGAGGAATATTGCACTTGCGGATGAAACGCTTTTGTTCTTATATAATTAAAAACAGCTTCTTTGTATAGCACCTACCTTGAGGAATGAAATCACTGGCATTGTGCGACTAATCAATAAAGCTAAGTTTTATTTATGAGAACAATAAAGCTAAGCTTTATTTATGAGAACAATTAAGCTAATGAAATTAATTCATCTTGTCTTGTTTTTTTTTTTAATTCTTAACTGGCTGATCACTTTGTCTCCACTTCGCTTTTATTATGAACAAGAGAAAAGCAATGCGTTTTTTGGAAATGGGTCGACAAAACAGAACAGATTTTATTAGCTGCTCAAACTTGCAATTAGAAAAGAAAAAATTGCTCTTTAGCTGTCTTAGACCCCGTTTACACTGTCCCGTGCAAGTTTGGAACCGTGACAGTGGAACCGAGACGATTTTGCTTTGCTATCCGGAACAGTTTTTGACCCTGCTTTTAAAGCGAACGAATTTCGTACCGTCACGGTTCCGTTTTTGAACGGGACAGTGTAAACACCTCTATCCGGGGCGATATTGTCCGCTCCATTTTAGCTCTCAATAAAAACTTCGGCGGCACAAAAAAAGCCTCGGTTGACTAAATACAGCTTCTTCTAAACATTGTACCGGTACAGTGTAAACGGAACGGCTAAACGGAACAATTTGGAACCGCGACAGTGTAAACATTTGCGAACCGTAACGGTACAAAATTGTCCCGGGACACACTGGACGCGTCGCGGCGCGGCGTCATCGAGCGTCGCGTCATGCACTTTTTCATGCTATTCACACACGGTGCGTCATCGAGCGGCGCGTTTTCTGTTTTCCAATACTGTTCACAGCAAACTTGCAAAATTCACGACAAGTTGTACTGGATTCCTTGCATTGTAAAATCAAGCCGGACATTTAAGTTTGCTACAGAAACGGATAAAACGGTAATCTGAAGCTAATATATCAAAAACAGCATCTTAGCCTGAATCGTCATCTTGGCATCGAGGTATTCTAGGTATTTCAATTAGTCTCGTGCGGTTTCTTCTACATTTCGGTTCGAGAGGTTGGCCAATGTTTTGACAGGAAGACGATTCTCTTCAAGCATTCATTAGAGAACTGAAATATTTATTGATATTAAAGATTTTGAAGGTCTTACTACAATTAGCAAAATGTTTGGCTTTACGGATTCATGGGGTTTCCTTTCCTGCCAAAATTCGAGGGAAAATTAAACACCTTATTTTTATCAACACTCCCCAAAATTTCCATGTATTAAATCCCTCGGAAGTAAACCTTTGGAAGGTATTGAAAGCTTAACGGGGAGTGATTGAAATATTTTTTTACCAAAACGGAACATATAATGACTCAACATCATTGTTGAATTGAATCGACGAGGCAACTTTATATCATCGAAGAGACTCTAAACACGAATAATACTGTTACTTATCATGAACTAATATAAATGCGATTTGTTTTGGTTACTTTCAGAATTTAGCCCCCCGATGCTTTAATCAGAGAGACTCATCAAAGTATATTCTACCGTACAAGCAATACAGTTTTATAATGGCCTATTTCAGAAACTCCTTGTTTACGTTTCTGGCTGTCATTATTCTCTAGGTTTTCTATTGTTCTGAAGCGTCACCGAGCGTCAAAGTTAAATTCATTTAACTTTGACGCTCGGTGACGCGTGGCTGAAAAAACGCGCTGCGTGCGCATAGCTGCCGAAAATGCTAACCATATTTGGTCAGCGTCATGACGCGCCGCGCCGTGGCGCGTCCAGTGTGAATTCAGCCATTTTGTAGTATGTGGTAAAAAAATTCCAATGGAGCTAATCTTTGAATCTAACGTCAGTGTTCCAGACTGATGACCCCTTGGACCAATATGACCCGAGAGTCGTAATCGGTCCACACTCATACCGGTCCAGGGGGGGTCATATTGATCTGGGCAAGAAGAATGAATTTGAGGCTTTAATAAACACACCGAAGGCGCTTTTTTGATTCTGGCAGGCCTACAGTTGCTGGTTTGAATTTTTCAAATCCAAATTCCACTAATCTAAATGTGTAAAAGCTTGTTTGACTTTCAAAATATGTTTTGGACTAAGCCAAGAATTTGGCTTATTTTAGATTTATCTGGATAATTCTCCAAATTGGCTGAATATTTGAATTTTTTTAAGCAGGTGTTTCGTTTGTTATTCCTCTGTTTTAATTGCCTCTAAAGGAGCACCTTTTTGTCGATCCTTTGAGACCTTTGGGTCTTCTTTGTAAAAAAAAGAAAGCGAGGTGCCAAAAGAAATTCAATCCAATGGTGTTCTTTGTTGCAGTTTGAATCGCTTTTGATAGTGACAGAAGAGCAATTAAACATTTGTGCATATCGCCAAAGACATAAGACTTGAAAGGCCTTACAATTTTTCATAACAAAACTATATTTTTAATAAGCATTATAGTTGCCATTTTGCATTCTAGCTTGTATTTGTTTGTCGTCCGTGAAGCAGCTCTGCTGCCGTGGTCTCTTCATTTCATTGAAATTTGTTCAGCTTCTGTCATGGCCTGCGCGCGCTGCAAAAATACATTGAAATTGTGTCAATCAACAATAGACAGAAACAATGCCAAACTGCAAGGAGCAATCCAACGTAAAATAATGTGATATGATAAGCTAAAAGTTTCAAAAGATTGCCTTATTCGCCCGGAAAGGCCGGCAGGGTTTTCGCTTGCCATTTCTTAAGACAAATTGCAATCCAATGTACTTTTGCGTCTACTCCGGCGCTCTTCCGCCTGTTATCCACATCAGCTGCCTTCAAAGGAGTCCGTCACTGAGTCAGCGACAAGGAAGTCTAGGGCAGCCTTTTGGGCTTCTTCTAGTTATCTCTTCTTATTCCCTTTTAGAATGGTTTCCACAGAACTGTTGATATTTTCCTGCAAACTTTGCACAAACCTTTATTTTAAAAAATGTATCCTGAAAACCTTTGCCATTGGATTATAAAAAATAATTATCAAATAATTTGTTGAATTTATTTTTATGCGGGAAATATTTTGAGCTGACCTCTGTTAGTAGGGGCTATTACTAAAACGCCGATTCTTCGCCCAATATTTTGAATAAATTGCGCATCTTATGCTTCAAAGACAGGTCCATTGTGCATGCTTTCTTTTTACAGAGGTATAATTACGATATATCCTAACAATTTTTTGCTAATGCTTACTGATTAACAAAAGCACTAAAAGTTATTATGAAGATACTTCTCATGATCACTTTTGTCATAAACTGTTTGCCGAGCATACATTTTATCAGGTATATTAATTCCCTTAACGAATTACTGTGATCTTCCTGTCTTGCAGAGTGAATGAATATAAAGTGTGCAGTGGGTCATGGCACCACCAAGCAATTTATGGTGTGTGTGATGGAAACAGTTTGAGGGGCAAACGGATTAATAAACAAAAAAATATTTTTAGATTTAGTAAGGTTTACCCCCTGACTTTTATAAACAGTATCTTAATCCTGATTGACATTTTCATAATAGATCAATATATGCTTGTATGTATGCTTTTTTATGTTTTCGGAGTGGAGTTGTGACTAGAGAACCTGCAGGAGAACGGATTTATCATCGTACAGAGGAAATTTACTTATTATTGTGTATATAGCTATAGTTGTTTTGGAAAATCGGAGCCTTGAACCTATACAATCGGATTTATTACTTTTCGAGCTATTCTCTTGGTGTGGGGCCTACCAGCGTTCCCCACCCCAAGAAGTTATCTTGTGGGAATATATAACACACGTTTACGTTTTTATAGTTGAGTTGATAAAAATTTTCAGAGACAGCTTGAAAAAAGTGAACCTGGGGGCTGAGAATCACATTTAGTGACGTAGGAGGACCCACCATAATTGGGGCCGACGTGGAAGGAAATTTTTGAAATCATACCTTCTAAATAGCTATAGAAGCATCTCCCAGACCAAGTTTAAAAAAATACTATACCGTTAAGGATAGACAAATCGACGTTCCTCATAAGAACACAGATTATTGTTTCTGGGAGAAATAGGGAAGGGGAAGAGTCTAGTGTAGCGACAGATGTTGGGGAAATGCTTAAACTCTATCAGACGTTGGAGAAAAAAAGTGTTTTCTATTCGAGAGCAAGCGTTTTTTTCCCTGAAACCATATCGGATTCGAAAAAAATAAGGATGTATTTAAGAACATGTTCGGGCTCTGAACATGAAAATTTTCTTAGAAAAATCGAGGCCGGGCAAAATTCATTACATTATAACAATAAAGAGTTCAGTCATTGCTTCTCTCTATATTACAAGCAAAAGTACTTCTTACTTTTACGCAAATCAATCTTACTTCTTGCCCTCTTTGTCTTTTGGCCTTGTTCCGAGCTATAGTCAAAAGCAAAACTCATAATTTCCTTTTTTGTGTCTATGCTATTATCATGTCACTAAATGTGCAGTTAAAATTAAGGAGCTATTATGGAGGTCTTCGTGCCGCAATTCGACTAATAGAGGTTCAGAAATTAGGAACTTTAGGACCTAGGTTTTGAGTTAGGATTTTTATAGAAAGCGGTGTATGAAAATATGTGTAATATAACAAATTTCTTGTTCCCTTCAGAAATCGTTATATCGGGATTATACTGTATTTGTTATGTCAAACGAAATCAATAGGTAAAACCAATCTTTTGTTTCATATTCGTGTGAGACCATGCTATCCACCATCTAGGTCTTGGCTACCGTAAACAGACGTATGGTCTTCTAATGCGATTCAAGGTGCACAAAAAGTTTATCCTGGGTATACATTCCACTGCAAAGTTCCCAATGGCAGAGCCAGAGAAAGAGTGGGTGGGACATCTTGGTATAATTGATTTTGTATTTCGTCGAATTCCGATGAGAAAATTTTTGGAAGGGGTAATATTTTAGGAAATTACTATACTTGATTTTGTGTAGCCAAAAAATTAGTCTTGAGCGTATCCTACTGGTAAAATAGCTACTCTCTGGGGTTAAAAAGGCCTTTTTAGGACTGCAAAAAGGTGTGGAAATTTTCATTCCGTCCCCACCACACCTTAGTGTCTTGCCGCGCCACTGGAAGTTCCTTGTTTCATCTGCTATAAAAAGCAAACCACCAGTTCCATAACACTCCCTTGTCATATACTTTAATCATGTCATATACTTTAAACGAATTAATTTTCGTTTCTGATCCATCATTCTCCAAGGCCTTTTTCGTTAAAAAAAGGAGAAAAGGTTGGATATTGTTTTAAAGTCTTAACCTGGGTGGTACAAGAACAACTATATAGTAGATTACAATATGATTATATATCAGCATTATTGTATTAATTCCGTACGCTGATTAATAACAGGGCCGCACTAGCATATTTAGTCCCAAGCATAGATGGGCCTCTCTATGAACTAATGTGAATATGAAATCTAATGAAATTTGAATAATCATTGAATGCTGAATTTTTGTCTCTGTAGTTACAAAAAGGCATTTTATGAGTCGAATAAAAACATTTACCTATATATGAACAAAAAGAAGTTATTTCTCAAATTTTAATAGATAAATATATCTCCTCAATCATGCCTCCTCGATTTACTTGCGACACGAGGCGACAGCGACATTCTGTAACTTATGCACCCTTTCTCTTTCAAATGAATATTCAAGGGCTGAAAGCTATTTCAAGGTTTTGATAGATTTGGAAATTGAAACTTTGGACTTGAATATTAACTTGTTTTTGTGTATCCATTTTTTATTCCTATTCGATTTACTGCTAATACTCCAATTCTTTCTAAAGGGAAAAAAGTGGAGTATCTTTCTTCAATTCTGAAATGAAGAAAAATTGGAAAAATTCGACGAGGGATATGTTAAATGATTACTGTGATTTCTTTTAAAGACAATCAACGAACATTAGTCTTGTTGTTCTGGAAAAAAATCAAATCTCATTCAATTTGTATTTGAATTGACCTGTACCAAAATATATCATTGTATGGAATTTCTCGTGGCGAAGAGAAGTTTCATTATGATCAGTTTTCAGTAGCCTATTTATAGGCGCGAAGGTGTCCAGCTTTATCATAGTTGATTCTTTGTAAGCATTGGCGAAAGAGTGTTTTCAACTTTTAACGTTGACAAATAATCCCATTTTACTCAAGACTCTTTGAAATCAGAAGGAAGAATGTAATTCTTTGTCGGTAGACTTTTTACCCGAGTCAATTGAACATCCCCCCCCCCAAATGATGGCGCCCCTGCCTTAAGGTTACGGTTAACGTTCTTGACACGATATCTGGTTAACGGAATCAGATTAAATGTAGAATCAACGCAACGAGATGGATTTACGATGCCAGAAGCAGTATTATCTTTATCAGTTATGACGTTTATACTATGTATCTTCCTTAATCAAATAACGAAAAGATTTTCTGTGAATTTAGATGAGTTGCATCTAAGAGCTTAACTGTAAAGGTTTCATAACGAGATTGTCATTGTGGAAAGAATTGCGGTGCAAAGCATTGTGGAGTATCTAAAAAGGTTTTCGCTCCTTTCAGTAAATAGGCATCTCAGAACACAGGAGCAACACCTAAGTTAATAAAATTGATTAACAGCAACATTGATCTACTTTTGCCTGGAATCAAGACTCTGAATACCAAACGTGTTCCATGTCAGTTTTTGTACTTCCAACTTAGGTCTTAGCAGCGGCTTTTGACTGAGACCATGGGGTCGTGAAATTCTTCTACTCAAATGGTCTATCTATGATCTCCCATAAACTGCAACCCTTTATATAGCCTGTAGAAAGTTCATGCCAAAGAATACGTGGCCCTTTTCGTCTGGGACTCGACCATACTTGAGTTTCTCACCAACTCTTGTGTGAAATATTGTAATCAGATTTCGTGGACTTATGACGAGCGTCACAATAAATAATTTTCTCATAAATAACACTGCAACAGATCGTGCTCAAAATGTCATAGATCCAGACACTTTGTAAACGGAATGTATCATTTTCGGAACTTTCGAATTAATAAATTTTGTTTCTTTCATTACAGATGCTTAATTAGGGCGTGGCCTGCAGCACGTCACACCCATATTATGTAGAATAGAACGAACTTGTTCAGTGCGCGCCACAACTGCTTTCAGACCGTTTCCTGCAGGCCGCATGGAGAACCAATTAGTGAATAAGATAAAGGCAATGTGTTGCGATGTTTTTTGGTTAAAAGCATACGATTATATTTTAGCGAGTTTTCAGTGAGTGATGAAGGCTAGCACAAGTCAACAAAAGAGTAAAACATATATGAAATCCTTAAAATTAAGCAGATTTCGTAATCAAATAATAATCTACATACAAAAAACCTTTTATTCTTTCCCACCTACACTGTTTCAATTACAAACAGCTAACAAGCATCAGAATTTGAATTCCTTGTACTTCTTTGCTGCCTTTCCACTGTCGGTTGGTTTCTTTCGTTTCTAAGAAAAGTGAGAATATTTTTAGAGATGCCTTTCGTTCCAGAGAGTCTTTTGGCAAAATACCACAAATTCAAAGTTAACGTTAAGATCTGTAGTTAAGGTAATAGGAAGCCGGTTACAGGGGGAGATGATTATGTTGTTAGCTCTAAAATGTTTGACAATGCTTAGCTAAAAATGCTTTGCCAGGAATTTACGTGCGGAGGAAATCTAGGAGTATGGAAGGGTAAAATAAGTATCAGGGGAAAACTAAGTGCACCAACAAGAGATATGATAGTAGGGCCAAAAGGTTTGTAAGAATAGTTGTGAGATTATCAGAAAAATTGGTAAAAAATAAAGACTGATAATGAAGAGCGAAGGCGGTAGGTAAAAAAAACCAAGAGAAAGATGAAAGGCTAAAAAGAAGTAACAAAGAAAGAAACAAATAAAAAACAAGAGTAAACACATGGTTTATCAATAAGTGTAAAATACGGTCCATACCTTTTTAGCTGCATGTTCCGCAACCATATCACTGAGATCCTCCTTCTCTTTGATTTTCTCCCGCTCTTTTATCGTTTCGTCATATCTGTGAAAAAGGAATTTGATGTTGATTGAGAACCAAGTTTTTGAATGAATTATTACTGAAAGTCGAGGAACAAACAAAGGTTAGCAATCTACCAATGGCTATTACACCAGTATCTAATCAAACTGATCCTATCAATCTGTTCTACACAACGTACTGCAAATGTAAGCTAGTAGATGTGACAAAAAAGAATGAATTACAGCTTCAATAAGCAATACCAAATTTTGAACCAGAATTGAAAATAAAAGGCAAGTTCAAAAAAAAAAGAATTTGCCTCACTAATACTTCAGCAGACGCTTAACAATATGTTGAATATATGCACCTAACAACATGAATTAAAGTGACCTTTTATTCAATAGTAATACATTGATCTTACAGAAGTTCAAAAGTATGAAATTTTCAAAAGCAGATCGCTTACTTAGCCGACATTGCAGCTGGGTCGAGTTCCAGTTCGCTCGGATCCAAAGCAATTTCGACGCCTTCTCCCGGAGCAGTCTAACGCAAGAAAAGGAACTTTAGTTTCTAGCTAAAATACTGAGGCACTGAATCATGATAGACAGGCGTCCTCTGCAAGGAGTCATTTGCTTTCGATGTTATTACTGTAGTTATATGCAAAATTGTTTACAACAGACCGTTACAAAACCCATTTTAAAATAAGTACAAGGTAACTTAATGTGATCGGTCATAGGTCCACCAATAGTCTTACAGCACAAAAATCGTGACCTAGCGTATCTGATACAATCTCTTTTCATCAAGACATCATTGAGTATACAACTTCCTTTTATGCCATTAGGTAAAGTTAGCTGACAAAATTGTCGCAAATCGTTTTCTCTACCCCTCTGTGACTACAAATTGCACATAGTTTTGATGTTTAACAGGCCACAACCCTTTACTAAACTTTTACAAGCACAGCAAAAAACAGCATCATCTATATATACATTTGAAACTATAAGGACTCGTCCTTCCCAAATGAAGCATTGACAACTAAGGCTAGGGAATATATTTGATCAAAGGTTTCTGTTACGAGTTCTCTGCATTCAAAAAGAATCTCCAGGTTACGATGCATTACGAAACGCACACGACAGGTCAAGCTGAAATAGAAATCATTAAAACACATGTCACAATAATTACCTTTTTTCCTCCAGGCTGCAAAATAGAAAAAAAATAAATTAGAGTTGGCCATTAACATTGGACAAAGCCCTCAACAGGTGCAAAAAGCATTTGACAAACAAATAAGTTAAAATATTTCAAAGGTTGTCTTTGAAATGAATAAGAGCTGGGTATCCTTAAAAATCATTCTGAAGGATTTGCACCAAAGCAAAAATATACAGCAATCTTGTTGCTTTTTGTTTCAATGGAACTATATTAATGATTTGACGTTGTCCAAATCCAAATCATTTAGGTGATTTTTTTTTAAAAAATAAAGGAAAATTCAAAATTATCTGTAACTCGGCAAACACATAGATAAGACTGCTTACTGCTGTTGAAAATGCATTACCAAAATTATTACTGCTATAGAAAATGCTATTAAAACCGACCTTCATCCAAATTCAAATTGATAGCATATGTACAAGGCGACTAAAAGATAGCACCACTATACATATGTAAATGTAACCAATACTGAAAGATATGGTTGAGAATCACACCATCCCAGGGGCAAATCTTCTAAGCCTTATGACATAAATGGGGGTATAAAATTCTTTGCAGTAGGGCCTACCATTATCTTGCGACAAATAGCAAAAAGGCAGCCTATTAAAATGAAAATTTAAAACTATGCCACAGCTTCGCAGGAACCTAAAAAACAAAATTACTACTGCATTTTACCAGATTTAAATCGTAAACATGAGCGGATCCCATCATTGCAGCACCAACATTTGCTTTCTTCTCGTGCAAAATTGTAAACAGGGACGGTGTTTCACTGCCTGCTTCCATTAGATCTTCGATTTCTTTTCGCTTTCTTAGTTCGATTATATCTGGCGTTTCTAGGCCAGCCGGTATCGATGATATGCCACTCGGTGTAATAAGACCACTAGAAAATCAAATTCAATATCTTGATAAAGGACATGAAATATTAGACACCAGAGATGCCTAGAATACTTATGAAGATGGAAGTACAGGTCTTATAATAAAATGGAAAAGCTTGAAAATGACTTTCAGACACTTTCAGGTTTTAGAGGACAAAATATCAGGAAACTGTTCTGTCTTTCAGCTGTTGTAAGAATTTTCAAAGAAGTCTACAATTAAGGCGAGGAAAGGAAAAGCATCCAAATTTTCTAAATTTCATATCAGTTGAGCCCAAATGTTACATTTTGGCATTTTAACATGCTTGCATTGCTCTTTTTCCCCGATGAAAGTATGTTTATAACAATAAGGGGATTACACTAGAACCTATCATTTCAAAGTCACATAAGAGCTTATAGAAAAAAAGAATCTTTCAGAAAGGCATATCCAACATGACAATTATCAAATGTAGTTCAGCTAAGTCTCTGTTGGCAACCAAAAACCAACATTGTCGACGTTAACTGACCATGTTGATTTTCCTCTCCACAATGACACGCAAAGCTAGCAAAGAGAGCTGTGAGTGTGGTAAAGAGAGGAGAAGAGTAACAAACAAAGTATTAACCACAATTCCTCTCCTAAATAGAACAAAGAAGCTCATATAGGGCTTAAGGACAGCAACAATTTTTCGATCTCTTTATTGGAGAATTGATATCTAATTACTATTGCAGCGCTAGCATTGATAATTCTTCAAAGGTTTTGAAACAAATCCTTCCAAAAATTGTAAGGGCAATCTTCGAGCAATGGGCCGTTGCAGAAAAGTAATGGCTTCTGGCAAAATAACAGAGATCAATCCTCCACTTCTTGTCCAGGGAAATATTAGTTAAAGAGCCTTCTGTTGCAACAAAAAAGGACCAATAATCCTTCACTATCATCTGCAAACATTGATGCAATCAACACTATGAATGTACCACAATACGATACATACGCATCTCCTGGTGTTATTAGACCAGTATGGTCCTCTTCTTCCTCATCTTCCTCCTAAAAACAACAAAATCATATCAACGAAAGTTCCTGCATCTCTAGTTTACAATTCGGCCCCAGACTGTACTTATAAATGCGATGTTGAAACCGCGAGGATGTGAACGCCCACCAAGTTAACAAATCTATCTTATGGCATTAAATGCAATGTTTGTCATCAAGATCTCATTTAAGTAGGTGTATACACAGAATGGATGAGATTCATTTTGGACCATATATGTCTGCTTCCTAATAGGTTTTGACTAAAAATAAGCAATGATACAATGAAAAGGGGTCTGAATAATGCTTAAATCTTCTAACGAGGTGAATCATACTTCATATTGTTTTGGAGATATTGTGACATATTTTTTTTGCAACCAAGAACTCTACCAAGCATGGTTGAATTTCTTTCTTCACGGTTTTTCTTCATGCGTATTATAACATATACATATAAAATAAATCACAAAAAACTCAATTCAATTAAACAAATAACAGAGGAACAAACCTCAGATTCTTCCGACTCCTCGTCCGATTCAAGTTCACCCCAAGGTGTCCGGTCTATTTCATCATCGTCGACAACAATTGGGACTTCTTGGGGCTGCGTTCCAAATACGTCACCATATAGCGGTTTACCGTGCTCATCGACAGGAGGTTTGCCCCATCCACCAGCGTGGTAACCAAACGAGGCTCCCTAAAACATGCAGTGGAAAATGTTTCATTGGGTTCCGTGAAAACAAAATAAATTAACTTTTTCAAACATTTGAATATGAAAAAGTTGTTTTTCATGGCTACATTATATTTCCATACTATCTTCAGTATAGCAATAGCCTACGAGCCTATCATCTACTCGGATAAAGAAACATAAAACAAAGAAAATATAAAGTGACCATACCTCCGGGATTGCAGCATTGAGGCCGGGAATCTTCAAGTTTGGGTAGGACGGTGGCGGTCCATAACGCTGCATGGCAATCAGCCACGGGGGTGGTATCAAATGCTTTCCCTGAATTATAAAAATTCGATCAACTCAGATCAATGTAAGTAAATTTACAATTTAAAGGAAATGAAGATTTAAATGCAAAGATGATTTTCCCCTCGAATTCTCTTTATATACACAACATATAGCTGGACAAGAACAAGGAAACATTCCCCCTATTAAAAGTGTTATGTATCCAAAAAGTTTTGTTGCACAATCGAAGACTAATGATTGAAAAAATCCTCCTTAATCTTTCGTGTTGATAAATAAAAGCGGCCCAAATATTAGAAAAACAGGAATTCAGGACGATCTTGGCAAACAATATTTAATCTTAGCAAACAATATCATGAAGCAGCTGTAAAATGCAACGGTGGCAGCGCTGCCCACTTGAGAATGAAGAAACTGTTGAAGGAATTCACGAGTTTAATCAACTCAATTCATCGAGGTAATAATATAAATAGCTAACCAACCTAATACAGCAGTGCTCTTTTATACGTTTATTGTAATAAACGTATCTACTGTAGAAACTTTTCTAGAAGTTTCTAGAAAAGTAACGTTCCAGAAGGTCCGAGAAAGCGGAAGAAAACAAATTGAATTGGACTAATACTACGAATATACTAGAATGATCTGAAAGAAAAAGCAAGAATGTTCCACAATAAATTTGACAGTCGGGTAAGACTGTATATTTCCAACAAGAACTTCGTATCACTTTTCTTTGGGGGGGGGGGGGAGGCATATACTGTCTTAAGTAAAATTAAAGGCTTCCTTCCCACTGCTCACGGCATCGTGTAGCTTATTATTACGTCATTAAAATCGACTGATTTGCACGTACCGGTCCAACAGGCATTCCGAGGGCGGTTCTTAATTCATCGGATAAATCTCCTGGTTTCTTTTCCTTCAGCTTCGTTTCAAATTCTTTTCCCTGTGAAACAGGCAAAATAAAATCAGACTGGAATTATATTATACAAAGGTTTGTTATCGATAATAATATTTTTACTGATATTTTGGGATGGGCTTACTCTGATATCTAAAAATTCATAAGTGAACGAAACTATGCGCGGTTAGGCCAATCTAAAACAATTCTACAAAACAGCACAATAACCTGGATTAAAAAAATTCAAAAGTATTGACAATTCAAGAGTAGCTAATATAGGAAACTCAATGATTTTAAAATCATTCATTTAAAATTATTTCTTACTGGTAACCAGTACTTTAACAAATTTATTTTAATTTACAGATAAATAGATTCGAGCAAACTTCAATGCAAACTTCAATAATGTAAGAAAAAACCTGCATGCATGATTTTTTGGTTAAAAGGACAAACGATGTTTACTTATTTGATCAAGCAAGCTTCCATTTTCACGCGATCGATTTTCATATAAAGAGTCGCTGACCCTTCGCTCAGTTCCTACCGAATATTCTGATAGATATAAAGAAAGGTCCTCTTGCCGACTGTCTCTCAACAGGCCCCATGCAAGCAGCCACTCTCTAAGTGACCTTTCCTTCGACAAATAAGCCTTTTTCCAAGCTCGACTTGACACACTACTTGAATACACATCAAGATTTGCCATTCTGGTAAACAACGTCCTTCTTAATCAACTGCTTGATCTTGCTACACTCAGAAGATATCGTGACTGCTAGCTATGTTTGTCTACGATAAATTAAGACCACCAGAATGAAGTCCTACAGGTTTTATAAAACCTTTGATTAATTCCCTCGTTGATTTCCCTCAAATGCTCTTTGTCCAGAGTTGACATTCCGTAGTGAACTTTGTCTTGGAGTCTTTGAATCTATTCCTCAATTCAGCATTATTATAGCTTCTTCGTGTTTAGTAAAGGCTTTAGTACCATGTCTTATCATTAAGACCTTTCAAGGTAACACAGAAAGATTTCTCGCTTCTCCAATTGGCATCAAACTGACGTAATAAACTCATATTCCGAAATATATTTATAACCATTGGAAACGAATCGTTTTGTCGAGGGATAATGCAACGTGTAAATTTGAAAGGATGTGAAGGCAAAAATAAGGTGGAGATTATCCGATCAAGGGCCTTATAACATTACACTCGGGTGTTCTAGAAATGGAATGAAATAAACTCACTTGATTAACGTCTTTGAAGAAGAAGAAAACAAAAAGCTTACCTCATAATAAAGATCGCCATGCATTGTCATCTTTGGTTTCGTTTGGTATCTAAACAAAGTGTATAAGTATCTTAACGTATTCGTAAAACATATAATAACAGCCTAAATTGAGAGTTTTCGGGTAACAAAATATTTTAATTTAAAGAAGTTCTTTCAAAAATCTTGCTTGGTAGCGAATAAAAGCGCAATTCTTGTCAAAATTTTGAAGCTCCAAGTAAAGTTGTAGAAACGATGATTATACAATCTATTGGCGAGTAAAAGAATCAAGCTACTGTGAAATATAAGAAAAGGAATAAAATCTGAATAGTTGCTGAAAACATCTAAAACACATAGGGAATACAAACACAAAAGGAATCATGTGCTGGATTAGAAAACGGTAACAAAGAGAGGGTTCACAAAATATATTAAACAGGTGTTCTAGCGACTCGAACTTACTTGAAGAAAGCATCATGCAACTTCTGATAATCAATGTCAACTTTTCCAAGCTTTGGTCTGACCTTGAATACAACAATTGTAATAATCATATACCAAGCATGTTAACAAAAACTTCACACAAGATCACATTAACCAGATCCCAGATCTTTGTGCCCAGATCGAGACCAGCGTTCCATCCACTGTGCTTTAGGCGATTATGAATAAGGAGGCAGAAAATTACAAAATTTCAAGGCCCTATTTATATTTTTTAAAAAAGTAAACGGCTGGTTTTAAGGAACTTGATTTGATAATGTCACAAGTGTGAGAGTTACATCATTGGAGATCTGTCACTTTATACTGCTAGGGACAAGGGGTTGCTGCTCTTGTAGTAAGTGGGTTTATGACCAACAACTAAACGAAAATTAGTTGGATTTCACATCTAAGAAAACTTATTCCGGTATAATAGCCAAAAGCGCGCAATGCGAAATCAGTCGCTACCCCCATTTCTCTATGCGATTAAAAATTAGTTCTTTTTCAAAATAGAACCATACCTTGGCTCTCTGTTTGGCTTTCATATTTTTTGCATCTTCCTATAAATAAAAATAAAGCTTTTAGCATGTGAAAGAAATTTGAGGTACAAATTAAACCAAGATGAAAATATAAGGTAGGCGATCTCATTATAAACGCCATGACATAATCAGTTTTACATTTGCGAGAGGTTAATCGCACCTGTGAATCATAAAGATACAATAACAAATAACATGCATCCCTTATTATTTGGGTTTAACTAAGAACTGATTGTTTAAGTAAAAGAAAAAGTTTTAAAGTACAAAAAGAGTCGGCCAATCACAGATAAGTAAAACTTAATTGATTCAACAACCGGAAGATATGTATCATAAGATGCTACGAAGAAATTTTATAAAATCAGTTTCACTTGCTGCAAGATTAATAAGGAACATTTCGATTTATATATGAAGTAATGAGCAATTTGGAAGATAGCGCTTCTCTGTAATGCATGAAAAACATTGCGTCTTCGTTTAAGGCAGAAAAGGCTAATAAGACAAACCTTTTCCTGCATCGCAGCTCTCATTTCCATAATGCCCGTGTTCTGCAAAAAAAGAGGCAGTTGAGGGTTCTGAATAGAGTCTTAATCAAAAGCTTTCAATTTTAAGGACAAGGAATTGGCAAAGGTTTGTCTAATGTCAAAAGATTTTTATACTTGTTGGTTAAATAAAATACTGGGCAAAATCAAAATTGGTATTAGCACCAGTAAAACTAACAACTTTAGTGTGTTAAATGTCTTCCAGCTTGGCATATGTTTAGGAAACTTCAAGGATCAACATATTTGGAGTGCATTTTTTACTGTTTTTACTTTCAAGCTTTAGAAAAAGTGTGAGATATTTCAAACACCAATAGCCAACGTTTAATGGGTCATAAATTTGGTACTACAAATATCTTTGCAACATGTAATCACTTACCTTGATAAACTCTGGTAGTTCAAATGGAGGCTTAACAAAACCTCTTTTTCCCTGCAACAAGACACAAAGTATGAAAGATTGTTTTCCAAAAGACTGAATCCAAATAAACGAAAAACAAAGACGATAAAATTTTGTTGCAAAGACGATAAATAAACAGTTTCATCTGAGGTAAAAAAGGATCTGAAAGAATCAATTCGTAGCCATAGACGAGACCCCTTTACCACGCCATAATAGCTCATAGCATTCAGTGCAATACCTCGTCTTTAAGAATTAAATTCTATGCAGTGTTTTCAGGCAAAAAATTGACTAAATTAAGGTAATCCAGGCTTATAAAAAGAAATAAGATACGACTTACACAAACAAAGTCAACATAAATGAGCTAGGCAAGATCAAAATCGAAGGAGATTCAGCAGAGAGGCAAGGAAACGGCACAACAAAATACACTTGTGAAACGTAGTTAAAATTCTGCTTTCCTAAACAACATCAGACTCTCCATAAACATGTTAGTATTGACCCGAAAGGAGGTCACTTAACGATGTATCACACAAAATGAAAATAGTATGAAAAAATAATTCTTATTTAGAGGAAGTCCTACCTGAAGGTATTTTCTCTTAAAGCACCAGTGCCGTGGAACTGGAACAGTGTTCCTGTATGCCTGCAAAACAAACAATGGTCGAAATTTTCACTCGATAATGAAAGTTGCTTTCTCACATATTATGTGGAAACCAAAAATTATATACACAAGACATTATGCCTGATAAAAAATAATACAATTATTTCACAGTTGTCCCGGAGCAAAGGAAACAAATCATTGGGGACATTACAATGTTAACAAGCCTCTCGCAATTATTACTGAAACTTCCCAAATTATGGCAATCCTTACTACCAAATGATAACACTGTTTATTAATTAATATGAATTGAATAATTAATACGATATTAATAAATAACTCATGTGAGGCCTTTGACTCGCATGAGTTAAAACGCTGCAGCGTTCAATTGTACTTGCACAAATTCGCAGCGCGTTCAAAAGCAACTGTTTATCTTTGTGCAATTAGATATTTATAAGTACAGTTTTTATTAATGGCCTAAGTGAAAGCATAGTGGTAGCTTACTTTGGTCTGCTGTAAAAATTGTCGGAAAACTAAATTTCAATTTTGATAATTGTTTCAAACTTATACTGTCCTCAGCTATTTCAATTCTGGTCCCTAAATGGTATCGATTATATATAGATCTTTCTCAAATGACTTGATGTCATTTGATTGAAATCACTTTTCACACCTCTAAATGAATGTTATTAAAACGTAAGAACCCCTCCCTTGGCTAAAGTTGATCTAGCCACATAAAGAGAGTTTGGAGAAAACTAAAAATTTCTTAAAATTCCCTATTAACAGCGAAATTCTCACAAACAGATCAAGAGCAAAACCTTTAACATAATTCTGCTGTGTGTCAAGGTTCAGGCATTGTGTGGGCAATTCAATGAAATGGCCTCAAACTCTCGTCCGCGTCCGTCCAGGTCCAAGGAGTAGAGTTATACCTTTGCAATCAAATTTGCCCTCCTCTGAAAAGCGGTGTTTTGATAACAATACTTTGATTCTCTCATGCGATACCACAGTTACTATATGTTCTGTTGAATCAGACTAGCGATATTCCATCATTAAGAATAATCAATAACAGTGTGCTTCAAAGTTGGTCTGCCTCTTCACACGTATGACAAATTGGTCTGCCTCTTCACACGTATGACAAATTGGTCTGCCTCTTCACACGTATAGAGAGTTTGGAGAAAACTAAAAATTATGAGTGTGGTAAAAAGAGGATCAACGACATCAGCTGTAACTGATACACTGTAATGACAATTTTAATAGCTAATGCATGATCCTAAGATCGAAGCCGTGACGTGCATAATGGAGGATTTAATAGCCCTTGAAATAATCAGACTGAGAAAAGAATTACAGATTCTTACCAAACTTTTGTAACTAATAAAGGCCTATACAATAAAACTCAACCTTATCTAACATCAAAACGTTTATATCTTTCTTTCTGAATTCTCATTTTCATGATTCAACATGATTAAAACTCCCTGGAACTTTATGCTCAATAAATCCTTTTCTGACAATGGAAGCATTTCAACTTTCAGCAGCAAAAAGTAGCTTAGATTTTGTCGTCTATCGCTTTTCTATTTTGTTGTATACTTGTTTTAAATGTAAAATCTGAAAACCAACCTTGAGGTAAACAAGAAGGCGGGGATCTTTGGCGTTGACGTCATGCATTTCGACAACATCAGGACGGTGGACTAGCTGTTGGATTAAATTCAGACTAAAATTGAAAACTCTAGTAAAGATAACAGAATAGGAACGACAAAAACTTTAAAGAACAAGAATCAAACACCAAAATAACATTAACAAGTAAAGTGTCTGCAATGTTGCCAAAGAGAAAGAAAAGATGCTTTTATCATAAGCAAGTCAAACATTACAATTATCAAAATCCCCCCCCCCCCTTCTGTTTTATGAAGCAATTCCTATTATAAGTAATTGAATGAGGTTTTTGTATTCCCTTTATTGCTTGCAATAACAAGGTTGTAGCCGCGTTGCAGCTAGTGTACGTTTGTACAACAAGTTCAAGCTTTGGTTTGTAGTGAATTGATAATTACTTGCTGAATGACTCCCCTAATTTTACTTGGTGGGGATAGGAATCATCATAATTATAATCTTAAGATAGTATGATCCAAAAACCAAAGGTGTCCTATTGACCTATGTAAATAGCAATTGCCAACCATCAAACGATTAGCAAACTTACATAAACAAATGAAAAAACTTAGATATATACAAATACTAGTAACTGGATCGATACAAAAAACAAGAAGATTCAAATACAGAGACTGGTAAAAGCCCATGAATTCTGGCGAGGGGTGCTGAAAAAAACCCGAGCGGCACCCGAGCAGCACCCGAGCGGCACCCGAGCGGCACCCGAGCTGCACCCGAGCGGCACCCGAGCGGCACCCGAGCGGCACCCGAGCGGCACCCGAGCGGCACCTGAGCGGCACCCGAGCGGCACCCGAGCGGCATCCGAGCTGCACCCGAGCGGCACCCGAGCAGCACCCGAGCGAAGTGGTGAGCTAAACATGATAAACTGACCTGCTTTAGTTGAGCAACTGTTAACCTGCTCTCCCTTTTAAGTTTCTTCTTCGATTTCTTTGGCTCATCATCACCCTTGAATAAACAACGTGGTCGTATAAATAGAGTCCACATCAAAAGGAATGCAGAAGTTATATACATGTTCAAGCAGGTTGAACAGGGCAAACTCTGCGTTTACTTTTTCTTGTAATATATTCCGATAACATATCAACTGAATCAAGGATCAAAGACTTACGGCTCATGGGACAGCAAAGTTTAGTGTTAATGCAGCACGCGCATTTCACAAATTATAATAATCATAACCATATTACGTCATTGGTCATGCTAGTTTCTTGAGGCCCGGGCACACTAGCAAGTTAAACATTGATATGTGTATGCGGTCTACAAGCAAAGCCTTGCGATACAAGATTCGGGTTGCACCGAGTCCATTTTATTCAAACGAATTCTTTAATTCCTTTTTTAGAACATTTATGCGGCCCAGCCCAACCCAGATTCATCTTCCAGCGGCCAGCGGCCTAACGCAGATTCATCTTCCAGCAGCCTTCAAATAATTTGAGCCTGAGACCCAAAATACGGTTCAGAAAAACTTTCAGATGTATCTTACCCTTTCAATTTCATCTTCTTCCAAAATTGGGTCCTTTTCTTCAATCCTCTTTACCGGTGCCTTCAAGTTTAAGTATTAAACATGTTAGTATTTTGTTTCTATTGCTGCGACTATTAATGTGAGTGGTGGTTATAATTCTAGCTTATAGGTTAAGGATTACAAAATTTAAAATTAAAGGTGTACATGTAAAGATATAAGATAGGACAAAATTGAGGCAAGCTTCATCGGATCTAACAAGACAATCGGACCACACATTAAAAATTGGGCTTTTAGCCTTCTGATGTGATGGATAAATAGATTCCTAATATTATAATGGGTATATTTCAAATTAGAAGGACAGCCCTGGCCACTAGCAGCGCAGGACTTTCGAAAGCAAAAATACTTGAATCACAAAAAGGAGGTACATGGATAAGAGAATTAGAAGAAAGATAATTACCGCTTCTTCCTTCTTTATTTCTTGTTTGATATCTTTGGCTGAGACCGTGTCTGCAAGCTAGGAAGGAAGTAGAATACAGAGAACGGGTACAAACATGAAGATCATTCCGGCTAAAGAATAATTACAAGTAGATAAGAAAAGAAATTGATCACCAAGGAAGTAAAACTGAATAAAATCAACTTTCAGTATTCTGACAAACCCAGAATCATAAAAGAAAACACAAAGACACAAACAAATTAACGACCAATTTACCAATCATCTAGGTTTGGAGCTTTTATTAGGACCAATTGACCAATCAGAAACCGTTAACCTTTCGCATAGTTGAAAGGTAAGCGAAACATATTTTTTCTGATGCATTAAGATCTTTTTAATCTAGACAGATTCGGAAACAGTGTAAAGAAAATATGACCCTTCTTGCCCAATGATTTCAAAATTTTATCACAATCCGCGCTGGAACATTCTGTATTTTTTGAGCAAATGTTGACCCAAGGTCGAACGTTGGCTTTCGATGTGGATAATCTGAGATGTGGCTGTGCTCTTCAAGGGAACATTTTTAATCTTCTGACCGTATGAACATGCTGTTGAAATTCATCTCAACTTGGTTAAGCATTATCTTTTAAGATAAATGGGAGCATGACATTGGCTTATTTCATTTTCACATTTTGTTTTGCCAGTAATTCATGCTATTTTGACATTTGACGAAAAACTGCAATGAAATCAAAAGGGAGGGCTTTAAAGTTTTCTCACTATGGCTTGTACATTCAGGGTCTTGCCGAAAACCCGGATGTCAAATGCAACAACCAATCAGAACATAAAATCCGACATATTGTTAGAAGAAACAAAAGGTAAAACACGACAACGGGATGAACATTATGACACGAAAAGTTTTCTTCATAACTTCCCTACAGGGTTTGTTTTTCCCACGCATCCATCGTTACACATGTCCTCTTTTCAGCGTTCATGAAAAATTGCAACTAGAAATTCATTGCAGAAAAATGACACCTGTGCCATTAGCTAAGATTCATGCTATGAGGCCTACACTTTTAAAACATTCTAACCTTGAAGGCTTCAAAAATCTTTGCAAATGCGGCATAGTTTGGATCACCAACTGGAATCTGGACGTTCTCTGGGACGTATTCAATTTCTGGTCCATCGTCTACCATCCCTGGTCTCTCAGACGCCCCCTAAGATGAAATAAATAAATCAAAGATACCTTGTCCCAAAGGAGTGACAAGTTGAAATATTCTAAATCTGAAACAGTCATTTCGCCTTCTAACAAGGCTCTATCCTCTTCAAATAAGAAGATACCATAAAACCCCCGAATTAGCCCAATGGGTTTATAGATACATTATCAGGGGCGGGGACTTATTTTGAGAGTGTACGGGGCTTGTAAAAACTACCTAAAAATAGCCATACAAATAGCTCATTTTTAAAGCTTAATTGTCTACTTGAATCGTGTCTTTTGATCGGTCGTTATGGCAGAGCGGTAGAGTATAATAGTTTTTTTTAAATATTCACCCCCCTTCTTATTTACCACACCCAACTAATATCATACGGTTAATAACCGTGACAGACGTGTCAAGTGATTACTTCTAAGTACGTGATCGGTCCAATTACATTATTCAGGAGAGGGGGGATTATTAGCAGTGGCGAAGCCAAAGATTGTGCCAGTCGTGCCCGGCACGACCATAAATTTCCAGTGATAAGGGTTTCCGATAGTGCTAATAATAGTTTTTATTCTGCGTAGAAGAGAGGAATCGATCACGTTTATTTTGCAAAAATGGCTTTAAAATATTGCCAAGCATTGTGTACAGTTTATTTATTATTATCACTTCAGGCTTTATCTTAAATCAAGAAACTATTTTAGTGGTGAGTTCCTTGGATGGGTTAACTTAACATTAGAGGCTACCCAATGTTATTCAACAAAACTGTCAAAATAGCAGGACACAAAGTTATTTATAAAGCTCATACTTTCTGGCACTCACTGTTAAGTGCTTTTTACCTGTGGCTAAATAAATTTCAATAGCGTGGTATTACTGGAAAAATTTGTCAAGCAGTTAAATCCTTTATGCATGTCTTAAACTTCTAAACCAATTTTCTTTCAATGCCAATTTTTACCAATCCTTTGAATGAAATTCCCATTTTTATGTGTACGAAACAAATTTTGCTTGCATTCAATATACATTTTAAATTTGATTTTATAGGTGTACATGGTTTCTACTGTTAAAATAAACATTTTTATTATAGAAACATAATATAATAAATCTTAGAAACATGTTTATGTGAAATAATTATTTATATCTAGTGCGTTAATATCTGGCTTAATAATGCCAAAAATAAAAAAAGGTGCCTTGATCCCCAAATTCAATTTGGAAAGACAATTAATGTTGAGTATTAGCAAGGTGCAAAGGAGACAAAGAAACAATTCCTATACATTCCATTTCAATTCAAATGAATTTTGACAGATAAATATTGCAGTCTCATGCAACTACTGTCTGTGTTTTTTAGATCACTGATGCGGAGGTGCATTTTAACTGCGCAGTGGGCAATGGGCACGACCGTCAGTTGGAGTCCGGCTTCGCCACTGCTTATTAGCGTTATACGCTTCTCACATGTGAGCTAAATCGAGCGAGGCTTATGTGAAGAAGGAGGGGCTATTCCAGAATTTGCAGCAATCTCACTTATATAGTGTTGTCAAGCTGAAATAAATTGCAGAAAGTCAGAACTCTGTTTGGTTTTACGAAATATTGAGAGTGCATACCCAATATTGTACTCATATTTACATACTCAATATAAACATACTCACTTGAGAGTACTTATATCAAGATAAAATATATTCATGTGGCTTTCCATGTCAGGATGGAACATGAAAAATTCTTCTCCTTTGGATAAAGCCCTCTACCGATTGGCCAGAACAAGCCTCTGTAGATTGCATATGAATCATATCAAATACCTTTGTTTCTTGTTGAGTTCTAGTCTTCTTTTTCTTTTTCTTTTTCTTCTTTTTCTTTTTATCATCGGATTCTTTCGCTTCCTGTGAATTTCAACATAATCTCGTTTTAATTTTAACTTAAAGTAAAATTGTTGAAACACAAGAAAAGAAATTAAGTAGCTTCGCTCTATTTCAAAAAATTAACTTGCATCTAAGGGCAGAAACTGGATAGAAAATTTAGAAACATGCATATAAGAAAATTTAGGCCCTTTTAGGAAATTTAGAGTATCGTGAAGATGTTTTTGCAGAAGTTTATACGTGAAATAACCTGGGTTGACAAAGCGAGCTTAAAAACACATATTCTAACGTGACCTAACTTGCATTGGTGAAAGGGAAATTATGACTCATCGTCCTTTCTTCCAATCTATACGATCAGTTTTTTCTTCTTTAGGTGAAAACGGACGTAAAAAAGGACCGTGTATTTCAGGCTTAAGTAAGGGGAAAAGACGAACTTTCTTTGTCCCACAATGTCATGCGTCTATGTTTTACACAATGCAATGCAAACATAGCAATGTGTGAATACAACAAACAGAACACCAGCAAAATGCTATTACAACTGAACAGAATAGAGAAAACTGGTTAATTCCTTCGCGGGCAGTGGCGGATCCAGACTACCGCCAGTACCGCTCGAGCTGTAGTCAGATTATTCAAAAAATTATAGAAACAAGGATCATTTTCATGTTTATCCTACTACTTTAATTAAACCATAGTTAAAAATTGAAAATATTTGATCGCGCTGCAAACCAAGCATTCCTTCCTAGAAACATGCCTGAAATTTCCACAAAGACAGAAATACTTTTTAATCCCTATCACATGTTTGCAAATAAAAGGCTAGCATGGGGGATGATGAAATCATGGCATGCTAGCTAGGGGGTTGAGTCGGTGTAGAGCGGATTCGAGCTGCACTGAGCGGTAGTCAGCCTGCCTAAACCAATCAAATCATCAGAAATCACAGCCAACCTGGGGGGATGCATACAAATTTTGTTGACAACCAATGAACAACCGAATTGACTACCGCTCAGATGGGGGTTGAGTACTACTGCCGCTCAACACGGCTCAAACGTTACAGAAAGAAGGGGGGATGCCTACATATTCTGCAAGTGGGCAAACTGTAACCTCAAAGACGTATTTAGACTCAAATATTCTAAAATTTAAGAAGGCATCAGGATTTTAAAAGTCAGGCCCACAAAGTGCGCCAAAAGTATGATTCTTTGTTTAACAAAAGTTGCTCTCAATAATTGCAAGTCTTGTCTGGCTTTTTAAACTTATAATTTCCAACAGGTCTGACTTTCATAAGTAATGCAGGCACGTAAATACTAGGGGGGGTGTGGGGGGTGTGGCCTGGGATTGCACATTAATAAACGATGTTAATAATTCATAAATAGTCATAATAGTCCGAGCAAATAAACAAAGACTGACTTCATTAAACCACAAGCAATTAGTTTTTAGTTATCGGTCCCTTTAGAAAATATAATTACAAAAGATATGTGTAAATGTTCCAAGTCAATTAACCAACCGGCAAATACAAAAGATATTACCAGCAAAAAACGCTATTACGAAACAAAAGAAAGTTTAAGAATAACGAAAACACGACCTTGATTAATAACACGCATATTAATTACGTAAGTAAAGCGCGGGAAAGGGGTTTGTGCAGCAAACTCCCTGCACTCCGCGATATCTCTTCACTTAACTCAACCAAAAACAATTCGTTGGTTGACGGTGTTGGTCCAGATCGCCTTGGCCTCCTTCTCGTCCTAACCTACATTAACTACAAAGAATTTTGTCGTGACAAAATTTTGGACAAATATTTTGACGAAATCTTCTTCGATGAAATTCAAAATAAGACGAAATTTTTTGCATTTAAGACTTTAGAGAATTCGCATAGAAAAACTCTTACAGGAGGTTAGGGATAAAATTAATGTATCCTTTTTATCTTTCCAATGTCAACTACGTCCTTTTCATCATTTACAAATCTCCTTAATTATCCTTACCGTCGGCATCATGATTATCATCATCATTGTCGGTTCTTGAAATCACTTCGTTATCATCATTGTTCAATAAAAATAGTTCTCAGTTACGTAGCGAGAGGGAGGCAAGAGGAGCGGGTGCCCGCCCCCCTGGCAAAGAATATATTTGAAAACAGGCGTTTTCTGGCGTTCTAAATGGTGTGGACTCTATTTTCATTTGATCAACGCGCTTTTGCCCCCAACCCCATCTTACCGCCCTGGCTACCAATTCTTACTATCTTTTGACACTGGTTTCAAAAGATTCCACCCCTCAACCCAATTTTTGAACGCAACAGGAAGCAAACTTTCAAGACCAACATTTTCTGTTGGGGATGGTCTTATTTATGCTTTCCGAACCTTATACTTAAATTCACACTTTCACTTTTAATTGTCCTCTGTCTATAAACTGTCGAACTATTTAGACGTAGAGTAGAGACTCTTTGAATTCTGAAAGCATCTCTGTTGACCCCGCTTTTGCATAAACTGAGTAAATAACCGCTTTAATTTGGTTTTTCTGCCATGCTGCCTGGGATGCTCAAGCCCCTAAGTCTCCACGAAGTCGGTACCCATGAGAGTTAATATAAAGCAACCTGTATGGTTTTGCCTCTTAAGATCTTGGTAATATGTTGCTATTGTTGTGTTAAAAATCCACGACGAAATTCTGAAAAGTTGTCCGAAATTTTTTTCGACAAAGTTTATCCGCCGAAAATTTATCTGACGAAAATTTTTTTGTTAATGTACATCGTTCATCTTCCCCAGGCGGTCCAAGGTTCCTCTATCAGATAATACCAGTCTGGGGCACCAGTGTTATGATATACTCGGCTGAATGAGGCTTTAAAAAGATAGGCTAAAATTGAATAAATGGATGCAATGTAATAATCTTTTCTTTAATCTTTCAAAAAACTAGATACTAGATTAATATTCCCAATCCACCTGGTTTTATCGGCGCCAGGAAGCCACTCGAATCCTCAAAATAAGTAGCAGATAATTCTAAAGCCAAGAAATTGAGAAATCAGAGTCAAATGTGAGCAAAATATATATTTAAAAAAACACATCGGAACAACTATGTATTCAAAATCAAAGTTAAAAACATTTGATTCATTTTTCTTGTGTGATACCATATTAATTCTAAAAAAGTGCTTCACATGTAAAAGAAATCTTTTTCATATTTAAAGACTCATTGCTAACAATGAGCCATTGCGCTACGTAAGCATCCCATAGTGCATTTTTAGACTGTCTAAAATCAATTACTGCCATTGTTTGGACCGTCGCCACGTTCGCAAAGGCCCATTGTTAGCAATGAGTCTTTAATAACGCAGGTGGACATTCAATAGGGTTCAATGTGGTTCAGTGGGGTTCAATGTGGTATTATACTTCGAAAGCCTACATTCGACGATTTCATTAACATTCTTGAAAAGCTGGATTTTTTAAAGGCACTATGTACCTGTGCATTTCGCTGGCCAATTAAATTTTTCTATTGATGAACTACACAATAGACGTAATGTCACGTATCCAATCGGCAACGTCGAAATACGTGATGAAATACATAAGGAAATACGTCGAAATACGTTATATGAAAACGGTTATCTTGAAAACATGGAATGTGGAATGCTGGATTGTTGGAATGTGAAATTTATAGAACTATGTAACAAACAATTTTTTTTCTCCGGACAAAATACGTTAAAGTACGATGAAATATATTTGACGGTTTTCATATAACGTGAAAATCGTGGAACCTGAATTGCGATGATGAAATGCGTCGAAATACGTTATATGAAAATCAGCCTTTATTGTTAACCCTGAATTGTTCACTGCCGGGACATAAGTGCCTTTAAAAGTTCTTTTGGGAGATCAAATTACAAAAATTGGGTTTGAAATATTACTTGACAAACTGACGAATATTCCACAGTCTTAAAAACATTCTAGAATATTCTAGACTCTCTAATAAGTTTGTTAGTTTGTCTAAGCGGCATTAAAGTGAGAGTAAAAATTGAAATACGATGACTGGTTCATATTATGCTTTGCCTTTGATAGCTTCCACATCAGAAAATTTACTCCTTGTAATAGAATATTCAACGAAAACAAATATAACAGGCAGCAATGAAAATAAAAGCAACGAGAGTGACAGAGATGGCAACACTAAGATGATGTTGTCATAAAGATATCCCTTTATAGCCATTATTTCAAATACCAACGCGAATACAAAAACTGCAAAGAAAACTGAAATGGCTTGGATCAACTTTATATCACCATCTTGGTAGTTGATAAAATCATCATCCTGACTTCTCGAAAGTCTATAGTACGAGAAACCATAAACAAAGACAAGTAACGCTAACATGAAATAGGCCGCAGAGTCAGGCCATATTTTGCACGCCTCAGTGGCTGCCGTAGCAACATCAACTGTACCGATACTTTGTTCCATGAACAGTCTACTTAAAGATTGGTATTTGTTCCAGCAAAAGACTAAGTTAATTCCTGTCACAACTGTAACTACCAAGTCTATAGCAAGTGTAGCTTTATTTTCAGTGTGACCGTAGTCATTTTCCTTCTCCAGAGTAATCCTCAGCAAAGTTAGTAAACCGATAAAACTCGCGATGATAAACAGCAAATGGGTATGGTTAGCCTTGGCTGTGAAGAACATCGAAACGCTGCTTTGTTCTTCATTGAGTCCAAATGATGAAAAAAATGATGGGAGGTCTTTCACGGTCGAAACAATGTCGGCCAATCCAATAGAGAAGACCAACAGCTTCAGTCGGTAAAACTTGGCTCTAGACTTCTTCCTAACCATAGTTACGCAACAGAATAGGTTTATCAGCGCCATTAAGGAATAAACACCACCATATAATCGAAACAAAGGTTTTACATCCATTACTGGAAACACAGTATTTGTCTTATAATTTTGTTCGTGTTGAGTCTTGATTCGGGCAAAGCAAAGAATATTCTACGATTGACGTTTGCAGTGTGGTCTTGAAATAAATAGGGAATACAGGCACTGTCATGGACCGGGGGGTAGTCACGTGTGCATGTGATTATGAGCATTTCCAGGATGTCAGTCGCTGAAATTAAATATTTACATAAATAAAACTTCGAAGGGGGTTTCCACTGATGTTGTTCTACCGACAATTTTTCATTTACAATTATCACCCTTCCATTCTTTTATCAATATTTTTAATTTATCAACAGACGGTGAGTCTTTTATAGTATCAGGCAGGCTGTTTCAGAGGATGCTGCCCCTGAAAGCTAACAAACTGGTGCCGTAGGTTGTGGTTTTGGCAGTTGTAATAGTGAATCTGATCGTAGATTATAATTTAGTTCTTACGCTCGAATACATTCCACATAAAGGATGGATTTTCGAATGAAAGGCACTTAGATATTGAATAAATCATTGTCAAGATTAGGCCTTCCGTTTACTTGGGTGAAATGTTGAATGGTTTGACCAGGGCTTTACGATGTTTATTTCACATTACCGGATTAAGAGGAGTAAAAGAATGGATACTCTTGGGAAGAGATAAGTATACTCTTAGGAATAATTAGTACCGACATTTGTTCGTCATTCTTTATATTTTATACCAAATGATTATACTTCATCCTCGCGCGGTTTTCTTTGATTTATTAAAGCTATTGATTGTATTGTTGTGAGAGAGAATAAGCGTAATAAATGATAATTAAATGAAGCGGGGCTTTTGGTGCTTGTGCACAACCCGGCTTTATTTCTGCACTAATCTCCTGCACTATTGCGACATGTAGTAGCATCTTTTGTATTTATCTTTGAACAACAAGATAAAATAATAGAACTATTATTTCATCTTGCTATTACTTACTAGAATAGATACCGTATTTCCTCTAAAGAACGCCGCATCTATAACAAAATTCAACTTTTGTGTGCGGCGTTTATCAGAGGGTGGCGTTCATTAGAGGAAATACGGTAAAAGATTTCTAGGTTCGATGGCACGGGCAAACATCGTGTCACCTCGCCGAACCGCATATCGATATGTCGAATATGAACAGTCAGGGCCGCCGAGAGGCGACCTGCGCCCTGGGGCAAAGTCCTGGTTGGGGCCCTAGAGTCGGATACAAATTTTTTTCGAGACCACGCCCTTTTTGAAATGGGAAACGCCCATTAATTCCAAACGTTTGCGCACGTTATAGAATATGGTTAAAATATCATAAAATGTAATAAAAAGCATTAATTCTAAGGGTAAGCGATTTATATACGCTCTTTGACCACACCCTTTTAGCTGATTAAAGAGGACTTCAAAATGTCTTCCTTCAATTCTGACTGTTTTTTTTCTGGTGAGCCACGCAAAATTAAAATTTAAAATGAAAGGAAACTCTTATTCTACGCACTTTTATTTAAAAAATCCCATGGAACTACGCTTTTCAGTTCTTTCGTCCTTCAAAAGTTAATTTTTCTTGCTTTTCAGTTGCAAACTGATCAATGATATTGTCGTTATCAATTTGTCTTGCTAGTTCGTGCTCGATCGAAAGAGTCCTGAGGCTTGAGTCATTGTTTAACGTAAGCGGTTCTTTATTAATGCTAGTTTGCTGAAAGGGGCCCCAAAAGTATAATATAGCTTTATGCAATGAGTCTAAATGCAAACATAACTCACTTGAACGGGCCATAGATTAAAACAAGATTATATGGGTTACCTAATTTTTTATCAGGGCTCCCTTCCAATAAGTACGATTTTGCGAAACTCAGGGAAACTCAGCTTAAAAGACGAATCCGTAAAATATGTGATCTAAGGTTTATTCAGCTTTTTTCGGGGCCCCAGACTCAATAAATAAAGCTGATAGGCTTTAAATTCAAACAAGACTCAGTGTACGGACCCAATGAAATTACTGCCATCATTTTCTACATTAACAAATATATCTTTGAATGCATTTTCAGTTTCTCAAAAAAAAAACATTTCAAAAAAATTTTCAGAATAATTTTGGGGCCCCTTTCAGGCCGAGGCCCTGGGGCAAACTGCCCCCCTGCCCCCCCTCTCTGCGCCACTGTGAACAGTAAACGGGTCGCAGACTAATCTTATTTGATTGCCTTCTCCGACATATAATAACTTATTCCTTTAGAATAATGGGCTGGTTATCAGGCTATCTCCGACACTACACTCTTTTTTTTATAAGAACAATTTTATAAGAACACGAGCCTCAAAACTGGTCAAAAGTTAAGCACAAATTAAGAACAAGCTGAGGCTGAGCTTCGGCAAAATGCAATTTTGAACAACGTTTTTCTCAAAATCGAGCATTTTTAGCGATGTGTGGGTGCATTTTGGGTGAATATTCAAATTTGTCGGCAAATTAAGGCTGTCTCACTCACTTTGTTGGCAAATGTGGTCGAAACACCTCCTTAGAGCGAAAAAGCTAGCAATAGCACTGCTTACACCCTCTTAATTTAGGAACAAATTAAGAACAATCCAGCCTCAGATTTTCGAAAAAATTAACAACAGTCAGCCTGAACTTAAATTTACTGGTTCTTATAAAAAAAAGAGTGTAAATCTATTAGACCGCTCACGCTAGACCTATAACACCAAGGTGGTAAGCTGGTCAAACGATCCAACATCTCGCCCAACATTTCCCCCAAAATGGTCTGGATCGTTTGACCACCTTGTTGGGTCACCCAACATCGTAAATTTAAGCCCTGGTCAAACGATCCAGCATTTCACCCAACATTTGATCACCTCAGGCCAGCATTGTTGGCTCTGCGCACGCGCAGTTGACTAAAGAGTGCAAAAATTCCATCATCGCATCGTTCTTGTTTTCTAGGGCTGGTTTCTTTCGTTTAAACAATCGCGTTTGCTTACAATCAGATACACTTTAATTCTGGACAATAAAACGAAATAAAATGGATTCTGTACCAAAGAAGAGGCATCAAGCGTCAATGAAGAAACTGTAGCACAGAGGAGCTACGAGAAAATGCAGGGGAATGAATTTAGGCCATGGCCTTGATAGGGGATGTGACGCTCGTCCCGAAAGACCGCAATGACAGTAAAAATATCTGAAGAGAAAATAAATAAAAAAAGGGAGTGATTGCCTTTCGTTTTTCCAGATCGAAATGTCGCGAAACTGTGCAGCCTTCAGCGCGAAATTCTACCCAGTCCTCCTTCGATCTGCACGTGAAAATGTCGGGTGAAATGTTGGATGAAATGTTGGATCGTTTGACCACCATCGTTGGGTCACATTCCAACAAAGAAGAAAAATGTTGGGCGAAATATTGGGTGAAATGATGGGTCTTTTGACCAGGGCTTAAAATGGGGGCTTATACGAGGGGGGGCATTACCATTCTGATTTAAATTTTCTAGCCATTTTCTTCAAAGTAATCCATGGATCTTTTCTCTTCGTGGAATTACCAGACTTTCTTTCCCCTTTGATCATAACTGGAGATCAACTGCGCCTTGACTCACTTCTCAAAACCAAGGTAAACAGTCTGTACGTTTAGAAACTACCCGTAGGCTTTAAGACGTCGGTTTAAGGTTACGGTAAAGGTTTTCGACACGATATTTGGTTTTCTCTCCCTTTACAGACTTTTAACGAAATCGGATTAAACTTTCCAGATATTGTACAAGAATAATGTAAAATGATACTTTCCAGGCATATGTATAGCTTAAATGAAAGTGTACCATACCGCCCCCCCCCCCCCTATGATTTTAATCCAGTTCTGAAAAAACTGTTTGTTTTTTCAACTTCTCCAGTTCTAAAAAAAAAGTTTGCGCCGCCCCTGAACTAACTATAGGCTTTGAAACTAATCTCAACTGCAAAGCTAGCTGCAAGTAAGAGAAATATGCTACCCACATATCTGACTGTAGACGTCGGTTTAAGTTAGTTTCGTTTGCCAATCTTTCCATATCAGTTCACTTTGCTTTTTTCAGCAGAAATTACATTATATTTCTTGCTTGATCTTTTTTATCTCTACGATTGTTATAGTTTTATTTTGTAAAAACAGGCTAGCCAGTTACAAATTCCCTAATGCAACAGAGAGATTTGTAATTTTACTTTTAACTAGAATTCAAAATGAAAAGTTTCTTTTATTGGAAATCGCGGATGGTGCTGAGAAACTGTTAGGTTGGCAAGAAACATAGAAACGTGATTAGAACAGTGGAGAAGATGACTAAAGATGAATGGAAAAAGGAAGTTAACACAAATATTTAAGAGATAATGAACAAGGATACAAAAGAAAAAGTGAGGACAATGTGGCATCAAAATATATAGAGATTGGAAAGAAAGAAATTGATTAAGGAAATGAGGATCCAAGAAGGAGAAACAGATTATATGCCCTTGTTCAGGCCAATTTGAATGGAAGGGAGAGTATACTTCATTAATAATAAATCAGGTGCAAAGAGGAAGAAGTTTTAAAACATTCTCAAGGGTTCTTGGGTAGAACAACCATTTTAAACTGTACAGCCAATCTAAGTAGCACATAACAATGAAAATACACATGAACAAACTTCTTTTGTATCTTTTTCCATTATATCAGGTTCATTGGCCATTTCCTCTTCTTCATTTTCAGCCACATTCTCTGTTTGACCATCCTCTCTTTCCTCTTGGTTACCTATTATTAAACAATTTAAAGAATTAGCAGGATTACATGGGCTGAACCAAAGAGGGGGCTAGGGGGCTAGGGGCTTCAGCATCTTGTACAAATAGGACTACTTTACTAGACAACCGCACTTGAATGATTTCATGTGCATCACAAAAAAAATCTTGAGTGATAGCTCTGTGAAACCCCTCAGGCTGAAATTCAATGTTATTTTAACCTTGAGTCATACAAAGCAGTTACTGCCTGAAATTGCAGTTGCATAAAAGAATCATGAAAAAAGTGTCAGATTTGTTTTGCTGAAATTAAACAAAGTTCACTTTCTCCTCTGCCAACTTCCAAAAAATCTGTGCCCCAAAAACGAGTTTATTAGAAATTGGCATGCTTCATTTGTCCATTTGGTTTGACTCCCTGTAATTCTTTGAGTTTATCGTTCTTTATGTAGTACAGGTTTTTAATTTTAACATAACATATTAGCTGATGAAAAGCACAGTAGTTTTGAAACATTGTATTGATCTTGGTTCTTTTTGAAAGGGTTTCCTAAAATATTATTTTTGCTTAATAAAGAGTGGTTATTTATTTATTACCAGCCTTTAAAGGGCTGTGTCACAAGGGACATCCTGTGCAGCAACACATCAGTTGAGCCAAAGTTGTTTGGGTGAAACAGCCAGTGTTCAATAGCAAAACCTATATTGACTGGAGTAAAATAGTTTTTTGTATTTGTGCTCATCCTGCAAAGCTTTCGCGTTATTGTATGTTTCATGAAAGGAATCAAATATTAAAGGTTCTTTCTTCAGTATTATCACCTTTTTTTATAAAGGATGGTGATGTGAAAAAGTTAATTTTTACAGCTAGGATACAGCAACTTGTAGGGAGCTGTTAACAGAAATGGAGTGAAATGATACTGAGAAACCTACATTACAGATGTAAAATATGAGTGAAAAAGTTTGTAAAGTTTGCAGGACAATTTTGAAGTAAATAATCATTTTGTTGTAAAGTTTCTAATTCTATCAAAATTAACAAAGAGAAAAAAAAATGTGTGCCATTGAATGAAGCTTAATTTCCTTGGCCTAGACCAATTGCTTCATGATTTAATATTGATAGTGGGTACAAAAATGGAAATCTCGAAATTATCCATTCCATGTTTGATAAACACATTCAGAAAAACAATTCACTGAGCGCATTGAAGCATAAGAGGACTGAGGACTATACACCATTATCCCACTGTGCAAGTTAGGGCCAAAAACACAAAATGTCCATGTCAATGATATAGAAGTGCCAAAGGCGCTAGATGTCTAGAGGTACGCTGTGAGGCAAATTTGTTCACTTCCACCATTTTGAATAGTGGCAAAAAGGAACTTGCTCCATACTGAGCCCTCTTAAATTTGGTAAAAGTAAGGATTGATTTCGTTCATTTCTCTTTCGAATATCGATGTGAAATTTGGTGAGTGGCCTTATATTACACTTAAATTTATGAATTGATGTTAATACTAGAAAAATAGGCAGACATTTGCAAATTTCCAAGCATTTACAGTCGCGGTGCTTGCTGTGGTGTTTTCTGTCTCATCGAAATTCCAGGAAATAATGATTGATCTGTTTTAAAACGGATCCAGCAACAATTTTTAGCCATTCAATGCATTATTTTCTTAACACATTTGTACAAAGATGTGATTTAGTTACTTTTTCTTTCTTTGTTTATAGAAACTGCTATGAACTATCTAGGCCTAACTCCTGATTCATATCAAATTTCTTTTCTACAAACTCAATTTGATAATCTAAATATAAAACATTCGCACTTTCCTACTCATGTCATATTAGGTTCTAAACGACAGCAGTCCTTTTCTTGAGCAAAATTACGCGTGTGTGGCAAATCGCACATGTAAACAAATTTGCGCGTGCGATCGCACTTGTAAGAAAATTTGAAATACAAACCTGATAAAATTGGTAAAAGGAGCAAGAAGGGAAAAGCCACTCGAATACGTGCAAGAGCAAAACTCAATTCAATCAATACATAACAGATTTTGTTGCCCTTAGCAGCCATCTTTTGAAAGTCGTCGTCACTCTCCAAAGTTACAAGAGCAAGTAAAAATTGTTTCCAACAGCTACTTGCTTTCAGGGCCTAATTACGTTTTGACAGGAAATCAGTTATTACACTTAACATGCTAATGGCGACTTAGCTGAAAGACGAGACGCTAAGTTGAAAGGAGCATTCAGTCAAAAGCCAAACATCACTTCCGAAAATTGGAAAAATCATATTGTGGTCAAAAGTGCGAATCAAGTAACAAGGGAAAGGATAAACAATCATGAGACCATGGGAAATTGATGTTAAAGGGCCTCTCCAGCAAATCAAACAATTTTTTATTGACTAAAAAGTTAGCATCTGGTCCGTGAATTATGGCAAAGTTGTTGTTTTTGCAAAATTCCAATTAGTTTAGAAGTTATAAGGCTTTAAAGTTGCACCTTTCCGAGAAAAAAAAGGACAAAAGCCAAATCAGTTTGGTGACGTTCTGACGTCACAGTGTTCGGCTCTCGTTCGCCATGAATTTTGTATATCTTCCATCGAAGCGTGAAGGACTCATGGTCACGCGTTGAGAACAGAACTGAGAGTACCATCACTTGCAGTGTTCAATTTGCGAATCGCCGTCGTTCGATTCGGTTTGAGGCGAGACTATCCGAAATACACTGTGACGTCAAAATTGCGTCACAGTGTCACCAAACCGAAAAATTGTTGTCGGTTAATTCATTCCAATTATCGAAATGCAAGAGCTTATATCTCACAAACTGTAAAAGATATCGAAAAACAAATAACGAATTCGTGATCAGCAGGCTCAACTTCATTATAAGAATAGCCAATAAAATGCAAGTACAAAATTTGGCTGGAGAGGCCCTTTAACAGAAAACTGCAAAAACACCTGTTTGCGTGTGTGGTCAAAAGCACGCGCAATTTAACTTGCGCGTGTGCAGGCGTGTGCGGGTGCGATCGCACGCGCTAAACGAAAAGGACTGCGACAGACAGAAAAATTCAAGAATTATATATCTAAAATGGTCTATATTATTAGATAATAGACTCAAAAAGTTCTTTCTAATTTATATGAAGATAAAAATTGCAAGCACATACTTTTTCAACTCAAAAAAAAGGCCGGCCACTGTCATATTCCCCACTTAACTGCGAAAACTAAAAGATTGTTATGTGTTGTTGATTTATATCTTCTATAACTACCTGCATCAGAAAAGGCACTGAAATAGTTGTGAGCTACGAGAAACTCAGTCCTTAAAACAAGCAATTTTCCATACTGAACCCTATTGCAGCTCGCTTTTTGCCACTAATTAAAATGGCGGAAGTAAACAAATTTGCCTCATTCGGCAGTACGCAGCATGACCTGAGTTAGACATCAAGTGCCTTCGGCGCTTCTATATCATTGGTCCACGTATTTGATTTCTTTACAAAACTGTGACATAGCCCCTTTAATTATCTTTTGTTTGAAAGGTCCTTGCTCTTTGAACCATCTGAATACTTTTGTGATGGGATTGTAAATAAAATTTCCTCAGCCATGTGACACAATGCCTATTTTGCTTTAGCTTTTGCATTCTTTTATACGCACTCCTTTTCTTATTTTTTATCTTTAGCATTAGCTGTTATATGTTGTATGCTGTTAAATTTATGCCCAGGGGCAAGGGCCACAACGCATAAACATTTTTAGAGGGTCAGTCAGAGAATTTCATAGGTTACAAAAAACACGATAGAAATTTAAGAGCAACAACTCAATTGCCTTGTCAAGGCTTGCTCCTTTCAAAGATTCCTTTCAACCAAGAATTGGAATGCAAAAGGGGAGGTATATCAAGTGGTATCAATAAGACTGTCTTAGTAAACTTTTATTCTCTCTTGGTGAAAATGATACTTAAAAATATCGAAAATATATCTTCTATTCTTTCAGGATAAAAAATATCATTTTTGACAAATTTAGAACACAATAATACCATCTTTGGCAAACGATGGACCAAAATTTTTCAAACTGAACAAAAACTAACCACACTATTGTTTTATCCTCACATAAATTTACTCCCAATCTACAAGGCTTCTGTCAATATAAAATCTAGCAAACTCATTTAGGGGTGTACCGGATCAGGATTTTCAGAATCCGGCCGGAACCGGATTTACCGGATTTCTTCGTGGAATATCCGGCCGGATTCTACCGGATAATCTGACCATTTATAGAATTTTCAGTAATAAAAAGTTTTGAGCCACTTTGCGAAAAAATGTATAGCGAGAAGATCAAAGAGACCTATTCAGGGTTGCCAGATTGAATTTACAAACGAAGGCTAGACTGGTGAGCAATTTAAGCCAAAATGCTCATAAAAAGGCCAAATCAAAAACTCTCTCAAGAATCCATCGAGCAGGCACTGGTTATATATCTACGCTTGTGCCTGTTAGATAATTTCTTAGCTTTGATAAGAATCTTACTTTTTTCCAAAACCCTTTAGCTAATATCAAGATAATATTTAGGTTAGGTGATAAAATTTGAAATTTGGTTAACACTTTGTAGTTAACTACTAATTATTCTATGAATGTAGTAATTACTTATTAATTTTGGACGTCTGCTGAAAAGGCCAACAAGGTCATATTTAAGTAGTAAGCAAACAACAATTTTTCCAGGCAATCTAAATCTAAAAACCAAAAATTAAAAAATTTGGCCTAAAAAGCCGATCTGGCAACCCTGAACCAAATTTGTGAATTATATCATCCAGTCTTCCTGTTTCGTGATGACGAGCACTTTCATTTCAAATCTGTTTTCAAGGCGCTTGTTTTATCGTCGATATTGTTTAGTTCTGGAAAGTCCATTTTTAATCACTGTTTGAAGGGAGTCTGACTTGGTTTTCCAAATTTTCTTAGTTATGATTAAAGTTCTGGAAAATCCGGCAACTGGCCGGATTTCGGAAACAAATCCGGCCGGAACCGGATTTTAAAAAAATCAGCGATCCGGCGTCGGATTATCCGGCCTACCGGATATCCGGTACATCCCTAAACTCATTCTGCTAATTCTTAAAACTACACATAGAAATCCAAAAACTTAGAATTTTTAGGTTTTACTTTTTTAGTTTAAAAATAACTTGTTTCAGACAACACTATTTTTAACTATATGTTAGAAAACTGACTGAGTTCTCTGCACCAAGGAACTCAATCTGGATCCACCTCTGCTTTGAATCAGCTATGGTGCCTTAAAATTTTACTGCTTACTTTTTGGTCACCATTTTTCATTTATTCTCTGAAGAGTGTATGCTATGTTTCTGCTTACTTGTTTAAAATTAATCCATCACGCTAACAAATACCAGATTGCTGCTTTGTTTGAACATTATTTGAAATCACTTTTTACAGCTTGTGGCAGTCAGATAGCTCTGATGCTCTTTATTTTGGTGACCATAACAATACCAATTCATAGAAATTTTAAAAACAACAAACTAGTTGACAACCCATTTACACCAGATTTATGTGTACGCATTTCAATGCTTCAAGTAATGTGATGATCTTAAGAACAGTCAGTTTGTAAGAGAGGAAAGTAAGGTTTTTCAACGTTTCAAAAAAGGTTTGTCGTGAAAATTTTTGGTACCCAGAAAGAATTTGTGCTGCCCTACCTTTTCGTATGCATTAGACAGACCTCTGAAAAAATCTTGAGTGTGCACATGCCACACTCTGCAGGCAGACAGAGATGCAAAATAATGCAAAATGATATCGGTAAAACTCTTCAAATGTTTGGTTAGGCTTGAGAAAGCAAAGGAGTCATACGATTCACATGATTCTCAATCAAATTACCAGATCTTCTAATCAAATGGTTCTTCGTTCTGTGTTACTTTGGAAAAAACTTGTAGAATACGTAAAAAAGTGATTTACCTTTCAACGCAACCTCCACCGCCATCTTGAGAAATTGAGTTATGCGCACGCAGTACACCTCGAGTTCAAGAAGAGGCCTCGAGTATCAGCGAGAAGGCGCCAAATTTTAGACGGTTGGCAAGTTTGAAATCCTCTTGTTTATGACCACTTACGAAAACCGAGAATGTCATCTAAAGATTCAAATTGCACCGTAAGTATTGAATTTTTCGGAAATAAAGGATTCGAAATGCACTTATTTTATTATTTTCTTTTTTATCGGAATAAATTAGCTAGAAAGCTACTCATCGTCAGGACAAACACCCAGAAACACTGTTCTAGTTAATGGGTACTTAGTGCAAGCCTTCGCTCAAAGATCAAATTGATATTCAATAAAATTCGTTTCATTACTCGTTCCTGTACTTAGTGTAGTTTCTTTAAAAAAAATTTCATTTCAGATGGAAGACTTGAAAATGGAATACAAAATGAAATATGAGCGGCTTGTTGATTTACATAAAGAAAGTATACAAGCATTTGCTGATATGGTCAATTCTGCAGGAATTCATAAGGAAGGTATATACATTTCATGATATATATTTAATGATCTAAGATACAATTGTGTTATTTGTTTGTGCTAGTGTGACTACTTATGCTATGAAGAAACCATTTTATTGAGTTATGATTTCTTTTTATAGCCTATTCAAACTATGTAAATGGATTGAAAAAGGTTGGCTTTGAAAAAGATATGAAGATATACAACCTTGAAGAAGAATTAAATGATGTAAAAGTAAAAAATGCTGAATTGCAAAAAAGATGCCTGGAATTTGAGACCAGAAATTCAAATAGAACACAGTTGGAAACATCACTTCAAAAGTCATCGACTAAGACTATTAAGCAACCAGTTACTGAAACTCCAGTTACTTTATCAACAGTACCAAAAACAGGTAAGAATTAAAGCATAACATTTTCACTGGTTCATCAGCAATATAAAATTACCACACAGCCTAAAGTCTAGGTGAAATTTTGATAAGTTTGGCAACTATGTTTCAATATAGGGGAGAACATTTTGTTTTAGCTGTTTCACACACTTGTTAAATTACCAAAAGGTAGACAAGTCAAAAGTATTTTCATGAAGATTCTTCATGCTCCAGCTCTGATCACTCGGTAAATTAAAGACATTTTTGAATCCTTTGCAATGACGTTATTGTGAAGCAGAATTTTTGGAGGTGTTTCATTAGGTCTTTTCTGATTATATCAACCAAGTTTAGCAAAGTCAAAATTGATTTTTAAGGCATATTCACTAAGCCATTCTATTGTTTTGATTTTATCTTGTTGTGCAATTTTGTCAAGCAAAGTATGTATTTTGTCTCCAAATCACTTTCAGACAACCTAAGTCCACTGTTCTTACCGGAAACTCCAAAGAAAATATCAAGAGAAGCAAGACGTTCAATGATAGTTGAAGCAATTGACAAAGTTACTCCTAAAGATGATGATGATAAATATGAATTTCTTATGGTAGGTTTTTGAATTTGTTATTTCCTTTCATTTTTACAAGTGTTAACAATTAAGCATTCAAGATTCATTCAAATAATTTATTTCGTTTTGATTTTGATTAACATAATCATAATGTTATTTTTATTTTAACTTTTTAGGAAATTGTTCTTAAGCAGAAAGATTTGTTAGACTTCTATGCTACAATTTCTGGATTCATTGCTGAAAACTTGAATGGAAATTCAAATGATAGTCAATACGGAGTAGACATTTTCAAAATGAGACCTCAGAAATCTTCATTCAAAGGTATATATATAAATAATTCTGGCTCCTCGTTTTTAGTTTAATGTCTTTGACAGTTTTTAAGAATGCTCTTTTTCTTAAATTTAATACTTGACTTCTTCTGACAAGACAAAGATCTCATTTCATCTATTCCCGTAATTTCTTAATGGACTATGAAGCATTCTTTTAATACTCTTTAACTTAGCATTTCTCTTATACTACTTGCACTGCCATTGCCAAATTATTATCCAGAAGACACAGATAATTGTTTAGCTTTGTAGATTTTTTGACAGACAGTCTGTATACTTCAATAGTAGATCCTTCAAAGCCTACTCTGCTCCTTGGCTTATATAAACAGCTTTGGCATCTTGTAATTCTTAAAATAATTATTAATTAACAACAATGATCTTTTTAAGATATGGAGATGCAGTTTCTGGTTGACTATGATGGAGATGATATTGAATACCGACCAATAAATGTCCCAAAAGAAGCCAAAAAGGCCATAAAGACAGTTGCGCCATACTTAGAAGAGACTTTGTACTTTCCATCAGAAGATGCCCCGAAGCTTCTCAAAACTCTATTGGATGTCATTGAAAGCTAATCCTTTTTGCAATATCAAAGCTTTACTGTAAATTAATTAATGTGTTGTATTTTAAGTTGAGACTTTACAATGAGGAATCTGCCATAATATTGAGAATCAGTTATCAGAAATGGTTAATGTATGATGGCCTCTTTCCATTGTGAAAACGTGATGCAAGATCAAGCAGCTTCTCACCTTGAAAACGTCTTGAAAACGTCTTTCAACCTTACTTTGTGATAAAACATTTGTTGTTTTAATTATCTTTCAGTATTGTTAGACACTGTATATACTTGTAGAGATCCTCTGAAATACATTATATTTTGTATCAAATGGTCAAATATGTCAAAGGTTTCTTTATTATGTTGAGAGTTTTGACATTTGTTTACAACAGTATTTTTTCCAAACCCAATAGAGTACCATTTAAGCAAGGACCTTTTACACTTTCAAAGTACAAAATCTGAGCATTTTGCTACCAACAACTGAAGTGCTTTTGGTATCAACAAGTAATTATAGCCTTTGCTAATTGTAAAGGCAAGTGTAAAACATTAACCTTACAAAGAAGGACACAATTATCCTGTGTTTTTTTCACTGGCCACTAGATATCCTCTTGAATACAGCAAACAAGTGTTGCAATGTTCTGCAACCACCACAGCTGAATGAATGACAGTGACTACAAAACCACTTTGTAGAGCTACTAGATCCAAACCTATGATCTGAATACATTGAACTGAACAATATTATTTCAATCAGTTACATGTGCATACCATCATTAACTTTAAAAGCTACTGTACAAACTCTAGAGGAATCATTTAACTACAAAGAACAATTATCAAAACGATACACTTATTTTTTAATGCTGTTATTTAATTTCTGTTATAGTGTGAACTTTTTGAAATAGGCCTTTGATGTTTGGGATTTTCAAAACCAATTTTGAAATAATTCGTACCAAAAGCAGGGTTTTACACAGATAATGTAATCTGGTTTTGCTTGTATGCCACATTTTTCGCGAGAGATCTTGGAGAGATTTTCAATTGCAGTTACACAAATGTTACATGTGAAAATTGTCTAAGTTTTATTTGTTATTGGCAATGAAATGAAGTCAAATGAACTTCGGCTGTTCTCTTAAGAGATCTTTAAGTGTATATTATAGCATCTTTTTTTAGAATTTTTTAATTTGGAAAAAACAACAATCCATAAGCAAACTTAAAACTTTTATGTACCTTTAGGGATGAAACCAAAATTCAAGAATTCTAAAAATGTATTCTTTATGACGTCACGCTTAAGAATTCTAAAAAGTACCATAAAGCTGAAAATGACCATCTTTTTTACCTTGGAAGGTTTTTTGGTGATACCAATTTTTTTTTCCTCTAGATAAAATACTTTCATTTATATCCATACTACTTTATCGCTACTTACATCAATACTTTTGTTTAAGATTACGTTATAGGCGTATGCTACTTACCAAGTTCCCCTAATCTCATAAATATCTAATAATCAATAGATACAGGGACGATATATCGCTTATATAATACCTCTTAGATCGTTGTCGCTACATTGAGATAAAAGAGAATGACCTCTCTGGAAACAGCGATCCTTTTCCTTAAAACTATACCCTGGTAGTGCTGGCAGTGAATTCAAGTTAATCGATACAAATATTTATACGTAGCAAAAATGTTAAATGTCAAGACTCTTTATCCATGCAGCAAACTTCATACTCATGTGTATATGGCAAACTTGAGGAACTGCAAAAAAAACAACGTTTCTTAACGGGTGCTAGATTAGAGAGGAGCATTTAGACTCTCAACGAAAAATAACACGTTGTTTTCTGAACTGGCGGGAATAGAGGTCTGTGCGGTGCCCCAGCTCTGTAGACAGTCAAGGTTTCATGTTTTCATTTTCCCGATATTTTTTCTTAGTTGAAAAGTCAAAAGTAAAGCAGTCAATGCATATTAGCAAAAAAATTATTATAAATGGCGTTTAACATAAATAAAAAGGGCAACCCATTATTAAATAAGGAAGTCGCCATAAAAACCTTGAGAATAACCTTCTCCTGGCTAGCTTATGTCCCTGGTTACTATAAGATCATTATCTACATCACGGTAAAGCAGAAAAGGTCAGCATTAATAATATCAAGATAAAATTATTCTATCTTGATGATATTTAACTTGCCTCCATGTGAACATGCTTAACGGGGTTCACTTCTCCTTGATTGATTACTTTTTTATATGGACCGGTGTACTTCATGTATTACTAAAACGATCTTGTAATAAATAAGATTAAGTTAACTTACATCATCTTTTGAAAATGATTTTCCATCGAACCTTTTGAAGGCACCTTGAAAAAGAATCATCAAATTTTAGATGATGATGATGATGATCGTGATGGTGATGATGATGATGATCGTGGTGGTAATAATAATTATAATGGTGAGTGTATGAGAGAGAAGAAGTTTCATAAATTTGATGTGAGCTTTGAGGATGCAAATTACCGAATTAAGTGGGGAAAAGGAACCAAATAATGGCAGGAAAATCGATAAACCTTGGAAAAGGGTACGAATACTGACTATAATAGACGGTTACAGTCTACTCTCACGGATGGAAAATATAATTGGTGATAATTTTTTTACAATTGCAGAATTAATAGCTAGCTAGCATTCCACTAAATTCAGCAATGTTTATACTTTCGTTTATCAGCCTTACCGTAGACTGACTTGATACGGCAGCATATCTGTACAAAGTCGTCAAAGTTCACGCGACCTCTTTTGTTAGAGTAACGTCTCACAACAGACCCGAGAATGTCGGTCCCAAGGGTGTAGCCTACAAAGGAACAATAAGGTTCAAACCATCACAATGCTTATATTTTTCCAACCAAAGTGCAATATACGTCCATCAAGAGCAAAGGTATCCACCCATACATCCGCAAAAAATATAAGACAATTCAGTTTTACACTGAGAGGATAGAACAGTATGTGTTTACACTGGAAGGAAGGGCATCCCGTGTATAACACTGAATGGAAGGAAGCAAATCCAAAAAACTAAATACAATTGTAAATCTTTACCAAGCTTTGACAGCAAGTCTCTCAATTCATATGCATCCATATCTCCACTCTTATCTTTATCGAATTCTTTAAATGAGTTCTAGAAAGAAAAGGGGAGTTTGACTCATTTTCTTCTGGGTGATGTATTGAAGGATGCCTACAGCACTTAATAAATGTCCTCTCGTTGCAAGAAAAATGCTTAGAAATCGAAGCCTGCAGCCTCTAAAGGGTGGAAGTTACGTTTATTTATTTGCGTGGCGTTGTGTCTCTTTACAGTTGAGCAACTCTTGAAATTCACCGGCTAGTTAGCCAAGTGAAAGGAAGCATGAAAATTCAAAACGTACCTATTAACTGATTGATTTCAAATACAAGACGAGAGTGATCAGAAAATAGTCTGATACGAAGATTAAGAAGAAAATGCCCATCCCCTTACGATTTTATTATGGTTTTAAGACACAAAATACGTTAATATGTGACCCATGAACAAATCAAGCGTATGATGACATCTTCCATTGCTTTAAGACCTGACCTTTTTTATTCACTGTTTTGAGACTCTCATCCTACCAATAAGACTTGTTTATAGTAGCGCAAATTACTGCTTATATCATGTCCAAAATAAATTGCTATTTTGAAAGACGTAAATAATTATCTCAACTCATCAAATTACTTACTCTCCAGCCAACCACCATTTTGAAAAGGTTTCTGAATTCACCTAGATCTACCTTTCCTGAATGATCCGACTTTAATCAAAGTGAAGGAGGAAACTATCACGAATGCAACGAAATAATGAATACGATAAGAATAAGTGAAAACTTTCTTTTTAAAGGCATTACATGTCAATAAAGATGGCAATCTTCTTAATTGTGAAAATGCATTCTTAATATTTCGACAATCTTTGAACAAAATTACCAAACTGCTCTCTTTCAATGTGAGTTCAAAAGAACACAGCTTCAAAGAAAATATTGTTTTAATTTGTAACTCTCTGGTCTTTAGTCTACTGAAATCATCAAATATTACATGAATTGAAAAGCTAGTTAACAAACAGAAATTTAGTATATTTTTGCTATTACTGCAAGGATACGTCAGCAAAAATCAGCAAGCTCCTAGAAGTCGAATAAAACCGATCAAAAAGAAAGGTCAATATATTTTCAAAGCAATTTGATAGAGCAAAAATGAGAAGCAAATGTGTATGTTTCATTGAAAAAGGTAATCATTGACAATCAAGTGCTATAGCATGCCTCAATATTACTTCTCAGTCATGAAAGGAGATTTAATAAACTCTGATCGAACTTATGAAAATTGCTTGGGGGCTAGGCCTAAGAGCACCAGCCTCTGCCGATGACTGTAAAAAGGCCTATGACTAGTTTAGCACAAACACAATTAGAACGTACTGCAAGTAAATATGCACAGCAGGATTGAAATTTTGGAGACAAGATTCTTCCTACTGTAGTTTTCTTAAATACCAAAGGCAAAAAGCCAGGAAGAAAATAAGTTCAGGAAGGAAATTGCTTCTTTTGCTGTCTTTTAAGTGTACAATGTTGATAAAAATAGTAGCGTGAACCTTGGAGTAGCAACTTAAAACCGCCCTGTTCAAAACACCAAGTAGTGTAGCGTAGCACTTAAAAACTTTTCTGATTAACTATCTGTTTAACTAATTCTTGTATACTTGAAATCGTAAACAACTGCAATACCTAAATATTATCACAGATGCAATCTGAAATATTTCTTCCACGACCTCCTTATCAAATGTTGTAAACTTTTATTCAGTTAATTGCCCGAACCTCTTCAAGAAGCAAAATGTTAATCATGGTAAAACATTGCATCTCTTTTTACCCAAATGCCTCCTTGAAAAGAAAGCAGGCTTTCTTTATTTAATTCTGTTCTTTTGTAGTAAGATCTTCACACAGGCTTAAGAAAGAAGTTTAAATTTGTCAGCTTTTAAAAAAAACAGAAGCACAAGTATACCGCGAAGCTTCCAATCCAAACTCCTCCATGCTTCCATACTCTAAATAAAAAAGTGTAGCATATAAAACACCAAAAATCATACAAATGACAATTTTTAAATGCATACTAAACGGTTGCTTTGTTTCATTTTGGAACTATCACGCGGAAAGCATAATCAATAAATAACCAGGAAAAACAATTAAACTTGATTTTCTTCATATTCTACTCATACTTTACTTGATGGATTCACGAGAATTCCAATGATAAGTAAACTCTGAAATACCTTCTTTAAACACCAAGTTCATTGCTTGTCCTAATTCAAAAGCATCTAAAACTTCATCCTGTTAAAAGAAGACAATTAAATAGTGACTCTTCGTTGAACCAAGTGCTGTAGGCACCCTTCCCTAAATCCTGCAAAGCAAAGGCCCTTTTCCATTTATTCATCAAAAGGAATGATACCTTAAAACATATCAGGCACTGACTTTTTCTTCCACCGACAGAGCTAGCAACTCTGTACAGAAAGCAACAGAAGTATTGCAATTGTATAAAGTAAGCAGGTAGTTACTATTTGATAAACTTAATGTAGTCACGCACTGATAATTTTGATGCTAAATGGTTGATCTAAAAAGAATTGGCACTTCACTTCAACTAAGGCATGGCATATATGCTATAATGATATTTGATCACAGGGACTTGTACCCTAAATTGAGAACACGAAATGTGATGATCAAATTGCTTTGGCATAACAGAAAACGTTTGAGATCTCCACAATGAACTCGGGTCATTTACCTTAACCTTGAAATTCAATCAAAATTTGCAAACAATAAAAGGCAAAATCCATATATCTAACTGCCAGCATAAATCATAGGTTAAAAAGCAATCACAAACTCAAAGCAATGACGATTTACAAGTGATTATTTGATTTTGCTAGACCGGTATGCTAAGGACTTGAACAAAGTCACTCACATTTCCTGACACTCTTTCGAATACCTTTCTGAGCGTATCATCTATCCACTTTCCTTCATTCTTTGCTGGCTAAAGGAATAAGTGCAATAGAATAAGATTTTTGCTCAATTCTATGAGACAAAAAGATATTTCACTCAACATCCAATTATCCACAAATGCCTTTTAAAGGTAGCCAATCGCATAGAAATTTCACGCATGTCTTGCAATGGAAAATTATTCCATTCGAGAATAACATTATTACAGTATTTCTTTTAATCTATAGAATCCATAACTCAAATCCATAAAAATCGATTGGAATTCAATATCCGAAATTATCTATATGAAAATGAGCTCGGCTTCAATTTTCAACAAGATCAGTCGGAAGATGAACTAACATTAGTTGTTTTATTGTTTCAAACTTATCAAAATAAATATCTTCTCAAAATGAGTCAAATTTTTATTAAAGTTTAAAATGAAAACTGGGGTGAAAGAGATATTAAAATCACACTAACCACTGGTTGTCGTTTTTCAATCTTCGTTTGTGTATCCATTTTGCTAAAAAAGTATACGTTGAGTACCTCTCAAATTTTAAATATTTCTTGACAAAAAAGCTCTGGAAACATGGACAAATTTTCAGTTTTCTAATTTTCATCATATCTTATTTGTTTATAATAGAAGGTCATTTTTGCAAGCATTCTAAATACTACTCAAAATGCTTGTAAAATTGACTGTCCAGCATTCCTGGCATACAACGAGGTTCCACTAACAAACAGGATGTTTTCAGAAAACCTTCATGGCATTATGTCAAAGCACATGGTATTCAAACAGTTGTTGGTTGATTTGGTAAACAAATTATTTTTTGGGTCTGGTGGCTTAGGTACCAATTGTCAAAAACAGGCCTATTAACTTAGCTCAATGGAGTGGTCATTTAATGGTGCGAATGGCCATTGAATTCTCAAATTTTGTCCTTAGTGTTTACGTACATTTTAAGTATAGATAAGTAGGAAAAAAGAATGTCATGAACTTTAGATTGATCGCTGCTCTAAGGTAATCATAAGAGTCATACCCTCCATCGTGTTTCTTTTCAGAGAAAAGCCTAAGCAGAAATTGGCCTTCTTCGTGAGGGTAGAACGTGCTTGGAACGATGACGTAATTGCCAGGGTCCAAGCTAAATCTCCCAACAATTTCACGAGCATTGATAAAAGAATCCGACTTTGCAACCATTTTGTTGTAAAGAAAGAAGTCTTTTCCCAAACGTCCATCCACCATATACTGTTTTGCGTCATCTTCGACCTGCATGAAAAGGGCTAGTTCTAATGTGTTTTTGGGATAGGCTAACAAACATGGCCTAGAACGATAAGATCCTTTTCTAGGCAATGTTCAAACTGACACAAGAAACTAAGGCCACATCCATATACATTTTCAAAGGCAGTGTTTATATTTATACAAACACGAATAAAAAGCTTTGCATCAACATAGAGACGATGCGTTCTCAAATTATTGTTTTAACTCTGGAAATCTTTGGGTTTTCAGTCATATTGTTGTCTTTGTCATATAGACGGGAAGCGTGAATACAAAGAATTGATGCCATTTTTATTTTAAAAAAGCATTCTTTAAAATTGCTTTATTCTATTCTGCCATGTAGCGCTTGATGTGGTCAAGGCAGTGCTGTGAGTTACCTTATAGATAGCAAAACCAATTGTAAGGTTATCCTTTCCAAGAAGTCGCAGCTTTCTTCTGCCTTTCTGAAGTAAACCAACAACAAGCTGACATTTATCTAATTCATCATCATCGTCTGGATCCTCCAGAGTGATTCTGTAAACAAAAAAGTACAGTTATGTATGATCCGTTTATGTATAGTGACATGATAGAAAGGGGTTATATTTAGTTTGCTAATACTCGGTCGAAGCACAAACTGTAGCTACAGGTAGGACCAGAGGTAGGACTAGCCTTAAAGGATTATGAAGGAAAATTATGCGCACGAGCATTTGTATTGTCGAAAAATTCAACAAAGAAACAGAGATACTCATTAGGCTTTCTTGACATTATGAAGCAGCATTCTTTGGATGTTTATATAAGGCGTCGCCTTTGGTTTGTATAATAGCTACTAAATGTTGTTTAAGATACCTGAACTGCGGATTAGTGTGGAACGTATCCGGATAATTTCTGCAGCCTCCTGCACTAACATAGGCCTGCCATTCACCTTCATGCAAAAGCATTTGCCATTGATGGCCATCCACATCACCGCAGTTATCCGGACTCAACATGCAGACTTCCAGCTTTGTGAAATTTTCAACGAAGTCTTGCATGGATATCCTGTGTAGGGAGAGATTTTGGCGCCAAATGATATTAGAACATGTGTTGAATATTAAAGCCTACATACAGTGTACATCTGCAGGACCAGTGCTATTTTCCGTTATCTAAGTAAATTGCAGGAAGTTTCGACCAAGGCCAGAACAAAAGCTTTGAAAGATTTTCAGAAACAGGCATTTGTCTGAAGTTGAGAAATGTTCACCCAAGAAATGGAAACGTCAATTTCTCAATATCAAAAAAACTGTAAGTGCGCCCAGTTTACCAAGTTTACCACGCTGAGCTGCAGTCTCCAATGATAAATGGTGAAATAATTAATAAAAGACTAACAGGAACAACAAGAAAAAGGTAGAACAAAAGATCTTTTGCTTTTAAAACATCAAAAACTACCAAATATGCTATAAATTCTTCCATCTATTGCCCTTCCTGGAGCGTTTACAACCTCCAAAATATATTTCTCTCTTTAAACGGGTTATATATTATCAAAAAAAAAGTGGATTGGAATATCCGAGGAGACCAAAGTCAGCTTACCAGAATTCACCATCGTGATCAAATGTAAGACCAAGGCTTTTCTTTTCTTCTTGAGAAAGCAATTGCCATTCAGGAGAGCTGAAAGAATAAGGTTCAAGTAATCATTTTTTAGCGGTATAAAATTTGAAATTGGCTTCGAAACGCAAACATTTTATAACATATAAGAGCTAAAATGACGACATATTTCAGACAACTGGCAGAGCCCGATCGTCTTTTCACCTAGCAGCTTTTAAACGATCTACAGACAAACGAAAAAGCTGCTAAAAAGAAGTTCATTTTCTCCCTTTGACTCCAGTGGTGATTTTCCTAAAGTCAAACGGTACTGATTGGACAACTATACCGGTCATGTGCTTGCGATTGGCCTAATTAGAGCCACAACTGGGTATATATTTCCCTCATATCTTCCGTCATGTACTTTCGGACCCTTATTCTGACATTTTATACTCTGAGGAGTGTCACACGAAAAAGCTTTGAGATGTTGTAAAAAGTTTACTTTTTCCGAAGCCTTTTCAAACTTTCAAGTATTGAAATGACTTGGAAAAAATTGTCATTATGCAATAAAGTTGTTTTTGTGACGTCAAAGGTTACGGCTTTTGTACTACGCAGTTAAGTTTAGAGGCCTCGTACTCTAAACGTTTGGACAATTCAACGATCAAAGAATCGATAGCATGGATTGGAGAATTACATCGTTCTTTAAAGTTCATAATTTAGGATACTTCGAATAACATAATCTAATGATATCAGTTGGTTACATATAATATCAGCGTAACCAAATAATAGTCGTGGTGGGAAATTATTTTGATATAATAGGCTAGGTTCAATAACCGAAAAATGATGTACCTGTCACTCCATGGCCCATTCCACTCTCTCTCGTTGCCCCATGGATTCCTCACACGAATCAGATCAACTTCAATTGGACCACGGCGGCCACGAGCATTCACCTTCAGCAACAATCAATTTAGAACTAATGATACATTTTAGGGGGATTTTACATGAAACTTAATCATCTGCAATAACGGATCGAGCTATGACTTAAAAAAGTAAAGTTTTCTAAACAATCTGGACTTATGAAACAGATACCCTAAATTCAACAGTAATTGTAACACACACAGAGCCGCATAGATAAGAAAAAAGGTACATGGCCTTATATTTTATTTTATGTATATTAAAGCCTTCCCAATATTGTGTTTAAACATGGGATTGTTGGGGTTTTGATGCAAGATGAAACCGGCGACAAATGTTTAGACACAACCAGGATAAGTTTCGTGGGCAATTACCGAAATACCTATTAAATGCATAAATTGTATATCAACTATCTCCTTTGCTTCAATGGCAGAATAGATTAAAATGGGCCATTTGTTCAAAATCAAGCACTCTAGGTAGGGAATCTAAAAACGTAAGGCCCTTTATTGTGTAGCAGACACTTATGAGAACAAGTTTCCTCTTAGCATTTTTAGAACTAGCTAATGTTCAGAATGAATTAACCAAAATGTAATAGAGACGATGCATTTGGTTTCTGCCTTAAATTTCCCATAGAGGAAATCTCAAAGATGTTTAGTCTCCCATGCCAGATTACCTATACCATGGTAGAAGAAAGAAAAGACCTGAGGACTTACATTGATTTGAATACTTAACTTTCATTCATTATGAATTAATGCTTGCGTACCTTTGCCACGCTTGAAATGGTGTAGGCATGGCCTTTTACCAACCCATTGCTCATCTTAGCTTCGACCTCAGCTGCATTTTTCGCATCAATCGCTGAACACATCAGAGATTGGAATTTGGACGATTTCATCATCAACGAGAACAGATTCTTCGGGGCATTGCTGAGGGTTATAGACAAGCACATGCCACCAGTGAAGTCCTCTAATGCTTCGCTACTTTGACCACCTTTCAGGGCTTCGTACGAGCCATTAAGTCTTTGACGAAAACGAAGAAAAACTGTTACTCAAAAAGTTGAAATGCAAGTAAGTATGACTTAAGAATACGACAGCAATCACGGAAGGAAGCTAATGTGCACCAATTAATGTGGACCAGCTGTCTGACTCGAAATTTTTCAACTTGATGACAATTTTTCGTCAACTTTGTGACGATTCTTCTTTCCTTAATTAATTTTCATGGAGGAAGGCTGCATTCTTTCGCAAGATTCACATGTTAGGTTAAAGCATATTGATAACGAAGGTTAATGATCCCAACAGCAACATGTTTCTAAAACCTTTTGCTAACTTTGCCCTGCTCTTCTCGTGTTCCACATCTCATTTTCACCAACCTGGTTACAAGGAATATCCTAACGATCAAAAAGCTCTCCTAATTCAACGAACAACTAATGAATAACAGTAATATAATATCACATTTACTTAGCATATGCCTTTTCCAGTAATGCGGACCAGAATTCATTTGGCTTAGTCGAATGGGTAAACACGAGCTGATTATTGTAAGTTGGCAATAGATCGTCCACAACAACTTCCCGCCATTCGCCGTATTGCCAAAAACGAAATCGGAAGATCCCTTGATAATCATTCTCGAAAGACTGTTCACGTGGTATGATCTTGTCAAGCATTTGGTCGTGTTGCGTCAATGCTCCAATTGCAGCCAAAAACCAGCAATCTCCTAGCATGCCTTGCGCCACATCAAACCTGCTTGCACCGCCAACAAACATCTGAGGGTTATCAGTGAGTTCCTGAAAAACCATTCGCAAGATATATACAATATTTTCTTATATAAATTTGATAAGAAAGGTAGTCGTACCAAAGTATTCTTGAGCAAATTTTGACTACTCAACCAACACTACCTACAAAAGAGGCAGTGATTCAAGCCTTTTTGGTTTTCACTGGGACAATGACTGTGATTATGGATGGGACCACGATGACATAGACAACAGACAGCATCAACTGACAAGAAAAAATACAACACATTTACCAAAAGAAAGATAATCCACCATATTAAAACTCCTTTCCCTCATACGTGGTAGGATGCCACAACAACGGGTTTATTGACTCGAATTGACGAGATAAGCATGTTTAACGAGATAAACAATTTGCAAACAATCTTTTGGAGGTACAAAACTTACAAATGGCTTTGAAAAAACTACGTTTTGAGTAATACTTAAGCTTTTCGCCTGACACTCTTCAAAATATAAAACGTCAGAACATAGATCAAAAACTCTACGTTAGGAAATATATATACTCACTTGTGGATCGAAATAGGCAAATCAGAAAATGCGAGCACATGACTGTTGAGGATGCCCAATCAGTGGCGCTTGCCTATTGAAAATGTTACCAATGGAGTCCGTAGGTGAAAACGAACTCCTTCTGTCTACACAAAAAGGTTTTTATGTTTGTATTGATTGATCTATTTCCTAGCTTAGAATTTTCGATCTATGTTCTGACGTTTTATACTCTGAAGAGTGTCAGACGAAAAGCTTAAGTATGACTCAAGATAAATAATTATGGTACTTGTAATGCCAAAAAGGAAGAAAATAGGCAGAAAATATGGTAACTACATCTAGTCAAAAGCTACATCTTTTACCCGAAAGCTCCTTTCTTATTTTAAAGCGTATCTTGGGAAGCTGAAAATCAGGGGTGGTGTTCAGAAAGCAACCATGATTGTCCCGGACTGGAGGCCAAGGAAGTTAAAAAAGAAGGTATTAAAGTAATGTACCAAAACAAAGTCATTTTCACTATTTGCTAAGAAATTTTTTCAAAATTTTAGGTCATTGGCCACTGGAAAATAAATTTCTCGTAATTTAAATTTCTTCGCATAATTTTCTCTACGTAAACCTCATTTGTTTACGTTACATTAAATAGATCAACTTGATCTTACAAGTTAATCTACTTTTTAAATGTAAAGTGCTTAAAAAGGGGGATAGCTGAAGCTATCAGTCGTCCAAATTTTACATAAGTCTACAAACCATGGCCTGAAGCTTGTAGCTTTTTCATGCGCTTCAACGTACTATGTAGGTTGGTCATTTTTGGTTTGTCTTATATTTTTATGATATGCATTGTACATGGATCTGGATAGAACCCTTAGTTCCCCCTTTAAAGTCATAAGCAACACGATAAGGAACTCCCAATCAGAGGCGTCCCCAAAGGGGGGAAGTGCGGTACCCCCCTCCCCAACAATATGTCCGTTTGGACATTAAGGAGTTTTGCTGGGCAAAAGAAGTTATTTTCGTACTCACTCTGGAACCTTTTTGCAACAATTGTAAGGTATCAACTTTTCTGTTGTAGCTGAACTTTTAAAGTATGCCATTAAAGTATGAACTTTGAAACAGAAAGGCATAAAATCAGCATATAAGAGTATTCATCTTTTGACCACCCCCTTCAAAAAATGAGACACTCCCCTTTTTTTCGGCAAAAAGCACTTCTTTACCCCTCCAAAAAATATTTTTGGCTTCGCCCCTGCTCCCCATCAACAAACGATGGAGAAACTAAATATGAATGCTAGGCAAGCCAGAACGAAATTGCATTGACGCATATTTAATTATTTAAAAGCAGAAAAATGTTGGAGCTTAACCAGATCAACCAAGGTACCCCTTCTTCTAACGAACAGTTCTATCTCTCCATTAAATACTTCAAACAGACAAAATGCAAAATAATCACCCCGGGCCTCTTCCACTCAAATTTCCGAGGTGAGGCTTGACTGAAAAACAAACTTCTATTATCAGCGGGAAACACGGAATCTTCAAACAAGCGTCCGGATCGCCTGCAGTTGTCTTTCAGTTTGTTATAGTCCTGATCCTTAAAGCCCTTGGCTTTTTCCGCATTGCTAATTGCATCAAATATATCCTTGCCGGTTCCAGAGTAACTCGTTACTAGGCCATTGTTGTTAGATTTCCATTCTGAAGATGAGCCGGTTTTCGAAGAGTACGAGTCGTTGTAAGAGTAGCTGCTTCTGTAGTTGGAGCTAGGATCACCAGAATTACTTGAATACGATGTTCTGGACACCGATGTTCGTCTTACTCCCCCAGATGGAGTACTATAGTTTGAGTATTTGTAGTATGATGGCATCTGAAAATCATTGAATCGATTAGCAAATACTGAAGCTTACTTGAACTAAAGAAATGCAAGGGAATGTATTCCACAAAACTGTCTGCACAGAAGCAGATAAAGCAAAAACTCAAAAAGTATTCGGTTTATATTGAAATGTAAGTTCAGAAAACTCACCGCGTTTCTGCTTGAAGCCCTTGGATGCTGCTGAAACTACCTCAGTGATGCAGGGGCTGGAAGTTCTACAGGTTGAAGTAGGGTACCTACGCATATAGAACTCAGTCAATCAGAGTCTATCAATAATTAATCAAAGTTTCAATTAATATATGAATTAGCAGTTTTCAAAGGATTTATGCGTTGCATTTGTAGCAAATAGATAGGGATATGGTATGGTTGCCGAATAGTCATGAATTAGAAATGTAGGCAGCTTATGCCAATGAAATTGTGTGACGGCCCTAACCAAACCAATGAAAGCAACCACAAGTGAAGTGAATTTGGATTTGAATACAAAATACAACGCGAGCATGGTGTTTGCATTGCAACTGACGTGATCTCCATACGTCAACTTTTTCTCAAAACCATCCGGATTGAACGTCACTTGAGAAAACCAGTAACTCATATTGTATGCTAACTAACATTTGTGTTAAAGATAAAAACGAATAGCATGATTGGGAAAGGGGACGTATCGGCATGACGTCTCTCTTGCCCTAGACGAGTGGCGTTAATTTGGGGATGTGGTCCAGCCAGTTGGCAATTTCGCACCAAGGCCAGCAACGAAATAGACAAGAACAAAACATTGAATGAGCAATTATTTTATTTATTGCAGTATTTTGCAAATTCAGGACACCCCATGAAAATTTTAGAAACTCATCTCTGCCTAGTCACAGAACTTTTTTCTGTGGCCTATTGTCCTAAAAACTATCTTCGGATGCTAGGCAGTAAATACAATACAGTAAAATTGTTAGAACTACTTTAGACACCGCTGTAAGCAAAACATGAAATCTAAAGACAATACTTTGACAGCAGACGGCTCCTAGACGAGTATCAAACGCTTTGTCGGAGTGGGTGGTGAGCCCAAAATTTAAGGACCGTATGAAGTTGTTTATACGAACATATCTGCATACAGGTGAAAAACCATTCCAGCCATAAATGTTTATTGACTTCTCAAACGTGGTATGTGAATTAAGCAGGTCTTTGAACAGTCCGCAAATGACAACGAATCCCTAAAACAGAGACAGAGGTCAAGACTTCAACGATGGAGTCATTAATAGCGTTTTTGCTGAAAGATTAACCATCATTATCAAAGAAATAATAAGGTTCATTCAAAAGCATACAGGGAGGGACTTACCAGAAGAATATTGGGGAGGGGTAGTGTCGGAAGGCTGGTATAGGTCATTTGTTCAAGCGAAAAGTGACACTCGGCGTTTTATGAAGAGAAATTATTTTCAATGCTGCAAAAGGGCTTGCAAATTTGACGAATAGAAATATGTCAAATAGCCTTTTAGCACTGACTCTAGTCGAATGTCAATCAGTATTACATGACACTGGAATGCAAACAACGATAGGAGGAGTTTGAGACAGTCCTATCATTGCATTAGACCTACAAGTGAATGCACTTCAGTGGCATGAATCTAACGTGTTCAAGTCATTACACGAGCTGCTATTGAGGTACAAAACTGATAACATAGAGATCGATTAGTCAGTACAATTTATCAAATGATAAAGTTGATAGTGGTGACACGTATAAATCTGGGTTCTTCTATGAATTTAAACGACTAAATCACAGGCAATGGCTTTTAAGAAGGTGAATAAAGTAATCTTCAAATTCTAATTGCAAAAATGCTTACGTTGAATGGACGCAACCTCAACAGGTGGTCGTCTCGTCTTCGCTACTTTGGATAAACAACAGAATTTATACTACAGAGAGCTCAAAGTTAAGATTGCTATTTGAAAGAAGAGATATTGGCTAGGTTGTGCTAGAGGTTGAATGCCAGAAATAATTGTAGACAGGCACGAGCATCAAATACAATGCATCAATAAATGCAACAATACTGTACCAGCAAACAAATTGAAGCATAACAAAACACTGAATTCGTCTCAGAACGGTCTTACTAGATAGGTGACGAAACACTTTGTACCTCGTGGATATCCACAGCAAAAGATAGTGAGAATGGAAATGGTGTATCATATATCTTTTGTTTTAGAACCTTAGAACAGCGCAAAGGGTTTGAAATTCACAATTACATATGTAACAAGGCATTTCAGAGTAAATTTTTAAGGGAAGAGCCATTGAATATTATCTATAATTGACAATGAATAATTTGAAAAAAGCCTAAGATTGCCTTGTTAAGGCAAGTCAAAAAAACCAGCAGAAAATGCTACGCTGTAACTCCCTAGGCCTTAAATGTACCTGATCCAACTGTTAAAACGCAGTTAGGGTAAAATACAGCCGCGCGAATGGAATCTGTTTGCAGCGGCGGAAACATCAACGGGCATGCATAATATGCTTGTTTTAAGATTTCAGTTTTTTGTTGTAGCGACATAGGACGAGGAATCTTAAAATAGTTTAAGTATCCCATTAGAAGCGCGTCGAATAAATGATATGCTGTCCTTGCGGTGCCGCAGTTATTGAAAACTTTGGCTAAATATAGAGCAGGAAGAGCCATCCTGCGTTGTTTGGAATCAATATCCCATCGTGATATAGAAGAATTAATTCCTTGGATGAATATGACGTGGAATCTTTGAATTATTGAAAAAATACACAGTTTGATGTCGTTTTCGCCGGGTCTCGATTTTATCATCGATAGAAATGAATGCCACAATTCTTAGAATCACCGATTAAATAAAAGTTTAAGCTTTTTGAGAGGCCAACATCTAGATATTAGCAAACCCAAACTGACCTTTTATTGCATTCAATGCTACCAAATGAATTGAAATAACCAGTGCAAAAAACGCCCGTTTTCTCCTAAAACCGAATGCTTTGGTCATAAATTCACAAAAAAGTGCTTTCATCACTGAACTCAACCTTGCTCTAGATTGATATATAAATCTCAAGTTCTGTTCTATTATTTCTTCATACCAGTCTGTTTAGAAAATGAATAATCAGAGTTTGAATAAATTTGAAATGATGGTACTCAACTGTCAAATATTTTTAGCCAATCTTGAGACTAAAAGCTTTGTACCACAAAAGAAATGACTGAAAACGATGTACAGGAGATGCTTTTAAGATACTGAAAAACTGAAAAAAATTTCCTTCATCTAATAAAAAAGCCTTTAAGGTAGAAAGGTGTTTCATCGGCTTTAAAAAATAGAGTTTAATTTGTTCTTTGCTGGTTGCATATAAAACATATAATATTTGTTGTCTGGTTGCATTTCTTAATATTTAAAAAAAAACTTGACTTAAGTGTCTAATAGACAGGGGTTTTGGAATTATTTTATCAACGATGGGGTTGATTTGAAGGTATATTATACGAATTTTACTTGAAAAGAAGACACCAAGACTGCTTTCAGAAATCCTAAGGGTGTAGTGGGCTGCAATACCTCTAAGTGCTGTACAGAAATGAAAACAAAAATTCGAATTCAAGTCGACTTATCATATAAAGATGTTAAGCGAAACTACAAAATGATTGAATATGAGTTATATAAAGCAAAAAAAGAATTCACCCAAAAATGTCATGCTGACCTTTCAAACGGGTATTAAATAAATAGATATTGGACAAAGGTGAGTGTATGGGGAAGTTTTGAGAAATAAAGCCGAAGTAATTGGATGCCAGTGGAAACTTAAACCTTTGATATATCCATAACGCATTAATCAAATCTGTATCGATCTTATATAAAAATTATTGTTATGTTTTATATAAAAGGACAAAAAATCTTGAAGATAAGTTGGACAGGGAAATGAAATGTGCGGCAAAAAACTCATTAAAAAATGTGATCTGGACACAACTTAATACCAAAATTAATGTTTATAAGGCATATTCAAATATGCTCAACCCGAGTTGATGTATTATTTCATTAGCTCACAATATCAAATTGAATTTTATTTAAGTTTTTGTGACTATTCTACTGAAATTATGGTTAGATACGGTAAGTTTAAAAAAGTAACTTGTCTTTGGGTTAGTCCATCAGGAAACCTTAAGTGTAGATGGCCGACATGATGTACTGGAAAAGAAAAAAAGAATAAGTAATTATGCGTAATAAGAATGGCTATAGGAGCAAAATGACTGCCAATATATTTGGAACATGGTCAAAAGGCAGTCCTGGGTGATATGACAGAAAAACCATGGTTAGTTTAGCCTATAAACGAGGTAAGAAAACTTGCAAAATAGAATAAAAACTTTTGGAGTAGGGCATTAAAATGTATCAGCTTAAAATGCATTCAGATTTTGCCAGGACTGTAGAACTGGAGGAAAAAAGCACGAAAAACCCCTCAAATCGATATGTCCCTGAAACCGATATAACAACAAGTTCATTTACTCATTTGGTACTCGAGATTGTCAGTTGAGATAGAGCTCAAAACAGAGAGTATGCTCGCGCATACCCGACCATGCTCTAGATTGTGGTGAAATGTGCTAATGGTTAAAATGAATGTTCTGCAGACGGTCATTCGTATATACATTTCCAAATCACCACACAACCACCCCTCTCCGTGTATAAAACTGTTCATTACTTACGTCATCAAGTGAAAATGAACGCCCTTGGTAAGACAAGTAGGATTCTTTGAAGAAAAAAAACAGGTCATTGTTAAGTTCATTTAAAAAGAACAACATTAGATCGCCAACAAATTTTCAGTACTTAAAGAAAAAGTAATCAGATTTTACAAAGATTAGCTCTTGCCAAGCCTTAATTTTTCGCCTGCAATTTCAATTACTCGTTCTTTACTCAAGATCTAAAGTCAAGATTACTTTACTTAAGATTAGATTAATGATATATAAATATAAATTGTCACATTAAGCGTGAAACTCGGAGTAGCAACTTAGAACTGGTTTGTTTTATACACCAAATACCGCTCTGCCTATAAGGCAACGAGCACTTTATGACTCAACAGTAAATTCTATTAAAAACTATTACATATAGATAATTTTCCAGCTCAACGGTATTAAAATCTAAAATTGGAAGTCTAAGTAATAGAATATGAATGGGTTAATATCTTACCGAAGCATGAGCGAATACGACAGCAGATTTGCAAGAAATCATCGAATGAAATGTGACCCTTCTTGTTGGCATAGCGGAGAACAAGTGAGCTGAGTGCTGGGGTGCTTAGTTTAAAGCCTGCAAACAACAAAAGAGGGAATGCCATTGATTGGGCGCTAGGGCAAAAGGGGACATTGCATAAAACTGCAGATAATGAAGGACAACATAAAAAAATACTTTTCAGGGTAAAAATGGCTAGTGGATTTTCAAAAACATGAAAAGACTGTATTCATTCAAAAGATCGAAGCTATGCTGCTGACTTGCACATCAAGGAGACAGAACAACGAGAAATCAATGCAAATCAATTGATCTTAAAGATTCGCCATATGCCAGAGTCACCATGAAGGGAATTTAATATATCCCTTCAACAGCTTTGGATACGTTCTCAACCAATTCTGCAAAATTACTACACTAAGACCACGTCATTTTGCTTATTGTTGCGAAACAGCAACAGCTTTGGCTAATTTGGTCATTCCTTTAAAGATCAGGTTCATCCTGTAAGACCGGTAAGAATTGAGGGGAGTAGGTACATCGAAAATAAGATTTTCTTGGCTTTTGGTCTCAATGAGAACCTAATGATGGCGGAAACGACAAAAAACTACAGCAACAACAAATTCATAATTTTCAATATTAGAAAGGCACGATCGTATTATATTTTCAGTTAGCAACCATGAGCTGCCTGATGGTTGCGAAAATCATGAAATATTAAACTATTAAACTTAAACATGCATCGTTGCTTTAAAACTAAACAGTGCCATTCACAGTCTAGACTAACAACCATCATATGTTCAGTGCAAAATCATATGTCCAGCTCGCCTAGACTAGAACAAAAAGACCTGCTCAAAATTATCGACTGAATTAGATAGTGTGGTAATGGTTCCTATATGTTGCTAGGAATGGACTATCGAAACTAAAACAACGCTAGTAAAACATGTGGTATTGCCCTGAGCAGATACGTCAATATTTGCAAAAAGACTATTTATTGTCACCTACCAAGTTTGGCAAGGGCGCCCCTGAGCTCAATAGCATCCATGTCACCACTTCCATCTTTGTCGTAATCTTTGAATGCAGTCTGTAAAAATCACACTATACAGTTATCATCTGCAGTTGCTGGTCTGGAAAGGGGTAAGGGGCAGGAGGGGCTAGTGCTCCCTCGTGATGAAATACGACAGCCGTCAACTGACTTTTACTTTCAAAGGCATCAAAAAGGTTACATCCCAGAATTTTTTCTATTTGTGAATCTTGAAAACGATGGATCGCTGATAACCCTTATCTGCATATCTCGGCTTCTCAATAAAAAAATGCACTATCATACAAAGTTGCACTTGTCATATAATCGAAGTAATAAAACGCAAGGACAACCCATCCAACAGATAAATGTATCTGTTTACTACGAAAAATGCACAAAGTATCCTGAAGATAAATAGATCTAGCTAGACTGATACCAAATTTAATCATTGCACTAACAACACAAGTTATTGCCTACAACAATGTCACTAAAAGTGGGACATTATGATTGCAATATTGCAATCGTAACAAACCAAAATGAAAGTGGTGATAGCTATGCAATGTGGTCAAAGTATTACCTTCCACTTCATGATGGTGAACCATAAATCTTTAAATTCACCAAATACCAATTTTCCAGAACGGTCTTTCTGTTCCAAAGTTAAGGGGGTGTTTACTTTAGTGAGATGAGGCAAAGTTTGAGAAAGATAAGAAAAGGTTGAGTTTCATTTACTCTTGACTAAGAAAAAACAGCATAAATAACATAAGCATAAAAGCTTTATTATGAGCCTAGGGGTTTCCTTGGAGTAAAGGGGGTGTGCTATGAGGAAATTATGGGGTACCAAAACGGAATGTGGCACACCAAGTTGCAAATATTTTTTCACCAAGCAATGAGAAATGTTAGCAGGCAACAGCATGGGTCCTAACTCGGCAAATTGTTTTGCCAGTGAGCAAATTATTCTGTCAATTTCAAAATCAACAAAACATTACAAGGGTAGCTAAGAAAAGATTATTTCGAAGTACCCAACTTGTTTAGATTTGAATATGATATACAGAAAGGATACATCCATCATTGCAACCATGCTCCTGTAGATGGAAATTACAATGCATCAGTTATGCAGTAATACCGTGCAACATTTGTGATCCAAATAAGATGCACTTGAATACACGCTAGATTAACAAAGGTATGTACGGAACAAGGTCCCGTAATCGCTAAATCTTTTGATACAAATAATGTTATGGCATAAAACTTCGGTTTATTCATGGTCTCATCACTTTGTAGCAGTTTGCTTCTTGTACAGAAAAGTTTCAGAATACTCTAATATATTTGACTACCTAAGCAAATGTAAAGGTCTTTTGTTGATCAACAAACCGTGCTAAAGACCTAAATAAGCAATGTAACTAGTGGAACCATAATTCTCAAGAAGCAGTGTGGCAGTGTGGCAGTGGGGGGAGGGGGTGGTGCTCAGCCCTTAATCATGCTTTGAATTTTCATGAACGAGCAATTTCTGCTAGCCTTTTAGAGGCGGTGAATAGTTTGAGTGATTTGATATACACAACAGAGAATCTTTAAGACAAATGCAAGTATACAGGGTATGACAGTGGGTGTGGCCGTTGGGTGTGGTTCTACTAATAATTTCATGGGCTAAACAAATATGGTTTGACTCATTGAGATCAACTTAAATGATCAAATGTATAGCTTCAAACGGAATAAAAGTATACCTGCAGGCTTCCAAACTGAAATCTCTAGTACCTTTGAATTCTAAAGACAGAAGCAACTTTTTACCAAACGAATCATGATTATGAATATTAAAGCTCTTTTCAACAAATCGAAAAATTATATTAATGGTCATTGAGTATAAAACAGAATCGATAAAGTTTGGCTTACAAATTGGCAGCAGATCAACTTCGTGAGCACAATTTCCAACTTTTCAAGGTGATAAAATTTTGCACACTCATAGATCTTACAAATATACACGATTCTCTTCAACTTAAACAAAACAAGTGTTCTGTCTACTCAATTTCTAACCATTTCCAAATAATGAAAAGCCATTTCACTTTGAACCAAACATTTCCAAACGAGCAATGATTTTTAGCAAAAGATTGATTTGGCTGAATACATAGCGTAGGAGAAATCACTGGATGGGTACTGGGGATGATTCGATGTGCTGTTAAACGAGATCCCTGGCTGTCTGAAAAAACACGAATATTTTCTATACAATTACCACCAACTTCTGTTTAACCAGATTTGTTGATTGGCACCTCTGATGGAGTGTATATAATTTGCCAAATTTTGCATCAAATTGGCTCCGTAACTTCCATCTTCGTTAGAATTAATACGAAAAACAAAATTTACAAACCTTTCTTAAAAACAGCAGTAATGACACCTTGGAGCTCGAATGAATCAATCTCACCGTCCTATAACAAATAGTATATCATGGAATATCACTACGGACAGCTTATCAAAATATGTTACATGAATTTTCGGCCAATAGAAAATATATTTTGATTCAATTATTGCAACGCGAGGGATTGCAACACAACGAGGCTATATGGACAGGGAATCTTGACACGCAAGTCTAAAAGTGAAATGAAATTTAAACATACTTCGCCTGCAACTTTCTTGAAGAATTCCGACAACTTATTGTCTAGCGCATCATTCTCGTCCTGCGTAGGCTGTGAAATAAAAAACAAAGCAATCGTAGGTAAGATTCAATCTAATAATAAATAGGCCACACAAGACTACGCTACCGAGGATACATGAAATTTGTACGCTCCTTTGTACGCCCCCAAGAAGGGGATATTAATGTTACCATCGGCAGTAAAGGTATTCTATGGCAAACAGCCACAGGCATACACTGATGAAAAATAACAAAGCGTACAAATCAGTAAAATGTGGTAATTCCTTAAAAGAGAAGAAGCCCTCTGTTGAGCAACAACACAGAAAATTAATTGAATGACAAGACAACACCAGATGCATAAATGCTGGCATATTTAATCTTAGAATATTTCATCAGACAGAATTTGGAATTTATAGTGTATCTCTATAATTGAACTTTGAATTTAAAGTGTTTGAATATAAATCTCTAAAATGCAAGCAAACGAATATAAAAAGTAGTCGTTAATTTATCTGGTTTTACGCTTAATAAAAAATAGCGTTGATTTTATATTTAGTAGAAAGTTTAGAAGGGCTTTTTAAATAAAGTCGACTGGACACCGATGTTTAATAATTTGCATAGGCATACGTTTATACTTTTGAAATATTTTATTCTTAAGGTTATCAGATATTAAATTTATAGGTTATCAGATATTATGTTTATTTTATTTTAATTGAATATCAAATTATGCTTGTTTAATGGTTTACCTCACCAAGACAATTAATTATTTCATGCATATCTGAATCATGACTTTCCTCCTGTTAAAGTAAAATCAAAGAATCTAAATTGTCAAGCTGCTTTTTAAAATCAGAATAGCAATTATCAACGTCGAGTATTAAATGATTTTAAAAAGGGGGAGTTTTGAGCGTTTTGTTTACGTTTTATGGATGAAATCTACGATAACTGTTTAATCTAAGCATGCGTTAAGAGAAAAATTATCTCCATGTAAAAAGTTACTAGACATTATAAGTGTAGATTGATTAATTGAACCGACAAGAAACCTCTTTGAAAGAAAGAGCAGGAAAGAAAGAAAGAATGTTTTTCGCTTGTTTCATCGTATCAAGCAACGGAGAATTTATACTTTAGACCCCTTAGATGTTGATAGCCCAAGTCTACACTCTAACCTAAACCCACAAAAAGGATAACGAAGGTAACCCGACTGGTGATAGGGTTTAAGTTAAGCTTAACGTCATCTCTAGTTACTGGTAGACATCACATTAGCGCTTAAATGCGATTAACGTAGTTAAAGATATTTATAATACGCTTTCTCGACACACAGCTTTAAGCATATCATTTCTAATTCACGAAATGTTGTCTCATCCCAACGTATTGAAAGAATAGCTTGTGACAGGGAAATAAACAAAAGCGTCAGAAAAAGCTATTAATCTAAGCATTACCATAACCAGTCAAGTTTCAACGTAACAATGGCTTATAATATTAGATTGTAATATAGCAATATAAGCTTAAGTATAGCGTTTGAAAGCTTTTGATTTGCACAAATATTTCAGTAAAAGACAATATGTACCTTAGAAGGCCTGTACTCAATTGTTGTTTGAGTATCCAAGGTGCTAAAAGAGACAAGCAGTTAAAATTTGTGCAAAAAAACTTTAAAAAACAAGCGTTGAAAATTTATTTTGTTGAAAATAATAAAAGCCTGTGTGAAATAAATGTCCACGATTCTTAAATGTCTTAATCGTAGTAGAAAACTGAACTTATGACAATGTAGGGTTTAAATGTCTTAAACGTACTGTCTATTACTGAAAATGTCACTTCGTATGCACCCTGCACGAGCCCCCCCCCCCCCTCGTTAAGATCATGTCACTGAATTGAATTGCTGAATTATGTGCAAAGCTGTTCGACGATTCAATTCAACGATGTAATGAAAACATCAGTGGCTGCATCTTAGGTATTCGTACCAGGATTGTGATTTTTTTCTGTAATGCTTCTTGGCATGGAGTTCGTCATTGTACTTACATATCCAGGTAATTTACAATAGCTTTGGGCCTTATGAGTGAGTCTCTATTCTTAATGTTATAAGTGAGAAAAATAAGATGGTATCGCATACATGAAGCTCATCAGATTATAAAAGGATACTCTACGTATATATATACTTAATTCTTCTTAGGCAAAAAGATTTATGGAAGACAAAAATAAACGACGAGAAACGCGAAGAGCAACTTACTCAGCTGCAGCACCCTTTTCAGAAAACATTCTGATGAGGAAATCTCCTTCCTCTTGCGGCTTGAAGGTACTGGGAACGATAGCGTATTCCCCTGGGGGCAATGAAAAACGCCCCGTCACTTCCCTTGAGTTGATAAAGTTATCAGACCTTGCAGTTGACTTGTTATACAAGAAGAAATCTTTCCCCATTCTTCCATGGTCTGCATACTGGTCGGCATCATCACCAAGCTAAAAACAAACTTCAAGTTTCAAACTTTGCCATTTGAGAAATCTTCCTTCATTGCGTAAATTTAAGCCTCAGACTAGAATGCTTCGTAAGATTTATGAAGAAGAATAGCCTGATGGGCGAACACTCTCGAAAAGCAACAGATTTGTGGGTTGAATGTCTCCAAAATGTACAAAGGGGCAAAGAGTGTCGAAGGACCAAGAGCATTTGTTGGTATGACATTGAAACGAAAAGACTTTTGCCTTTACTTTTAGCAGTTCTAATTGAAGTCAGTTTTTACACTGTTACGATAAGAGGCAGAGCTAATCATACGTTTTTCCTTGCCAATTCAATTATATACAGTTCCGTAAAAAGGGCAACAATAGAAAATTAACCTTGTAAATTGCAAAGCCAATGGTGAGATTCTGGGCTCCAAGCTTCTTGATCTTTCGTCGATTCTTCTGAATCACACCAATAACAAGAGTACAATTATCCTCTTCATCGTCCGAATCTGGGTCCTCCAATTTCACCCTTTTAAAAGACAAAACAGAACCGATTTAACAGGTGATTTTCTTGGCTTTCCTGCTTGGCTCAATTGTTTTGCATTGTAATATTTTGCAAAAATGATGGTTTAATCTTAAATAATCCTGACCTACTGCCACATTGTCCACGCGTAAATTAGGACACTGTCCCTAAAACGTTAAGGATTACATGTAAGTTTCGTTCATAGTCATTCTTTAACTTACCAGATGGATTCATCTTCAAACGGTCTTCGAATATCCTTATATTTCATAATTTATCGGCTATTTACACCATTTTCATTAATCATTATATACATAATATTCCACTCGTTGACATTATCTGTATTGCATCTCGATTTCAGTTATATATGCTGATAACCATCAACTTTCCCTTACAAGTAACGCTAATCAATATGGAAAACAATGAGAACGTCGACCTACTTAAACTGAGGGTTGGCATGGAAAGAATCGGGAAAATTTCTGCATCCACCAGCAGAAACACCTTTCTGCCAAGACCCTTGGTAGACATTTGCTTCCCATGTTTTTCTGTCAACATCACCAGCACTATCGGGACTTAACATGCATACTTCAAGTCTTGTGAACTCTGACGTGAAGTCATTATAAGCCATCCTGAAATCAGATGGAATTGACTTATAAGATTACAGATCAGGCTAAAATATTGTTGGAAACAGGCTCTACTATTTTATCAAAATAAAATGTACTGTCTTCTATTGTCTTCAATTTTTTGGTAGTGTCAATACTGTGGAGTTATTGATATGAATACAGTGGCTCAAGTATAGCCATAATGCTACTATCATGGTACTGTGATGGAAATAAGATGGTATTATGGTATGAATATCAGGCTTCTATATCTATAAAATAAAATTGAGCTTTTCAATGACTTCTAGTTGGTAATTTTATGCCTGTCAAACAAAAAAATCGAATTTCGTTTTAAAGGTGATAGAAAAAAGTTCAGCGAAAGGAAATGGAAAAGAAACATATTTTCTGCTTAAAGAGGTTTTGTGGCTTTGATATGACAACACATATTTGAACATCGGAAGATAACCTCGACAAACAATTGATTTTATCTGAGGGAATCCAGATTCAAATAATTATTCTTTAAGAAAAATACCAAATATGTTCAGTCCCTTTGTGGTGAAAAGACAAATTAACTGGGTGGACGAAGAAGAGGCTGTTCGCTGACCGTCTATAACAATGGATGTCTTGATGAATACAATCAAAGAGTGAACAAATAATAAGTTGTGTTCAGCTGTTCCTCAACTGACAGCGTATTCTTTTGGCTCTAGCTGATCGAGTTTTCAGAGGTCATCTTTTACGCGCACTAACAGACGGTTCGTTACTTCTAGTTTAACTCAAAGTACATCGTTAACGATGAAATGTACACATACCAAAACTCGCCATCGTCATCAAAAGTTATTCCCAGGTTGCGCTTCTCGCCCTCACTGAGCAAGCCCCATTCTCGAGATCTGCAAAAGAAAATATGTCAATAAAAATTCTAAACCTCGAAAGGAAATTTCTGAAGTGAAATGTTAAAAGTTGGCCTCTAAATCTGGGGATAATTCAACAGAAAAAGTCTTGAAAACAAATTTCTTAGCTTGCAGAAACGAAAATTATTTTTTATTACTTGGTCAATATTTGGTTAATTTTACTTTCCGCATCCACTTCTTAGCCAGTGCTGTCACGTTCAACAAAGTTTAACAAAAGCACAAAAAACTACCATCATACTAACCCATCGCTCCATGCCCCTTTCCATTCTCTCTCATTACCCCATGGGTTGCGAATCCTGACCAACGTGACAGGATTTCCTCTCAAGTTTATCTGTTGGCAAAGATAACAAGGAAGAAGTTACAATCCCGGACAAAAACTGTTGAGACAAAATACAATTGTCAAAATCTACTACTTAACATTGCCTCGTAAATTAAAATCCCCCCCTCTCCCCCGAATTGATTTCGTATTAGTAGTTCTTTCGTTTGTGCTTCAAAAACATGCATTCAACATTGAATAGGGGGAGGGGAAAATTTTTTTTCAAAGGAAAGATAAAACATTAAACTTTCCTTTAATAGTCTAAGCTAATGCCCGGGGTTGCAATGAAAAACACGACATTTATTCTTTCCTAAGCCCACAATATGCGCGAAAATTTCTATATCAACATCATATTTTGGAAAATCCATGAGTTAAGCTTCCATGATATCTAAATAATTTAGATCGGTAACAGAAACTAATACATAAATAATCATTAGTGAAAAACAACTTGAGATACGTTAAAAGAAGACATTTTATGAGCACTTATCTAACTGTATGTTATCAAATACTCATTAACTGATATGAAGCAAAAACAGAATAATTAACATGCGCACAAACCTTTTTCACTCCAGTGATTGAATATGCGTGACCTTTTATCAAACCATTTTCTAGCTTGGCCTCAATCTCGTTGGGCTTGGCTTCAATGGAACAGCACATCAACGACTGCCTCGCAACAGACTTCAGTAAAATTCCTTCAAGCTTTGGCTGTGCCTTACGCAAATCAAATGTCTCAGTGACCCCACCAGTGAAATCTTCCATTGCCTCACTTGTCTGACCTCCTTTTAATGCTTCATAGCTTCCATTCAATCTGTTAACATATATTTATTGGGTAAGGTAACAGATATGACTTATACCATTAAACAAGGAATCAACTTAATGTAGCAACACCTCAGAGAAATCTTCACAATTGGTTTAGGGGTTCCTGAAACAATTACTCTTTATAAGTACTTCTGCAAATTTTAGCAGATTACGGTTGCTAAAACCATGAATTATTTTAAATTGCATATAATTGGAAAGATCATTTTTTTTATGAAAAACCTTGAATGCATTTGTGTATTAAGAGCTAGGCACTGATCGTTAATTAACTGAATAAAAATAATATGCGTAGCTATATCTGGAAAAAGATTGCTCTAGTAGACAAACCGAAGAAAAGATAGTGCCTTGTTGAACAAGCAAGCTTTGAAACGAAATGAAAAGCAACTTTGAAAACCTGAAAACAAGACTGTACCCACAAAAAAAACAAGAAATTGGTACAAGTATATACGATAACAAAGAAAAAATTAAAGTCAATTTCAGAAAGCAAGCAATCATTCTGAAATGAACTATTCAAGAGAAACTGCTATTACTCTACTACCTAAGAAAGGACAAAACGCAAGTTCTGTTGAGTGGAAAGCTAGCAATACAAAGGTGCCATAACACGAAAGAGATTAAATATCATCCGACATAAAAACAGTAACTTTCAAAACATTGTATTGCATTCAAGGATGTTTATGTCTCAATGTCTAAAAATATTAGTTTCAAAAGCAAAGTATTCCAAATAACCTGAACAATTATAAAAGAAAACATAATGTGATCTTTGCAAACAAAATATGTGCACAAAACATTTCACAGTGCTTGCAGACTCGCAGGTGATGGTTGACTTAAAAGAATTAATTTGTGGGTTACCCAAATAACCAATGCTTTGTTTTAGCTTTGTTTTCAATGTTTCAAAGCTTCACCTTTACGCTTCGTTTTCAATGACTTGTTCTTAATTTCGAACGATGGAGAATTTTGCTTATCAGGTTCATGGGAAAATTCATTTAATATTAAGAATACTATGGTATTTCATATGTTGCTTTTTGGAGGATTGGCAGTGTTGTTAATTTTAGGTTAAGTATGGTTTCTGATTTTCCCATGTACTGTTATTTACAATTCGTGCATTCCATACAATGTGTTGGCTTTTACAACCACCATTATAGGATTTTGGCAGTTAAGACTGCCCTATCCAGTTACAAGCTTTGCAAATTGTTGATTACTATTATTCTTTATACATCTTTTTATTTTCTACTATGCTCCCTAACATGTTGTATCGATTCTTACTTCTCTTTAGGGCAACCAATCTTGGAGCTTGAAAAGCATTGTTAGTTGTTTGGTCAAGATTAAGAATGCTCTACAAATTGCATAAAATACTACTTTATGGCAAGAAAATGTTGTGACAAATGGATGAAAATGCTAAATTTGCTTACTTGGTTGAAGTGTATTGTTGCATTGGATGTTACGTTGTAGCTCAGTTATCTGTTGATTTATTTTTGCAATGTTGTATCCTCTTGTCAACAATTTATCACATAGTTTTTAACAAATACATTTGAAATCATTATCATTGAAGCAGATTCTTTTAATTTCTAGGGTTTGGCTGTAGGCTAAGTTATTGTTAGAGTGTCAGGGTATTTAGGGTGTCCAGAACTTTTATGGGAAAATTTTGCTGATAGATTGGCTTTTTTAAGGAGTGTAGCATGTATTGGGTTATCATAATTAAATATTCATATTGTAATGCCAAGAAAGTTTTTATAGATATGGTTGATTCTTTTAGTCAAATTTGACTGAATGGTGTATTTGGTTGAGTTGTGGTGAAATGTTCAAACTGACATTTCACTCTGGTCTGTACTATAAAGATGACATCTATGTACTTTAAGTATTGTACACTGTGCATGGTTGTTCACTTGTTGGTTATAAAGCACGGTTATTCGTAAACTCATTTGTTGAGCCCACCCCATTATGATGAAATGTAAGAAGTAACCAGCTTACATCAACTGAGTGATAATTTAAAAAAAAAATTTCCAGACAAGAATTTTTTGTGCCTTACATAAATACTTCAGATTGCACTAAATATACAAGAAAAAGGCTTGACATGTAGTTTCTGTGCTTTCAAATAACCAAAATAAAATGGACAAAAAAGTGCTTGGGTGTAATCTATTACTAGAAAGCACAAATGGATAACTGACACCAAGCTGATACAACAAAGGTATAAATATGTTTACAGCGCTTGTTCAAAGCATACTTCGTGTGTATGCATGAAAATTTAATGAAGCTTTACTTAATTCTGATGACCAGACTGTTTTAATTTATTAACGCCACATCTTTTTAAATTTATTGATGTCAAAGAATTCAAACTATAACACAATGACTTTTTTAAAGGACATGTGTCGTGAACATGATTGTCTAGTGCAATACAATTAACTTTTTTGTTTAGTACAAAGCATTTGATCAAGTGTGAATTTTTATGGCAGTAAAAATTCAAAAAGAAGAAATAAAAATTCCAAAACAATGGAATTCCATTCAGAACACTTTTGTTTAATTAGCTAAATGTTAATGTGACATATGCCCTTTGATCAATTTTAGTTGTTGAAAAATATGGAGAATTTTCATATGATCCAATAATTTTTTTCTTTCTGCATGCTGACAGGTGTCAGGTACAAAGATACCCCATGGCAGTGACTGGGTGATTACCACAACAAGCTCCCCAGATGGGGGATATAATATAGTGCATCAAATTTTCCTAATTATGAAAATAAACTCATCATACTTGGCATATGCCTTCTCTAGCAATGCAGACCACATTTCTCCTCTCTCTGCTGAATGCACAAACACAAGCTTGCCATTGTATGTGGGGAGAAGATCATCAATAACAACTTCTTCCCATCTCCCATACTGCCAAAATCTGAATCGGAATATTCCTGCATAGCCATCAGTAAAGCTCTGATCAGGAGGAACAACTTGGTATAGCAATGACTCATATTGTGTCAATGTAGCAATGGCAGCAAGCAACCAGCAATCACCAAGCATACCTTGAGAAATGTCAAATCTGCTGGCTCCACCAACAAACATCTCTGGGTTACTGACAATTTCCTGAAAGAAAGAAAGATGCATCACTACAATGACTCTCATTACTTCAAGGCAGCTGAAAAAGTTCCCTAAGTTAGTAAATTCCCTCTCAGATTGTAACCACAATAGGTCAAAATCCAGTAATTCCCCTGATGTCTATTCTCTTTAGTCTTGCTTTTGTAATTCACAACAAATTATTTTACCCATAGGTCAAAAAAGGTAGTGGTAGCACAAGCCAGGTGGGTCAGTCAGTGGAAACAAGGAGCAAAGCAGAGAGAAAAGTTTCTTAACATAAATCTAGTTTAACATACTGTGCTATTTTACATTTGTATCAAATATTATGAACTAAATATACAAAACAATTTTTACTCGTTTTAGGAAGTTCTGGTTTCATCATATCTGGAAAAAGCTGTGAGCTATTTAACTATCCTCCATAGTACCCTTTGAGTCTACCATTGAAAACATGGTGTCCATGGTGTGCATAAAGTTTATTAACGAATGAGGCAATTATCATCTCTTTTTTTACCTTTATGACCTAAATTAGCTTTGAAATCAAGAAGAATATTGTATAGTTGCATACCTTTGGCCTCGTCCAGACAAATGGCCTTGGTGGTTTCTTTCCACTGAAAAAGAGCGATGATTCAATAGCCGGGAACTCTGGGTCCTCAAAAAGCACGCCATCTCTTAAACACTGGTTTTTGATATCTTGAAACTTCTGGCCTTTGTAAGGGGCGGCATCTGAAGGGGTTCTTGAGCCATCTATGGCATCTGAAGGTTTACCAAGATGATATCCGGACGTCTTTTTGCTCCCACCAGCAGAATAAACTTTTCTTGTACCACCCTGTTTTACCGTAAACGTAGCCATGCTGCAAAACAAAACGAGCAAACGTGTTGGCTAAACTGTCTACATGTGCCAGTACAAGGTTTTTTTGAAATGACATGTTGTGCCGAATAGGGTTTAAAAACTTGCCACCAAGCAATCTTCTTTGGCTTACGTCGATTGTCAACAAATGGCAGGGGCACTTTGGCAGATCAGTTTTATCTCTTCAGTATAATCATAGAATAGAGATTCTCTATTCTGTGGTTCACTATTAAATGCTACTTGAGTTACGAAAGGTATGGAAATAATATCACAACACAATTGCAGACCAGTATCGTATCGTAAAAAATATATCATTCAGCCACTGAAAACATTCCGTGAACTGAGATACTGAGAACTTAATAGTTTCGTGAGCATTCAGCCAAGCTTGTTATACATTTCACAAATAATAGGACCTCTTGCAATGAGTTAGGCCGTTCTGTGCGAATTCTGAATGCCTAACCTGTCGAGGTCGCAAACGAGCAGCAGGACTTGACAGTGCAGCCCAGAAGAAATTAATTCATTCGAAGCTGTAAAAATGCCCTCCTACCTGTTGCTGATGAGAATATTTTCAAGGAAAAGACAAGTTTACCAGTTCTCACAGTGAGCACAATCTGTACACTCTACCAGTCAGCCGAGGTCAAGACAGCAATACGATGCCACAGAATCATTGGCACGCCCATTTGGAAAAAACAATGGCAACAATACTATCCCCCTGGAGACTGCATTCTTTACATATTACGATCGAATTGATTGGGAGATTGGAACGGAGGTGTGCTAGCATTCTTTCGATGTTAGAGGGTTTTGTTTACTTGAAATCTATTGCAAGATGCTAGTCGGTCATAATACTAGAAATAGCTCTTGCTAGTACTGCCCGCAAACAATTAGTTCCTTGATAATGATTGTTTTGAAAATGTAGGTCAGGATATTCGAAGAAGACACCATCTTGGGTTTTCACAATTCTATAAAAACAGCTGCTCTAGTTGATGCTAAACTATTCTTTTTATCAAGAATTTTTGGTGTTCAGTTTGCCTTTGATTTAAGTCCAACGCCCTTTTGAAAATCATGAAATTTTTCGAGGGTTTGACATTTATTTTTCGATAATCACGACAATCATAACTTTTGCTCGTACGGTCTCGAGTTTTTGGGAGAAAAGTGTGGCATTCGACTGGTTTTGATTCCCAAAACTTCGAATCAAAACTTCCATCCATTGCGGAGAACAGAGCTGTGATGCAGCACCGTTTTCGTGCCAACAATCATAACTTTTGCTCGTACGGTCTCGAGTTTTTGGGAGAAAAGTGTGGCATTCGACTGGTTTTGATTCCCAAAACTTCGAATCAAAACTTCCATCCATTGCAGAGAACAGAGCTGTGATGCAGCACCGTTTTCGTGCCAAAAAACCGAAGGCCTTTAACAGAGTCTTGGCAGAGCAACGCTCCGAAGATAATTCTCTTCCGCACAAAGAGGTGGCGGTTAACGACCTCCTCGACAAAGCCGATTGATTGACAATGAAATTGATTGACAGTTGTCATGGCAGCAGAAAAGTGACAAAATCTGCTGAAAAAGTGCTGACAACATGAACTGAAGCTTCCATATGCTACTTATACGCGGGGCAGACTATAAGCCCTTCACTCGCGCGCTATCGCGCGCGAGTTGCGGGCAATAACCAAACATGACAATAACAAAAATCGCCACATCCGCTAAATTAATCCAGAAAAAGACCGAAAAAGGGGGACAGAGCCAAAAATCAAGATGGGCAAAAATTAAAGGATTCTGTAGGAAATTTACCCCCAGGAAAAATAACTCCCTTCTTACTCTCAAAAGCCATAAGATACATTCTTTTTAACAATAAAATTGCAAACAAAATTTGATTAATTTCACCATTTTTTGGCAAGCATTCAAGTCACATGCAATAAAAATCCCCAGCTGGGATTTTCATTTTCTAAAGCCCCGATCAAACAGTTTTTCTATTTTTAAAATCATTCACGCCCGGTATTCGAGGGGACTGATTTTCAGGGGGCTGTGCAGAAAAGTTACAAATTAACGTTTAACTGGTTTTAAATGAAAGCGACTAATTACAATTACATATTTATATATCTATAATCATCTTAAAAGAAGATAAAGAGGTATCTTGATTGGCCTTGCGACGAAGCACATTCCTCCATACACTCCAGAGCTAAACGATCCAAACGAATGGCCAAACATCGGCTAGACAGCAGTTATATACTTTTATTTGACTAAAAATAATATTTGAAACGGGAAATATTTGATGAGGGGATGTAGTTTCTATCGAGTGAATGTGTCTTTAAGATATCCTAACTTGACATGTTTCTGAAAAATTTTCTATAACAACATATGCTTTATTAGACTAGGCAATAGATTGATCCATAGTCAATAGCAGGAGCGTAAGTTGGCCAAAAGTTTTGGGGGGGTGAAAAGGTTTTCTGCCCTGCAAAACTGAGTGGTGCCCTGCAGACCTCGTAGCAACGGTTTGTCTATAGGTTACTAGTGAAAGCTTTACTAGTGTACACTGGTCTTTACCAAGGACAAACTTCTAAGCAGTAAAAACAAACTTGAAACTTCATTGCCTATGAAATTTCTATTTCTCTACGTGAGCGTAAATTGTTTTTTTTTATATTCACTTCATTTAATGTTGGCTTGCAAAATTAAGCTAATAAATAGCTAATTGGGGGGGGGGGATACATGATGTAAACAGCGCAACGAAATTTAGCCCAGTGGGGCTAAGAGTCAAGTTTAGTGAGGTAGGAGGACCCACCATGGTTGGGTCCGACGTGAAGAAATTTTTTGAAATTATACCTTGTAAAAGGGCTAAAAAGCATCTTTCAGACAAAAATTTAGCAAAATGCTATTGTGCTAAAAGAACTGATTGTTTATTGAAAATATTATTGTTTATTGGAAAAAATAGGGAGGGGGATGTCATGCTAAAACTCTAGTGTTAGACGTTGGGGAAGGAAAGAAACGGCAACCTTTCGTTTCAGATTGCACGTAGTTGTGAATGACAGAGGAAGATGTTGTTTTGATTGGGATAATTTTATTTCCTGAACAGAAAAGTGCAGTTTCTTGTATCTAGAAGGCCATGTTTACACTTCCAAAATTAAAACATTGCAATGAAACAGAAAACGACTTACTGAATTAATGCAAATAAAAGAAAAATGATAAAAATATACGTGAAAAAGTTAGCAATTAGATGAAACAAAATCGGTATCTTAACGATTTATTATGTTTTTTAGTTCATGCACTGTTCAAAAGTAATAGAAAAAATGACAAAAAAATTCCTATCTTGACCAAAGTGAGGGCATTCAGCCTCTTATTCCCCCCCCCCCCAGTGACGCCCAATGAGGCCGTGCTTGTCATGAAAATAATTTAAAACTTAAATTAATTTGCATGACTCAACCTTGCCCTCATAAACATATGCATCAATCATTGCATCCATTGGCTATGACTTTCGGTAAGAAATGTTTTCGCTTTGCAAATAACGGAGCTTTTCCTTACATACCTGTTCCGTTCTTTAAAATGCAATGACAGGAAGGTAGATTCATAACAAATATGATATTTCCATTTCAAAATTCCTTAACAGCTCTTTATGAACTTTAGAGGTGGCATTTCTGCGTGGCAATAAAGCTCTTCTTGGCGCCCTGCGAAATCTTCGATTGCCCTGCGAAATCGACTATTTTTTGGATTGGGGGGGGTGTCACACCCCCCCACAACCCCCCGGTAGTTTCGCCCCTGGTCAATAGAAGGGACATTTCCTTCTATTGACTATGATTAATCCACCCCAGACTTTAATGGTGTTGGCTATTGGGTGTGTGTGGGCACGTTCGCATATTATGTGATCAAAGATGGAGGGGGGGGGGATATATCAAGGCCTCTGTTCGGGATGTTGCACTTGTACCTGCAGTTTTATCTCCAACAAAGAACATACATTTGATAAAATGACGTCATTTTTGGTTAGGTTGTTAGGTTGTTATTGTTGTTGTTTCAGTGCTATTTAGCTTATCGCTTTCTGTTGTTCTGTTGCTATTCTTGTATTTCCAAATTTGGCTAGTATTTCATTTATGAAGTTTTGTTGAATTTCAGCTTGCATTGATGCGTTCTTATAAAAAAGCATGTAGTTGTTTTTCAGTTCTGTTTTATCGGCTCTAGATCGCAAATGTATATTTAATTATCTTCATTTATTTCTGTTCAGCAACAAATCACAGAGCATTGCAGCATGGCAAGAGAGAGCACCAGCAAATTTGCAGAGCCAAATCATTAATATGTTCATGAAAACCTGCTCAAATGTTTTAATGACACTCAATTTACTTTTCTCTCGTCTTCTCCGTTTGTTCGAAAAAATCATTATATTCGCGTAGATAAAGTGCAAAAAAATTATTGATAAGAACTAAAAAATTTCAGCCTAGGCTTTATCTTTATTTGTTGGATAATTTTAGGCTCGAGTGTTCTTCTTTAGAAAGTTGATTTTTCTACATCCATGCATTGAACTGTTTCTAGAACCATTGAATAATAGTCACTGCAGCTTCCTAGTCCAGCTCTGGCGGAGAAATGCAAAACACTTATACTCTATAAGAACCAGTAAATTGAAGTTCAGGCTGACTATTCTTAATTTTTAAGAAAATCTTAGGCTTCATTGTTCTCAATTTGTTCTTAAATTATTACGGTGTAAGCAGGGCAATTTCTAGCTAATTTGCTTCAGGGAGGTGTTCAGGCCTCGTTTGCCAACAAACGGGTGAGATATCTTCATTTTCCGACAAGCTTGAAATTCACCGAAAAAGCACCACAAGATGGCGAAAAACTCCTTGTTTTTGTAACAGAACATTGTTAGAAACTAAATTTTACAGTAGCTCAGCCTCAGGCCTCAGGTGTGTTCTTAATTTGTTCTTATACTCACCAATTTTTGAAGGCTCGTGATAATTGTTCTTATGAAAACAGTGTATGGCAAGGCCTTTTCGAAGCGTTTTTCTTTGGAATTCTTAATTTCATGGGAAATGTCTACTATCAAATAACCCGTTTCAGTGGCGTCGCCAGCCCTTATAACTGGGGTGGACAAAAAAAACTTTCTCGGCTACGCCCTTCAGACTCTCGAAAAACATTGGAAACGTTTGTTCGTACACTGTTTGGAACTAATGCTCAAGGTGATGTCCAAGCCCCATTTGCAAGTATGGGGGGATGTGGCTGCCAAGTTTGAGGCCTTGTTACACGGCTAGTGCTTTTCATCAGATATGTGTCAGACATATATACTGTTGAATATGATTCGTGTTTAGCTAAAAAATTAGTCGCAGTAAAACAGAAATAATATAATGATGTCTAAAATAATAATATCTTAAAGATGTCTCCGAATTTGTTTGCATATTTTTTTCCTTCCAGAAAAACAAATAAAAGAAGTAGAATAACAAAAATATTTACAAAAAAACACCTGCAACCTCGAAAGACACCTTTGAATTCTATAAAACTGCAGAACCTAGCTGAAGAAGGAAGTGGTGATAATCACCTCGGACACGTAAATTCGTCTTGTGGCACGTAAAAACAAACACCCACCAGCGTTGTTTGGTGTGATATCAGGGTGGAAGCTTTGGGTAAAGTCAGAAACCTTGTATTCAAGGCATTAAAGGTATTGCAATTGACTTTTACACTATAGAATGTCACTGAATGAAGCGTCACACATAAACAAGATAAAGCAATCAAGGACTATTAATTATAGATAGCTATTAACAGCAATTTGAAATCACAAGCCTGTTGCTTATGAAGATGAAAGCTCCCGATCTGCAAACCTTTGTGACAGGATTGTGGCAAGTAGCGCCGATACTTGTCACGATTCAGTCGGGGCAGTGCGCCGGGGCCCTTGTTCAAAATTAGGGTGTCCTTTTTAACGATAGTGCATCATTCTAGGTAAGGCTTTCTCCCGTAAGGGTCCCAAAAGTCCTGACATTAAATATCAAAGTATTTAAAATTGCTTCCGTGTTGTTTTTGTTTAAAATGTCTTTTCGACGATCTTAAACCAAGGCTAGCAAAGTGGATCCGTCAAAACGACAAGGAATGATTGCTTAGTTACTGAATGACTTAGCTCTGCTAGGGTATTGAAAGTGATGTTGCTAAAAGGATCAACTTTAGTAAAGTTATCTACGCGTTGTAACTGTAAGGGTTTTAAAAATAAATTGGTGACAGTTTGAATAAAATATATTGGATGTTGGCAAGATAAAATTTATTTTATCTTTGTTTTGGGGAGGGAGAGGCTCAGAAGTTGACTGACTGTTAATTGCCACGTACCTTATATTTTGTCTTGGTTTGTAAAACCGAATTTCTACCTATTTTGCATAAATAGAACCCAGGCACGAAGCCAGCACTGGAAAGGTAGGCGGGCAATAGGGGCGTAGCCAAACAGTTTTTCGGAGGGAGAAGTTTTTGCTCAACTGATTTCTCAAAAATATCCTTACATTTACGCAAAAATTCCTTCAAAAATCGACGAAAAATTCCTTCCAATTTCTATTTTACCTAATTTATTTGAATTCATGCCCTTCGTCTGCTATATTCGCTTTCCCCTAACTGAAGAATTTGTTTCTAGAGTTGCCCTGAAGACACATGCTTGCTTTGATTAAGTTATTTTCTTTTGTCTAGTTTCGAATTTTTCCCTTGTCTAATTTCAAAACTTTTTCCTTATCAAGTTTCGAAATTTTTGAACCTTTCGAAACATTGAGGAATGGCGGGTTGCGACAACAGAGTTCTATTTTATATGTTTCTATTTTAATATTCCGAATTCTAAAATTTCAATTTGAATTACAGTGGAATCCCGATAGAACGAACCCCGGATGTAACGAACCCTCGTTTTTACGAACCAATTTTTAGGTCCCCTCATCATAATTACCCTCGAAATAACGAACTTTTCATAAATTTTTCATCTGTTACTTTTGTTTATTTATTTTCGGTGTATTTATCACTTTCTGTTAGGGGGAAATCATTTGTGTAATCGGCAAAACATGCCGATGATACATTTCAAGAAATGGCTCATACACTCAGAGCCTCAGAGCACGAGATGAAAGTTTGATTGCACCATAAATTACTGCAAATGAGTACGTTGACACTAACGAATATTTTCTTACATATGAGACATTGGCAATGAGCGACGACAAAAATTTATTAAGAGACCAAGATGGAGAAGCAGAAGAGGGCAAACAAGAATGTGAAGAAATCGAAGACATCATCCAGGCAACAACTAGGAGTGAAGTGATACCAGCTTTGCCAATCTCTTGGTCCCAAATTATAAAAGGAACATTAAGATTTTCATTTTCAATGACCAACCAGTTGCATTATTTGAATTTAGATTGATTTTTTTAGTCAAATGTGCACAGAGGTCGGAGATAGCCTAAACAAGCCCACCGCAGGATTTTTAGGAGTGAACTGCTAAAGGACACAAACAACGTTATCTCTCGGTTTCACGAACTCCCGATATAACGAACTATTTTCTTGTTCCCTTCAGAGATCGTTATATTGGGACTCCACTGCATGTACATTAGAAGAAGGAAGCGTTGATTCAAAGCAAAAGAAATGCAGATCACCAAAATTTTAGTGTAACCTATGCCTGGACGAAAAGGAAACCGAGTTTTTGTTTACTTAGAACAGCAGTAATCTGCAGTAGAGGTTCTAGGTTCCGTCAGCATGTTGTCCCTATTGGTGGAATGGGTGACCGTGACACTAGAAACAATCTATCTAGTATCGTTAGATGAAAATTTACGTTAGTTTCTAGAACATTTTTGTTCTTGTCGTTAACCGGCAGCCTATCGGTATATAAACAGCGCTGAAATATTATTTATCTAACGATATAAAATATTATTATGTGATGTTTGCAGATATTAATCATTTCTTTAAAAAATATTTAAACAAGACTATTGCTCAACTGCAATCTTTATACTTTTAAAATTTTCCTCATGAAACTTTCAAAGTACCTTTGTAGGCATTATCCAGGAAACATCTTTGAATCATAGATCAAACTAATGAATCTACAGAATCCAAAAAGAATTATTTTGCAAGTCAATCTTATGATGGTGATGCAGATATTATATTTTACATAACCATATCATCAAGATTAATTTTTGCTGCCATTTAGATGGCTAATTTGCATATCTAATTATCTGCTTGTATTTGGGCGAATTTTAAAATTCCTGCTGTATTCGAGATCACCAAGCCCTGAACATTGTGGATATATTGTAACTAATAGGATGGTTAAAATACAGAATTATCATTTGACCTGCCTACTATGATTATAGCTGAGTTCGAAATAATTGAGGGAAATTGAAAAAAACAACTTCCCAGAGCACTGTTGCAAAAATAGCCCCATTTTTCTAACCAAAATTAAAACATTTTCTCATTAAAGTATAATTTTCTTTGGTTTCAACACTGCCTGACAACAAGAGCATGTTGAAAGGCCCTTTTTGGTACATCACAGCTATCAAAAAAGTTATTATTTGAAATCATTTTACTTGTTATCTTATTTTATATAATTTAATAACTTGCGCAAACTAATTATGAAATAAATTCTATAGAACATGGTACATAAAGTCGGAAGTAAACCTAGATTGAGACCATTGGTAGTAAACGAAGAAAACAAGAAAAAGACACTGCATACATACATTTTGGAATAAGACAGTGATGCAAAATATACATATATGAATGAGCACATTGTTGTTGGTCGATAAAAAGCTTTTCAACAAAACCTTATGAAGCAATATATAAAATTTGGTAAGGCTGGCTAATTCACACCAACACATTACTCACAATTGTTACATGGCTACGGTTACTTTCATTGCAAGTTTTGCCATGGCAAAAAGGAGCATTGTATTATCCTTACATGAAATGTGCCACCATTGACAATAACAATATCTATGTAACAAGATGTAACTATGCAACAATAATAGAATATAGGGATGGAATGTTAAGGAGGATTTTATACTAAGCATTGACAAATTTGTTTGTCTTCATTGATGATAAAAATAAGAAAAAATGATGAATGCTAGCTTATTATAGGGGAATGTAACCAACTTTCTTTATAAAAGCCAAAGCCTAGAGATATAGAACATAAATTTATTATCCTAATCAATCATAAATATTGCTTAAACAAAGCCTTGAGCCAAAGTCTGTCAAAATATCAAATTTTCCAAATAATTTGATTTTTGTTAATAAGAAAGGATTTTCACTTGCCCAGGATTCACTAGCCTAGCCCAGCATACAACTCTACCACATAAATAAATACTGATACTTGAGATGCAAGAATTATGGATACAAAATAATTTTCTCATAGTGTTGTTAAGGACAGTGATAAGTGAGGCATAATTTACTACTGTTGATGGCTCTACTGTTGAAGTTACAGAAATCCCTTTTAAGAACAGTACTCTATATTAGTGCTTCTTGAAAATCTCATTGGTTCTTTACAGCACATTAAATCAAATCGTTCTGCCAGATTCAAATAAACTATCAAAAAGCAAACAGGTTGCCAGATTTCAAGGCAAATAGGCTAAACATCTACCACCATTTTCTTATCAACATCCATGCTTGCAACCACCTAGAAATGAGAAGAATACAAATATCAAAACCTGCTTACACAATTTCATGCATAACAAAATCCTAAGGCAAGCACTGTGTTACAAACTAAGCAGGATGCAATTAGCTTAAATTTGTATACATTAATATTTTTCAGCTTATTTTTCTAAATGACCATCTCAAATAGCAGGTATCATTTTTAGCTCTAGGAACATAAACAACTTATTGGAATTTGTTCAGAACCAAATCCATGCTTGGCAACAAGAACTTCTGCAAGAAAGCATTTTACCACTGTCCTTTGAAGGGATGGTAATTTTGAGCTTGTTAAAGGTACATACAACTTTTTTAGATCAAAAGGATCATAAATACATGACACTTTTTAGACTATAATATAAATTTAAGACCTAGATGCAAAAATCTTAGAAATAAAGGAATCCTAAACTGCATCCTTAGGATTGCAGAAAATATTTTATTATGCTTAAAAAATTTGTAAAAACAAAGGTAATTTTTTCCCATTGACATCGCCAGTCAAGAACTGATATTTTTCTATTATAGTCTATGTGAAAAAGCTAACACTTTATGATTTTGTACAATTACAAGAACCCATAAAATCAAAATCTTGGGAAAGGAGAGGACTTTGAAGAAGGAAAAACTCTGTAAGCATGCTTAATTCAGGGAAAAAAAGAAAAATTTCACTTCACAAGCACTGTAATTGACCAATGCTACAAATAATGAAAAAAAAATTCTATGATTCCCTGATGTTTTCAAATATGGATTACAATCTTTTTAAAATTAATGGACACAATGGTAAATCTCTGGTGATTCTTTGGCTTACCTCCCATGAAAAAGGCCCTTAATTAAAACAATAGATATCTTTACAGCAAATGAATGAGAATTGTCCACTAGAAAAAGTCTATAGAAAATTCTAAGCACAACTTGTTGATAAAAAGGTATTTATATGGCCCTTGCAATTTTTTGGGTGAGTGCAAATATGAGCATGATGAATAAAAAAAGTTCATTATTAAAAGCGAATAAGTGTTGGAAAAATAATTCCTTACATTACATAGTTATTGTCTACTTACATCACAGAATTCTTGAAAAGATATTTTACCATCACCATCTTTGTCAAATTGCAAAATAGTTTTATCAACAATCTGTTGCAGCTGAACTTCTTTTAAGTTATTCCCAACCATCATTTTGAGAACTTGAAATAATTCACCATTAGATATATACCCATCTTGATCAATGTCATAGATTTGAAATGCAACTGCAAGAAAAATGCAAAAGTTGACTACAGAATAATGATAATGGGTCAACCTTTTGTCAGAATTTTCTTTCTGCAAAATGGGTCTCTTTCTGTGAAGTGAAACCTCCAGCAGGTGAAAAATAGGTTGAAAACATAGACCATGTACTACAGAGCTAGCAAAAATAATTTGATCAATAAATGCAGTGTATGATATGGCTCTGGAATAGCTTGAACAATAAGTGGGAAGCCACAGGGCTGTAGCTATGGGGACATATTAGGTATGACATCAGTGGAAGGATAAGATGAGGTCACATTTGTCCATTTTTTTGGAACAAATGACAATTGTCTTCCAAAATATTAGGGGAAAATGGCCCCCTTAGCTCCCCCTGGTGTCTGCCACTATGTGACATCCCCATTCAAAAAAGTATGTTTTAAAAATGCCTAGATATTTTGCAACCAAGGTATGTTTCTCCAACCAATGTTTAAACTTGTCAGCAATTAGAGGTTGGCTAACTCATCTTATTGTCTTTCAGGACCCAGACCTCACTACTGGGCACAAAAGCTAGTGAGGGCACATGGGACCCATTATTGGTAAAAGGAAAAAATTGACTACCTTACAATGGAAATGGTAAAAAATCAATAATGATACAATATAGAGAATAAAATACTACACACCTACTTTCTATGGCCCTTGTTCAATAAAATAACACCCAAAAACATGACAACAATAAGGTGACCAAAAATCTCAATGCCCTTATGTACATTGAAAAACAAGCTCAGTGTGATATAGGACATTTTATTCTTTAAATGCATTACTTCTCTCAAGTTCAAGACAATACTCAAAGCTTCACACGCAGTAGCTTAAAGCCAAGTGGATTAAATTATATTGAAATTATGCTAGTTTTTGTTTATAATCTTATTGTTTTGCAGGTTCTTGTTAGCATCACTGGACACACTGCTAAAATAAACAATGAAAAAAGACAAAATGAAATGACAACAGAGAGGATTAGCAACTAAATAGCAAAGAGCCTGAGGCAAAGCTAATCATAATCAAGAAGATTTAATCTTAGATTTTCTATATAACCAATTTAATTTTATCAAGGCTTTCTTTGAATCAGGTAAAACTGACTGACTACACAAGGAAGTCAATTAACTTACATCTTAGTTTTGAGTTCTTGTCACCTTTAACACTGAACTGGGAGATTCCTTCGATAAATTCTAAAATTGAAAGTTTATTCTCAAGAAAATCATATTACAAAATTGCAAAGTTTGTATTCAGCTTTCTATATGTACACAAAAAATAAATGCTCTTTGTCAAATTGAGTAAAACTTTATATACATTCATTTTGATATTTCAGATTTCAAGTGGACTCAATCTTGACACATCGATCCACAAACAGCTAATAAAAAGTCAATCATGCCAAATTAAAGCTGCAAAAAAAATGAAACAAATTTTTTGATAAGAACTTAATGGGACAAAGAACTATAGTTCAAATAGGCTAGTATGGTTCTAGGAAACTAAGAGAAGTAGAGCAGATCAAATATAAAGCTGGAACTGTGGTCATTGCAAACATCACTTTAGACAAAACATTGAGAAAAATTGATGTGCTATGTGTCAGGTCTATCTGTAACTATGATTCTATCTGTAACTATCTGTAATTATAATTTGTATGTAGACAAAATTAAAATAAAATGACATCCAAACCTTTGAAGTCTATTTCTTTGTTGCCATCAGTATCAAAGATTTCTATCACCCTTTGCACAAGTGGATTCTGCTGTAATTCAGGAAGTGACATAAACTCTTCAACAGACAGTGTCCCTGAGCCATCTAAGTCAAGCTTTCTAAACCTTTTACCTAGTCTTCTAATTTCATCAGAGTCAACTGAAAAAGTATAGTGAGTACAACTAAATTGATGTCAAAAGAAAATTCAAAGATGCTTATCATATAATGTCATGAAAGGTGATAGTGTGGCTAAAGAGCTTCCTTGTTTGTCAATACATAGAGCAATGCTCTCTCATAAATTGCTGTTGTTATACAAGATGACTGGAAGATTCCCTTAGAAAGCTTTAGCAACAGCCTAAATCCACTGTGGGTATAAAACTGGACCATTTCCTCTAGGGCCATCACTAAACACTTTCACTTAAAGGGGGGGGGGTGCAAGTCACCAATTTGCCAACAATATAGGGCATGACCTATTATCTATCTATTTTTGGGTGTGGCATTTTGATGCAGTTTATTTTATTTATCAAAGTGTATGTTCTGGTCAGTCAATCATGGCTTTGATTTTGCGTTAATTTTTGAAATTTTTGGGGAGCATTTGTCCCTCCATGACACCCATAGCACTATTTGTACCTATTTTGAATTGCTGAAGGCTTTTGGGTGATATCTTTTTGGTCTTATCTTCATCTCATCCCTGGTGTTTCTATTGTTTTGGGAACTTTGAAAGGAAAACCCGGCAAAATTCTACTTTTTGAAACTCGGCCGATAAGAATTTTCTAGGGAATATGGCCTTGATTTCTTCTTCCCTCACACGATAATTAGTATTATTTTCTCGCCACCTCCAATGTTGCAGTCGTGGTTTTCAATGGTATAGGTGATGTGACCATTAGTAGCACACATTAATTCTCCTGAATAGTTGTGATAGAAGGGTGTGCAGCACTAGACCAAACTGTCTTTAGCTCAACTTCATTAAAGGTATTTAACTATTTAACTTGTGCAGGCATGTGTATTGACCAAAAACACCTCGAGAGTAATTACACAAATCTTTACATTTGGCCTCCAGGACTATGACTTATCCATTTAAAGGAACTATCTCCCCATACACTATGACAATTAAAATCCCCATTGGTTGGACTATACAATAGATTTATCAATACATATCCAATTGACAATGTAAAGAAAAATACTCAAAGGTCCCTCAGTCAGAAAGTATCAGCACAGCCTTTTCTTAACTCTGAAAGATCAACTGATGGGACACAGTGCCTCAATCTTTTAACACAATACTTTTCAGGATTTGTTGATGTGATTTGCATTTGATTAGGCTAAAAAAGTGTATGAACAAAATTGATGAAAAACAGTGTTTGACTTACAGTGTGTGACCATGTCAGCAGGAAGGGAATATTCATTACCCTGAAATTAAATGATCACAGTCAATACAAGTTTGAGACTAAATAAATTATGAAAGCCTAAAGAACAGTCAATAATTTGGAATATTATGCTTAAGCCAACAAAAGAATGTGCATTGATAGCTGACCACATACTAGACAGCAAGATGTTAATTATTGTGCTTGTGAAACTTAAAGCTTCTATTGTTCTCCTTTTTATGATCTTCCTTTATTCTTGTCTTCTTCCCTTTTCCATTGTTCATGTAGAAAACTACACAATTGTTTGTCCCCTTGCTTTATGTGTTTATCCACAGTTTTATAATTCAGTAAGTAAACTTGCCAATATACAACAAGTACAATGCAAGTGCACTGAGCCAGTAAACTGTGTTCTTCCAAGTAAATATCATCATAGACTTGGCCATAACTTAGACCCCATTGACAGGAGACTACTGGTTCCAAAAAGATTCACATCCACTTGAGTTCAATTCCTCCTGTTCAAACGAGGTTGCTTACAAAATAGTTCACTTACACATTCTGTTCATATGAGACTCGAACTTAACACTTTTTTGAGCCAGGTACCAGTTACTGAGAACAATCGATTCTGTGAATAGGAGCAGGAGTGGACACTACTAACTAAATCTTTCAAATTTACAGACAATATTATGTCTGAGGGCAATCCACTTTTGCAAACAGCATACAAGATTCCCGAAAAACAATTTTTCCCTTGATCATGTCAGAGCCAAATCAAAGCAAATATGTCTCATAAGAAGCATAGCATGAGATCAAAATGACCACATCTATTAGTTGAGTACACCTTTTTTAAACAAGGGAGAAGATAATTGCAATTCTTTGGCTGTTCTGTTTATTGTTTCTTTTCACATAGAATATCAAATTCAAGTTTGCACAGTGTCCAAATGATATCTAGTCTGGGTCTATAAAGGTGAGCAATTCAGCAAGTTACACTTCTAGAGTAGGGAGTGCTCAAAATTTAATTTGCAAAGGTTTCACAAAATTTGCATAGAGTTAGCTGGATGATCAATTTAACTAAAAATAGTTTAGAAAAGCTTAAAATTGTACTTAATTCGATTGTTTATAGAATTATTCATATTTTCATTCAAAACTCTGTAACACTGGCAACCAATTCGAGAAACAGGGCTTGTAAAAAAAACTTTAAAAATGATAAAAATAAAATATACTAAACCAATTAAAGGAGCATCTTTGTCAAAATACCAAGAAGCTGCCGTGACAATCCATTTCATTCTTTAAGCTAAGCTACATCTATTAACTTGGTAAATGTTTTCGACACGTTGAACGTTTATTTGTAATGGATCCTTGCTGTAGCTTTATGCTATAACCACTAACCTGTTTTGGTTGAAATTTGGCAAGGTCTAAGCCAGGTATATTGCAAAACACCTTTACGCAGGATAAGGTTCAAAATTATGAATAATCCTTTAGTTATAGAATCTTCAAGATGCAGTTTGAACAAATAGAACTGCTGACGCTCAAACTTAGCATCATGCACAAGGTAGGCCCTTGGCCTGCTAAACCGTATTTTCTGTTTCCCACAGCTGTAAACTAAACACAAGGCCACAACGTCTACCGTTTCAGCAGGCGCTCTTAATTCTACCATAAACATGAGACAAAAATACTCACCATAATGGATTTTCGATGTTAAACAAAAACCGTTATCAAGTCAAAGATGTTGTGGTGTTTGATCTTGTATAATTCAACTCCAGCCGGTCAGCATCCAGTCTGCGCCCTTCTTGTTGTCTTCTCCTCAATGCTAACGTTGTAAATAATTCATGTTACGTGTCATATTACCCCAGATGGTTTCTGTGTTTGTCCTTGTATAAAAGTAGCAAAAACAATGAAAGTGTAAAATCACAAAGTATCTAACTTTGTTAAAAGACCATCCAAGAAGAATGAGATAAATAACTACCTGCAAATCATAAGGTAATCACTGGAAATGAAATCTTTGGGCTACAACTAAGAGAATCGCTATTGTAAAAGAAAATGACTTGAATGAATAGATTCTTATGATTTGCAGGTAGTTAAATATGAAAATTGAGATTTTTATGAAAATTAAATATAACGTAATGTTGACTTGCTATCCTGATTGCTGAAAAAGCTGTTTGATATTTCAGAAAAAAAGATTTCCAGGACCAGCAATTTAGTACTTGGGTACAATGACATTTAGATAACCACCAGGTTTTCTTTACTCATTTCTCTCGCGCTAACACGCGCATTTGATGCATAGGGTACATGTTAGACATAAATTGCGGAATCGCCGTATCCAGTCTCAAAAAAGTTTATTTCAACCGTAGGCGTAGGAGACATCGTCCTCAAACACTTCTCGACACGAACGATTTTGTATTTCGTCTAAATTCGATAAGAGAATATTTGGGTAGGAGTGATTTTTTTTCTGATGTGGTTCTGTGAAGTTGCCTTTACGCAACCTAACACAGTTATTTGCAACTGGTAAAATAAGCATTACCTGTTGTGAAAAGGGCGTTTTCGGACAGTAATAGGGCGTTGCCTTGCAACAAGACACATTGATATGAAGAGCGGCCCCCTTTACACAAAGATATTTCAGCACTTCACGGATATCAAAACAAATGATACCGAAAATGAGACTCTGATTTCTGTTAGTGGGAAGTGAAAAACAGTTGAGAAAATTCGAGGATACTATCCTTTTTTTATAAGAACCAGTAAATTTAAGTTCGGGCTGACTGTTCTTAATTTTTTTCGAAAATCTGAGGCTGGATTGCTCTTAATTTGTTCTTAAATCAAGAGGGTGTAAGCAGTGCTATTGCTGGCTTTTTCGCTCTAAGGAGGTGTTCAGGCCTCATTTGCCAACAAAGTGAGTGAGACAACCTTAATTTGCTGACAAATTTGAATATTCGCCAAAAAAGCACTCACGCATCGCTAAAAAGCCTCAATTTTGAGAAAAAACGTTGCTCAAAATTGCATTTTGCAAGAAGCTCAGCCTCAGCTTGTTCTTAATTTGTTCTTAACTTTTGACCAGTTTTGAGGCTCGTGTCCTTATAAAATTGTTCTTTTAAAAAAAAGAGTGTAGTTGTCAATGTTTTTGCAAGTAGATATGACTTTAATTTATAACGAAAGCAAACCAATGATACAGACTCTTTGATGTCAGTAGGAATACTATGCCTGGATTCAGCACCAGAAGAACGAACAGATCTTAAGCGGTATTGAAAAGTGTTTTTCTGAGTTAAGAAAATGTCATTCTTAGAAGCCTTTCGAGTATCATGTTGATGAATAGACTTGTTTGATTCAAAGTACGAGTGAAAACAGACAGGCGAAGTCTTATTGATAGAAGTTTTAATTGAAACTATTCTATTCAAATTTAATTGTTTTGTAAGTTTAATACTTTTAAGAGAAAATGGGAGAGTAAGGAGAACAAAAACTTTGAAAGCAATAGCTCTGATCACTCTTTTTTGCAATAAGAAATCTGGATGAATGTGAATGTCATAGGCGAAACCCCAAACTACAAGTCCATATTGGAGAAAAGAAGTGAACAAAATTTTGTGGAGACATCATAACACAGCAACAGGAACGAAGTGTCTTATCTTAAAAAAACATGCCACACAAGTTCTAGCTAACTTCTTAGCAAGTTCACTTAAATGGTATTTCCAGCTAAGATTCTCATCAAGAAGAATAAAAAGGAATATATCGTATTGAGCTTGTTTTATGAATTTTTTTCCAATCTTTATGTTTATATTGTCTGTTAAGGGATAAGCAAAGACATAAAAACAAGTTTTGGAGAATTCCAAGTCACTCGTGAGCCCCAAAACTGTTGGGGGCCAATTTAACTGTTGGGGGCCGATAAATTCTGCCATCTTCGAGAGGGGCCCGGCGGCTTTAAAAAGTGACAACAACAACAACTGCACGAATCAGTACCACTTGTTCTCGCACGAAAGTGTTCTCGCTTCTTGACCGTTTGTTACTTGTTTTATGGCAGATGAAGATGTTGAGAAGAGCAAAGAAAAAGTGCCCGCGTTTGGTGCAGCAGAAAGTCTATTTTCTTTCGAATTTGTTGTCCAGTCGGTCACAGATGTGTCGGTTGAGTGTCTTGCCCCAGCTGTTGGATTCAGACTTTTGGACTATCCAACCGTTATGATATATCATACACACCCAGAAAAGATAGAGAATTTGCGCAAATTGAGTGAAATCAGCGTTGGAAGCATAGATTCGGCGGCAGCTGGAAATAAGACTTTGTTTCCAAACTTAAGAGAAAAGGATGGAAGCTTTACTTTTAGGAAAGGGAAATCAACACTTTTCAGCATGGAGTTTGGGAAAGTCTGCGACTTGTTAATGAATGTTCCAGTTTATATTGTTCTGTTAGATGTATTTGCAGCAAAACCAAGAATGGTTGGTAGTTGCACCGTTTCTCTTCAGTCTGCAATTGAAGAAATAAAACAATCTATAAGAGCTGGTACAAACAATGCCCCAACACTCTCAAGCAAGGTATTCGCTTTCAAGATGTATAACCTTATGGGCACAGTCATTGGATGTGTTACTGGAAAATATACTCTTTATAGTTATGGTAGTTCATTATCTAAGCATGTATTGAAAAGTAATTCATCAAGACCCATTGAAATTTTTCTTGACAATAAATGGCAGGGTGATAATATTCCAAATGTTAAGCCACATATCACACCCCAAAAGTTGAAGAGCAATGAATTACTCAAGGAGATAAAGACTAGAGAGAATTCAACAGATACCAATGAACTTCAAACACACTATTCTGATTTACAAAAAAGAAAAAAGGAGAGTCACAAAGAAGCTAAGTTAAAATATATTCACAAAACAAAACCTAAAGAAATTAAGCTTCCAGACCATGACTTAGAAAAGGGTATTTTCTATCCCCCTCCCATGGTGTATTGCTCTGAATTTTCTGATGAATTACATGATATAGAAAGAACTGAGGATATAAAGTTAAGTAAAAATGTTTCAAACCCTAATTATCCAATGCAGAATAAAGCCATCCCACACTGGTTAAAAGAGACATATTCTACTTCTGAAGATCTGAAGGTAAAAGCTTTAGCTTCTCAAGTCCCTTATGAGCCAACTGAAGCCAAAGTTGGTTATGTCGAGTCTTCTTCAATCAAAAAAGAAAGTAATACAAGTTTTGTGACTTATAAAAAAGGTAATCCTGAAGGAGAAATTGCTGTTTTATTAGAGTCGTTGGAGGATATGCCGCTTCTTCAAGGTCTTTTAAAGGAAATAGTAAAATTAAGTAAGAATTCAGAGAAGAAGCTTCTTGAAAACAGTATCAAGCATAAAAATGACGCAAAAGTTGTTGATGCAGGTGATCGAAATGCCAATGAAAGTAAAGAACAAGATTTTAAGGGAAATGCAGTAAGTGGAAGCAAATCGAAAAAAAAATATCAAAACAAAGGATCTAAAAAGCTAAAATTTAGGATGACAAAAAGCCACCATCTACGTTGTGCTATGAATGTTAATAAAAACTCTGAATTGGTACCCACCAAAGATGAACATGTACAGAGCAAATCCCGAAATGCTCAAAATACTAGCAAAAGGGCAAAGAAAGGAAATAAAGATGGAGAAAAGCATTTTCACACAAAAGGTTTGGAAACTTTCTTGTTAATTTTTAGGTTATACAAGATTGCATGTCAAGACAAAGCAGGGATTTGATATTTAAAATGGCCATTGTACATAATTGATATGAATTTCCAAATTTGTTCTTATTGTAGATTTTAAAGGCAAAAGAAATGAAGAAATGGAGATTAAGAGTCTGCAAGAAATGAATTTGGAACAGACTAAGGAAACTGGTGATACTGCTGGGCATATTGATCATTTAAGTCTGAAATCAAAAAGCCCTGTCAGTCTTGAAATTCACTTGCCAAGTACTTTTGGTAAGCCAACAGTTTTGAAACAGTTCCTTTTATTGAGTCACATCTCATTGTAAACATTTACCTAAAAATTAGATCTTTCAAAATGCCTAGGTGACCTTTTGGGAATCATTGATTTTTTTACTTAAAGCTGAAATCTCTCAATTTACACATTTTTACACTACTGGGTTCTAGATTAAGAGATTATTGTATTTCTGGATGAGGTCTTTCGTTTTGCTATTAGGTAAAAACAAAACACTTGTAACACTTACTCTGTTGTAAACACAATTTTTACCATGATAACAAATAAGTACAAATATCATTTACAAACTGATGGTGTAGGAGATTAGCAGAATGAATGCACAAATCTTGATGTAAGCATGATAATTTGTAAAAACATACAATTTGACATGCTGAAAAAAATGCGATCGAGACCCAGTCTGAGAAATGCCCTTTAGATCTATTTTTAGAATGATTCATTGTTACCACACCCTTGAAATTATTATCTCTTTAGCTTTGTTGAAAATTGAGTCAATGACATGAAAATTTGTATAAATACTAATCATAACATGTTAATGTGATTTAGATTCACACCCATCGTCAGAATGCCCCAAAATGCGAAGTTGTAGGGATTAGTGTATTAGAGGTTTGGTAACGAGTACATGGACAAAAAATAGCATTTCAGGGCATCTTGATGATGGTTGTCAATCTAAGTCACATTACCGTGTTGTGATTAGCATTTACACTAATTATCATGTCATTAATTTCATTTTCAACAAAGTTATAGAGATAATCAATTTAGGAGTCTGGGAGCAATTAAGCATTCAAAAATAGCATTTAGGGAAATTGACTGGGTACCTACCCCATCTTATTCAGCATACCAAACTGTGTAGTTGGGCAGATTTTCATTTTTTATCACAATTTGCGCAACACTATGATGTCATTTTTCATCTCTAAGAATTGAAAAAAAAGTAAAAATTGATAGCGAGTTGGCATGCTAGGAAGCTCTTTGTAGAGTTTTAGTAACCTTACCCATAAAACTTTTACCTGAATTGCACTTCACTTCTTTTAGATGAGTTATATATCTACAATGATGTGAGAATACCTGCTTGAGGAGAATACCTGCTTAAGTGCTGTTGTTCAATAAGGGGGACAGCCCAAAATTCTTCTTTGATATACCTCCCATTATGATGAACAGATCTTGTGTCATTGACTAATTTGATGAATTACAATTTGATGAATATATTTATTATCAAAGGAAGACCAGTCATATCTACTCTATTGAGAAAAATAGGGACTATGGCCCACTTATCAGTTCCCTCTATTTCATCAGAGAAAGCTTCATAATTACAATTAATGCTCAAAATTTTGTCATGATGTTCACTAAGCACTTTTCCTAAATAAGCTAATGCACTGTTGTTTGTAGGGTCAGAAGACATTAATCAGTCATCAAACGGTGATGGGAATAGCTCCGTTGCAGGCAGTCCTGTTCAATCAGGCATCTACTCGCTACCTAAACTGGAAAAAAGATGGATGGGTCTTGACGATCTTTCTCAAATGAAAAAGTCTGTCGATGATATAGGTAATGAACTTGCTAAAAGTGAGTCAGGTAACTCTTTCAAATCTTTGCCAAGTCGAATAGGATCGTACAAAGAGAGAGACAGCCAGAAGTCTGCTCGGAAATCACCATCGTTGTACTCAGATGCGTTTCATTCGGCAGAGGAGTCGCCTCACTCCAAAGATGATGACGCATCTCGAAATTATAGCAGAAACCACAAAGCCTCTGATTCAAGTGCATCAAGGACACATAGAAGTATAAAAAGTGCATCTTCACCTGGCTCTGGTAGTTCTTCGAATTCCATGACATCAAGTAGGAAGCCTAGGTCTCCAAATGAGAACAGTGCTCGGCAATCTAATAGCATCGATTTATCAAAGTCAAATAAAAGCATCAACAAAAGAAACACATCGGATCTAAGCAAACCTGTTATTTCGGCTCATTCACCAACCACTTCAAGAAGCCTAAGGACCAAACATAGGCAATCATACGATCCAAATGACGAGATTACCCAAAGCGTTGACATTTCAGATGTCTCTCTTCGTACAGATGACACGGGTAGGCAGAGTCCTTTTACGACAAAAGACAGTCAAGCGGACGGTATGTCAAGGAAATCTCACTCGAGTTTCATTGAGAATAAAGATGCTGAGGAGAGATATAGTGATGATTTCTTAACGAATTCTGGATCGTCAGGCTCATTAAAATCCGTTGATGACGAGGACTACAGAACAGCAACTCCAAATCATATCATTTTGTCACAAACAAAGTTAGGGTATACCATGTAATGATAAGGGGAATTCGTCCCTTAATCATTCCACCTGTAATTTTCCACCTCTGGTTGTTTATGTGTACTATTTCTTCTCAGTAACGTTCTCTAAGTATTCAGCTCCTGGTCCCGAATTTCACTCAAGTTTGTAGGACAATCGTCTTTTTCGTTTTGAAAATTGATAATACTACTTAAAGATACAATCTAGTTTTCTGTTTGTTAGAAAATGTCACCCTGCCATGTAGCTCATCTTTATGAAAGATAGCCTTTTCCCAATAAAAATCTCATCCAAGTTAGCTTTTTTAATAAAGTTTACATCCTTGTTATGATTATTGAGACTTTGACTGAGTTTTATTGGTTAGATGCTCTTTATTATTCAGTTAAGTTGATCTTCCTCAGTTCTCATTTACGTGGCTAATAGCTTTATCTATAGAAAGCTTAGTAGTAGTAAAGTTTTAAAAAGCGAGAAAAATACCGTCTATTGCTTTACATATGCCTTTTAAGTTTGATAGAAGAAGATATTTTTATTCTTTCAATTCAAATGAGCTTGAATGACAAACAATATTGAGATTTTCTGTCTACCAACCTCAAGCGGAAAGTAAAAATTCAATGCTTAAATCCGGAGAAAATTTCAGTGATACTGCCAACGACTTGAGAAAGACTCATTTTTCATTTCATATATTTTCTCAGCAATTTTCTTGCTAAACAGTGTGAAAAGAGAAGGAATATGCTAAAATCTAGTAAATCAAGTAAATTTGCTGAAGAGAATCAATTAAACTCCTTAGAGCTTTCGAGCCATCTGCCCTCGATGACGCTGTTGCTATCTATAAAGATTAAACGTGCTTATTACTGAGTATATATACGTTATCGATCAAAGCAAAACTATATTTATGGATCATATAAAAAATCAAAAGTAGTAAATTGTTAAAAGACATAAATAATCGAAAGTGCTGGCACAAGAAAGAGTAGAAGATAGAAATGAAAGCAAAAATGTTGTGAGAGGTGTTGTCAACGGATCTTAGTTGTTGAACATTAATAGTTTTCATTTCAATTGAAAGCAAAAAATTTTGTTTGCAAATCCATATCAAGCCTAATTCTAATTTATTCTTGTATAAAGTTCTGGCTTATTGGGCAGAAGATGAACGAACAATGTTTTGTAGTATAGTTAGTACCTTTGATTGCTTTCATTACCTCTCCCAAATGATTGCACAATAACTTTATTAATTGTTGCTTAGCCACCTGTGTTCAAAAAGGGTAATAATTATTTATGAAATTGACCGATGGTTTACAAGATAAAAGACTTCTTTGTGAAGATCATCTCTAAGGAAAAATGAACATTTCCTCTTCATAGAATATAAACATTTCCGTTTGACATCACTGTGACTTTCTTTCTTTAAAATATAGAGTCGATGAGGTTATTCTGGTATGATTTCTTCTTAATATGTCGTCTAAGAAGAATTATCTTCAAAATGCCCCTTTTACTTAAGCCTGCCCCCGTTGCCCCTTGGTCGTTCCGGCATTCCTGAGTACTAAGGAGTGACCCAGGAAAGAAGAGGGAAGATACAAGTTTAAAGTCGACGCTAATAATGATTGATAATAGCCCCGTACTTTCTACTGCTTTTAGACAGAATCTTAAGTCCACTTGCAAGAGTCAACAGTGATGTTACATAAAACATGTTTTAGGCCACCGTGCTTTACAATGTCTGTTGATATCACGTTGCTTTCAAAGTTGGATTTGCATCTGGTGACTTGCATCTGTGGAATTCAATATTTTTATTAAAATGCTCGGAGCACCTGCAACTAATTTCAACAGTTGGTCAAAGATTTTGCTCTAGTTACATACAAAAATGTTGCTATATTTTTCAATATTCCATGGTTTTAGTGTTGCAGGTGAAAACTTGATTGGGCGGCATCGTTAATAACATGAGGAGGTAGTTTTAATTAATTTTGAATTATTCTAGCTATAAGGCTTCTAAAAATGGGTTTATAAGTAGATTTTGAACAATCTCTTTCGGTATTGACCTTTTGCGGTGCATTTGGTCTTTTCAGCTGGCAACAGAAACTGAGTGATCCTATTTGATGTCTGGCCTATTGCTTACAAAATTATACACATAATATCTATCCTATCGCTATCCAATCTTTGGAAATAACATTCCTTGAACTTGATTTTTGCTATGATTCGAGCAATAGGGCTTCCAGCATAATTTAGGTTAAGCCTTTAAAGCATTTCAGGGTCCTCTCAACAGGGTGACAAATTCTATTTAATCCTAATAAGATTTCAGTGTCACAAACACTCCCTAACACAATGCAGGAGTTTCAACTTGCTCCAAATTGCTAGTTTTTCTATACAATTGTCTTAGATCATACTATTGGTAATGATAAACAAACTCACAAAAATCATCATCTATATTGTTTTGTCCACTATTTGAATAGAATTTTTTGATAGATTTGAAGAACAACTAGATCTTAGCTTAATACAGTACCTAAAATTTTGCACTCCAATCTGAAAAGGCTCTAATTTATTGTCGGTAGGATGGAGAATGAAGCTTTTTCAGATTCTTAAGGTGGCTTATTTCATTCAAGGATTAAGAGACTATTTAGTTCATTCAGAGTCTTGCTAAAAAAAATCAAGATGCTATATACTCTCGGAACAGTGGCGTCACAGCCTTATCATACGTCCCCCCTCCCCCCCTGCAAAAAATATCCTGCGCAGGCAAAAAAATCTATAAAAAGCCCGTGACTCGTATCAGCACCTTCAAAAATTTAAGAAAATCCATGTAGGCATAATTCTATCTTGATAATGTTTCTAAATAAATAGTATAAGAGTGAGATTGAGAGAATGTAACGTGCAATCTTGAAACCAAGATTTTTAGGCTTAGTTAATCTTATTATATAAATTATTGGTTGCAACACTCTTTATTTTCGTTCGGCTACAACTTGTTTTGCCTTTCATAGCCTTCATAGCGGAGCAACACCGAATTTTGAAAGCACTCAAGATCTTTGCGTTTTTTGAAGAAACGGGCTTTTTGGGTAGTTGATAAATATCTTTTAATCCCTTTAAGCCTTCTCACTGATTTTGAAAGTTTTTTGTCATATATCTTAAATTTCTATTAAATGCTTATAATCCCTTTTGAATCCTTTTTGTAAATTGTTTGCGATTTTTCCAGTATCGATGCACGAAACGTTTATACGTTCTTCTCACATCAAATATATCTCATAGTCTATAGAATGGGCCTGTCTAGAACAAAATAGACGCGACTTACATTGAAAATAGGGTACTTTTGTCACTCTAAAACTATAACGGAAGGCTGAAGTTAATAATCTAAATTCCTTCAATACACGCGTTTTTTATAAGAAACAAAGGTCGATATTGAGTACTCCAGTTTCTAAATGTTCTGGAAATTTCAATACTCATTGTTTCTTAAGAGTTTCTTAATTATGATGTCATGAATATTATATTTGGGGCTCCTTATATTTAATTTTTCATTGTAGGAAGAAATTTTAGTTAATGTTAGGAACTATTACAGAAGATGTTCCTACTGTTATGAAATTGTGCTATGTTATGATATGTTCGTGACCTTTTAATCACCTCAAGAGATTCTCTTCCGTTCTGATGCTGTATTTAGAAGTGGGAAGTACATTTTTATCGCTTGTGTCTTAAGTTCTAAGCCAACAAGGCAATTATGTTCTTGGATTTTACAAATCTTCGTTGTCCTCAGTTTTACCACGATTTAATAGTTTCTTAATCTTTTTGCTTCGAGTACTGAAGTTTTTTAAATTTTTCCGACTGTCCAGTACTTGTTTCTTATGGCCAGTTTCTTATAAAGAAATGAGTGTAGTTTCTTCAGATAGACAATAATTTAAAGCCCTCCTTTGATTGGATCATATAAAAGGGATCCCTCATAGGCTAACTACAATTGGTATGGGGGTAGACCACTGATCTCTATAAAAGTCTTTCATAGAGATCAGTGGGGTCGACACGGACACAAACAGTAACAAGGCAACTGTATGACGTCACAGAATATGACGATATTTCGATCATTTCGATCCGTGATTTAATGCTGTTGCTGCTGTCAGGTTGTTATCGTTGCTGTTGTTGTCTAACGAAGTAGCAAGTGTATTGTAGGTTGTAGGGGTTCTGCCGTGGGTTCTAAACCACCCTGTGATGTCATACTGCTTTGGTTGTGGCTCTAAGTTTGGCCTTTTTAAGAAAGAGGTATGAACTATCTCTGTCTGTAATTGTAGATTTAGCTGTTTCATTTAAAGTACCACCACCTTCTCGACTCTTCCCTGTATTCCACCATATCTTTTTGAATCCATTTCCTCAACTTTTTAGCTTGAAAAAGATTGAAATACAGAAGTATTATAACTGAATAAGACATCAAAACTTATTCTGTAGACAGGTTCCCAAAAGGAAGTATGTTTTTGCAGCCTTGGTATACTAGACACCAAAGAGTTCAGAGAGTGCTTATGAATATAGTCACTCTGTCATTTGTTTTGTTATTTTGTCTTTTGTACTCAATACTACAAGGTATATGCTTTGCTTCAGCTGCAAGGATGGAATTTGGGAGGGCTAACCCCTCTCTCTCCAATGAAAGATAAAATATCATTTTATAAGCCTGGGATTAAAACGTTATTTTAGCCCCATTCCCCCATATTGAAGACCAACCCACTCCCTAGGAAATTCTTTGGAGCTACCACTTTTCAACTGCAGCTTAATATTCTAATCAAATTGTGATTATGTTAGTAAATTTGCCTGTCTATTTACTGCTAGCATTCATGCAAAAAATGTGGAAGACTCCATTGCAATAAATGCTTAACAAACAAATTGGTATTACCCTCCTCAAAAGCTGAACAAGAAGTGTGCAGAAGATGCTTTGATTCAGTCAGAAAAGATGTATCAGCCAAGAGCTTTAATGACAGCCAAGGCAAAGGAAGGTTTGAATGTGTAATATTATCTGACAATAGTGCCATTCCATATGAAGACATCACATCTGCATGCAATATTGTATTATGATACCTATTAGACGTATATGGATTTGTCGGCACAAGTTTAATGTGCTAGTGACTATCTAAAAAATTAATGACTTACTTTTGGGGACTTTTAAGGCTAGAAAACAGAAGAAACTGACAGAAACATAACATTCCAGTATGCTTCTTATGTTTTTTACATTATGATTGGGCTGTTTGCAGATTCATTTGCTGAGAAGAATTCAAATGTGCTCTAAAGTTATACATTACAATTATTGATACTCCAGCCAAATAATTAAATGGTTGCTATTTTACTTAAAGGGGGCTGTGAATCTAACAGAATGGAATAAAACTATGTAAGGCCAAATTTTTAAAAGAACACCCAGATCTGGAGTTAGACTAGAATGGTAGGTTTTTTCAAATGTAGCAACAAATTGTAGCAATTGTAGCAAGCAATTGTAGAACTGAAAATTGTAGCCAAAAAGCCTTATGTCTTCATCATATAGAGAGGTACAGGAACCACCTCCCCCTTACCCTGGAGGAGGGGCCACTGCAAGGAAGAATTGGGGCCAACCTGAAATCAGCCAAAGCAGGAATGACCCAGATTTTGAAATCCAGCAAAGGCTTGACAAACTAAAGGAGAAAGAGCAAGAAGGTATGAAATGATTTTATTTAAGCTTTAATTTATCATATAATTTCTGTTAAAACATATTGTCAATGCAAGTGCATTTGAACTGTAAGAAAAAGTCCATGATTGATTGTTGGATGAATGTTTATATATTTTAATGTTATCAGGCCTTGCACTAGGCAAAATGAAGGTGCTCCATAAAACAATTTTCTAAGAATCTCAAGATGCTCTATTTTACACTTCTTTGTAAAATTGCCATGTGTCAAATGTTTTGCCTCCAAACAAAAACAATGCACATTGAAATATAATTGTGTTATTAAATAATATTACTTTCAAATCTTTTTTATACATGTATATTTTCTATGCATGGAAAATAATGTTTTGATTAAAAAAGGTTTTATTTTAGACATGGTCTTAAAAAGAACCAGATAAAAGGTCTAGTAATCTAAAGATTAGTGGTATAAACTCTTGTATAAATCTAAAAAAAAGATATTTTGGTCAATTGAGAAGATTTGTTTGATTTTAATAAACATTAGTTTATTAAAATTTCACTGTGGAGCAATATCGTTTTACAATTTCAGGCACTTGTTAAATTGCTCTCCATGGCTACTTTAGGTGCACTTTGTGCACTCGCGCTCAATCCAGCGCCTTTCTGGGAAAAGCCTGATTTGATAGTAATTTGAGGTATTTTTTACGATGCATTTAGTTTTTGAATTTTAGTTGTTTGAAACCCAGCATTTCGTTTGCTGTGTTTTATTTATGGGGCATATTTTATGAGAAACTTATTTCAAAGTAAAGTATTTTCCCTTAAGGTCAACTTGAAAACGACATAATTTTCTCAATGAAGTAAACTGAAAAATCACAAAAAGGCTATTTTCCTGTGGGGGCTTTCTTGAAATGATGCCCATGGGAGATATTATTGTGCAATTATGCCCATGGGAGCTTATTCAAGGGGGGAACTTATTTGCCAAAATAATTTTAGGTGGGGGCTTATTAGAGCATGGGGGCTTATTCAAGGCTTTTCCCTTGTTCATGGGGCATGCAATGCATAATGGGAATTGTAGTCAAAGTGGCTATCCTGCTCTCTTGTTTTCTTCCTTGATTGCATGCTTTGCTGTTGAATATGGGTCTTGCCATCTCTGTATACAACCCGGTTTGCTTTAGATAGAGAAATGTTCAGATTCTGCTTTAAAGTCATCAGTAAAACCATCTTGCACAGTCTTTTGAACTTTGCTAAGGCCCATACCGTATTTGTAATTCCTTAAAGCAAGCCTATAGACTCCACCTTTCAGGAAAAATAGAATTGTCCACATTTGAACTACAGTATCCGTGTTTCACTTTCCAAAGCATTTTTGCTAGAGCTCCCTCAATTCATTGTACGCCGCGTGAATAACCTAAGTTACCTAAAAATGAAAATCATATCTTGGCAAATACTGTGCCATTTTAACAAGGAGCTGTCACGGACATAAAATCGTTTGAATTTTATCATTCAAAATATATTTTTCTTTGCAGTCAAAAAATCGCCATCTCTTTGCTTTTGGGGAAAACGTCAAGCTAGAATGAATCAAAACTTCAGAAGCATTTTTTGAACAAAATCAAACCATGCTCTTGAGCGTTATTATTGAAAAGTTTGTGAGAACGACAGTGCCAGCTGTTGTCTCTTACAAGCTATGCATAATTCATATGAATTTTTGTTTTAGGCCTTAATTTGATCGAACATATTTGTCGAGGTTTAAAGAAATTTCGAAACCTTCCTTTCTGTTTCTTAGCACTGTATATTTTTAGATTTTCTGTAGAAATACTTTGCCATCAAACCTTTGCTACTTTCCAATGCGTTGCTTCTTTGCACAGTTAGAAATCATAGCAAAATGAAAACAAATATCACTACTGAGTTTAGGATTTCCGATTGCAGTAGCTATAGATAATATTGTTTTAACTACAGTCGTAGTAAAGTTAGTAAAGTCGGCATGCATCAGCTTTCGCTTGGCTTGTCATGGTTATTACTGTTGTACTCAGCTTAAAAATGTGCTTGTTCAGATTTCTGTATAAAGAATCACGAAACTTGTCCATTCTTTGGGGCATGCTACTTAAGAAATGCTTTTTTTGATCGACCGGGATGTTGTAAGATTTTGCTTATATTGCATCTTCAGCTTATCGAAAGAACTGAGGTGAACTGAGCGAGGTAGCGTATCGTGAATCTACTCTTTTCAAGATGAATCCAATTTTCTCTCAGACACATGGACAAATTCAGACTTCAAACGTTAGCATCTTATCAGATGATAGAATTATCGACTAGGTAAAATGCTTATATCAATTGAAAAAAAGTCGGAAAAGAAAAAGTCAAAACGAAAGAATCAAATTCATTCTGACGAATTATAAACTTATTGGACATTGAGGTAATTGAATATTTTGGTCTCCTTCCTAGGATAGTCCAAAAATGTAATAAAAGGGTATGCGCGTCCAAATGTTGATATGAAGTTAAGGTCGGACCGCGCTGCATTATTTTCAATGAGATACGCCTCGGGGGGTAAACTAAGCCATATTTTGGACGGGGACGTGCCATGTGATCCATATTTCTATACCCATAATTCCGCAAAGCAAATCAAAATTTTAAGGCACATAAAAATTCATCAAACAAATTTTGCATGTCCTTTGACCCAAAATCTCGATATTACACACATTCCATACTTTTATTTCTAACTGGACATTTATTTTGTTTATGCTAAATCTCCCTCCTTATAATTTTGCAATATTTTATCAAAATGGTAGCCATAATTCTGCATGTTTCTTCAAATGGTACCCATAGGTCCGCAAATATTTCAAAAACTAAAACCTGTAATTCCGCATTTTTAAGAAAAAAGGTACCCCTAAATAATGGCATGTCCCCGTACCTTCAAACATGTTAAGGTGCCCCCCCCCCCGGAGAGATATGCTCGAGCTGTTTTGTATTTTATATGTTTCGTGTAACGCTCGTGGTGTACTTCTTTTTATACTCATGTCAAGAGAGCAAGAAACTTCCAACTTGCAGGAAAAGCGTTTCCAAACATTATTTCAAACAGCTTCTGGTCGCATAGACTATCTGGCACTGAAAGAAGTTGATGCTTTTCCTGGCAGTGTCTCAACGGTGAATTCGGGACAATTTATGAAATATCACTATTTCACCTTTTGATCAGTTTAAAATCCATAGTATTTTTGAGCTATTGTCAGGGCCATCGCAAGGCAGGCCTTGTTGGGGGGAGGGGGGATGTGGACTATTGATTTACCTAATTAAAAGATAATTTATCTGAAGTTCTTTAGTTGCTGCAGAAACTTCTGCAATATATTTTGTTAATCCAACTCTGTAACATGTAATTCGTAACTTCTATCTTACATACCTTCCAGTCCTATTGATCAGTAAATCGGGAGAAGCACATGATATAGTTACTGCCCGTGTCTTGCTGTCGATAGAAACAAAATTTTTCAAGTTTTGATGCTCCCAGTTGCTGCAAAATGCATTCTTTGAAGCAAGATTTCACTAATGCAAATCTTCTCTTAAATATCCACTGGCGGAACGCTTTTTGATGGTTTTAATCGATTCTTCTGGTGTCGTTGCTATACATTTTATCTTATGAAACATAGTTGGGTGGGCTTCCTTCAGTTTGGAACACAATCTCTGTGACATCCCTCTGCCTTCTAGTTGCGACGCCCCTGGCTGTTATAAATTGAATTTCAGCTGTTTATATATCAGGATCCTAATATTAAGACAAGATGAATCCCAAGGACGGATTTAAGCAACAATTATTGGAGGGCTGTTAGAAACTAATAGGATTTTGATGCCACACCTTTCAGATCATTGGAAAATGATGGAAACGCCCATTTTCAAAGTTCGGTTTTTAACTTTAAGGTAGAGAAGATAAGAAGATAAATGAAATGAAATATGAAATATTGGCGTTATTTTGTTACTATTGACTACCAAAAATGATTTTTACCGAATGAAAGCAAAATTTGCCGAAGGATACGTAAATATTGGGGAAGGGGTTCTGCACACTCTACATCCCCACTAAGTCCGTCCCTGATCCCCAGTAGAGTTTTTGCAGAAAATACAGCTAGAGTGAACTTGGATTAATTTGTTGCTTTAGAATATTTCAACTCTATATAGAACAAGAGAAAAGACTTCAAATATCAGGGTCAGTTTGGTGATGAATAAGGAAACAGCCCCCTGCAATGTTATTTCCTAGTCACTATAGAAAACACAATTTCTGTCTTCTTATGTCCGATTGACTTATTTTGAAGACAAACATTTTGGTAGGGCTATTCCTGCTCTTCTATTGGCTTTAAAATTATTATTGTTGTCTAAGTAGATGTATGAACAGCGAGGAGAACAAGATCTAATATCAAGTCTGAAGACTACACGTATGTTTTTATAAGAAAGCAAACAAGGGCCTATATTAATAACGACCCTGACTGAATTTCAAATGCAAATTACCCAATAATGATTTACCTCTTGTAGCATAATATGGATGGTGTCTTTTGGGTACGAATAATTTGCTTCACCATGTAATGATTGTGACAAGGTATGAAAGTGATGTAGTGATAAGAAAGAAGAATCCCAAAATGCAAAGTTTTTAGATTTGTAACAGTGTAAAAGTAAAATTTGTTAAACGTCCAAAGCCGTTGCTAGTTAGTCTCTTATAAACGGGTTTCACATAAAAAATGCGTTTTTTGTTTGAAATTAGAATTGTTCTTTGTGAAAACTGTGCTCTATATTCTGAAATCTTTGTAAAGTTCTTTTGTTTTTGCACCCATTCGCCTTTTTGAGGTCTATCAAAAACCAGTGTTTTGACCAGGTTACTTGTCAGTTTTTGATCCACTGAAAATGATTTCATCGCATAAAGCCTGTAGCATAGTGCAGATTTTCATCGACTATAGTGTTTTTGACTCTCTGTATGGAAAACAGCAAATTTATAGCACTCAGAATGAATTAGTTTATAGGGATTCTGGTTATTCAAGATTTTTTTAAAAAATGATTAACCTCGCAAGGAAAGAAAATTTTTCTGTTAACCTTCTTTCAAAGAAAAACCTTTTTTGGATCCATGTAAGCATGCAACAAGGTGCGTTTTGGATCCATGTAAGCATGCAACAATTTTAGTTCAAGAGCTTGACACAGCAGAAAACACAAGGTCGCTCCGCTATATTTCTAGCAGAAGAGTTTCTTCTTGGTACATGTGTCACCTCAGCAGGTTGTTATCCTCTAATGGCTATACGCTAATTTTTAAGCTACTGTCTTTATTTTTGTAATGATCCTGGATGATTTTTGTCGTTGGAACCGGTATTGATGATAATTCTTGATTTTCAGCAACGAAGAAGATCAAGCATGTTTTAGCTAAGAATCTGTCGGTTGTGACAAGATTTTTAAGCAATTTACGTCGCACAAAGCGCAGTTTTTCAACTCAGTAATAGATATCGCAGGCTTCACCTTTGAAAATTTGTGGTGGGTTTTAGGTGTACCATATCAATCTCTTCATCACACTCACGTTACAAAAAGGCTGTTTCTTTGGATATGTTTTGAGAATTCGTCAGTTTCAATATCAGGGATTTCGGGTTCTCGTAAAAATTGAGTGCATAAACTATGCTTTGCTCTTTAGAGCTTCAAGAAACCATCTTGCGGCTGGTAAAAGTGCTCTTGTAACGTTTGTCGATAATCTGCTGGCCCCTGTCGGGATGCAGGATGTCTCCTAAGCGAATTTTCCATTTTCAACAGGTTGTATTAACGGACAAAACAAAATTTACTTTTAAACATAACATAACGTATCAGTGTCTCTTTTGTCAAGAATTTCTCTTAGAGAAATTATCCAATTTACATAAGAAATGTAGGGAATTACTTTGCATGAGCTAGCAAAATTCTTCATCGATCGATTTTATATCTTTTAATCCATTTTGCTGAAAGTTTAAGTCCTTGAGTATAAACTGACCTTGGTTTTTCTTTCGTATTCGTATTTTCTTAGCATTACCAGAGCTAACACGATATCAAAATGTCAGGTCATTATTCTTCTGTTTTTTAGATATTGTTCAGGTATCAATAAAATGAACTATGGTAGTGGTCTTTTGATATTACAAATAAAGCTCACATTATATAACTAAAGATGCAATCTACACTTTTTTGTGCCAATTTTGTGCGCCAAATACAAGGTGACGATTTAACAACATTGCAAGTTAACACTACATGACGACAAAAATAATCAACAATATGAGTAAAGAAGTCAGTAAAGGTGAACGGTTTTCTTACAGACATTTTATCGAAAGAATTTTCACCCCGCTTTGTTTGCCCCTGTGAGCTGAGCCCCGCTTTGTATTTCTAAACCTTGCTGAAAAGTAAGTGGTTAGGCCAAAGAGCAATGTATGCAAATTACTGTATTGCAAAATGTTCAATTTCAGATTGCCATTTAAAATTTGAATTTATTTTTCGTTCCAGAACATGTCAGCTCAGAGGGAAGCGTCAATGAGAAATTTGCCTCTCTAACTGGGCGGCATCCGACATCAGCCAAGAGCAGTGACGTAAGATGTGGAGGTTTTATTTAGTTCCCGATCTTTTTGTGACTCTGGAAAAATTGAATTGAGTTCTACTTCTCGTCAAGACAATACTTTCGTCGCAACAATACGTTTTTCCCTACCATGCAAGTGTCAACAAAAAATTTTGTAACGATCGTCTTAACAGTCATCTTGTATTAGCCAAGAGGCCCTTTGAATAGTATCATTGAGAAGTTATAACTGCTTTTGATTCATTACACCTTCTGAAAAGAAATCTTCTCCTAAAATAGATTCTTACACCACGACCAAAGCTGACGGAGGAAGAAGAGGTCAAGAGGCTGATGGAAGGTGCAATGGCAGAGGCAAATCTAGAAGATTCACAACCTAAGGATGTAGCTGGAGAGACGGATATCAAAGGCTTAGAGAACAGGCTGTTGAAACTGAAGGGAATTGACCCAGGTAGCTCACGTGCTCTTCCGTTAGACTAATGGCGCTATCCTTTCCTTAACCCATCCCTAGAAAGTTTTTGTTTTTTAGTATTTCTGACAAGTATTTTAAGACCCTGTTAGACGGTCAGATTATTCATGAGACAATCATCAGATATTGTTGAATTAAACATATTTTTCATTCTCGTGACTTTCTGAAGTAAAGGACGCAATAATTGCGCAGAAAAACTCTACCAAACAGTATCGGTATCCGATAGTTATCTGAAAAGAAATTCAGACCCTATTACAGGGCCTCTAGTCTTCTTGTAAAGTAATTGTTTGCAATGCAGATAGACTGTCTCTCCATACCTTGTGGGGGTGTTTGCAGTGGGAAGATTTGGATCTAGATAAAGTGTTTCAGCTTTTGTACGCGGGCTTCAACTCAAAGGTTGCTTATTTAGGCAGTATCAAGCAACGAGTAAACAATCTTGCAACATTACGTTTTGTATTCTGAAAATGTTTGTACATTTTTCTCAAGAATCTGTGAAGAAATCGCAAACTGAAGACGACAGTTCAGAAGATGAAGTAGAAGCTACTGCGAAAGTTATTCAAAAGGTTCATCTTCTTTTATTGCTACCAATTTATCGTAAGTTCTTGCTATTCGCCATAGAAAATTTCGATAGATAAGAACCCAGATAAGCTACCAGTAACTGAAAACGCCTCTTTTTTGGAATTGCAGCTAAGTCGCCGCCCAATAATCAGTCAAGGAAGCATAATCAGTCACCGAGATACTAGGAGAAAAGCGAATGATATTTCAAAGTTGAGATTATTAATTAACTAATCAGTTAACTAATTAATGGCTTTGAGAACTTCAGGTAATCAAGAACAAGAAGAAAAAGCCCTGTCGATGTCATTACGCTTTGCTTTCCAGTTAATTAAGACAAATGAATTGAGTTTCTGTGAGGCAACCAAAGTGTATTCGCAAATCTGTTGCCAGACATTGGCCAGTATGCATCTATGTTAACTCAGCGCAATGTAATCTTGTGGCATCGAGCCAGCACGCTCTGATTAAGACTACGAGGAACATTTTTCACCAAAATATCAATTGTTCCTTCCACTATTTAAAAACCTCCATTAATTTGCTAAGCCACTCACAGTATGTTTATCATTAAACCATTAGATACTTTATCATTAAACCACGGTATAACAGCTTAGGTTATTAAAAGTACCAACTTTTTGGCCTAAATCAGAATCCACTTACATTTGTATAATTGCCTATTTGCGCATAACTTTAGCATTCTCTCCGACAGGCTCTCGCTGAAGCAAGAATTGATGAAAAAGTACACGCAGATGGCTATGGTAAAACTTTGGTTGAATGTTATATTCTTCGTAAAAAAAAAATTGGCTGCAAATTTATGGCGGCAATTTGAAACCACTGGAAACCTGCGCTGTTAATTTTCTTTAATGTTTCAAACCTCTCTTTGTTATTTCTCTTTGTTATTTTTCGATTTTAGAAAGAAGTAATATGACCCACCAGACGTTTTTGCCATGTGTTGACATGCTTAAGTCATTCTTTCCAAATAATACTATATCCACGTTAGATGGCATTTCTTAAACTTGCTTCTGATTTGTATGCAGGCAAGCTAGTTGCTGGGAATGAGAATTCAACTGAAAACGATTTGGTAAGATGAAGAGTTTTTCCTCGGTTTTCTTCGGTTTTATCTCGTTGTACGCATCTGTGGCTTCTTTTGCACTCAACTTTGTTATCAATGTGCAAAAAGTCTTTTCTTTTTCCCTCTCTTCATCCAATTCTTATTTCTATCCACTTCTTGTTTTTTAGGTCTTTTATGCTAACATACCACAAAACAAACAGAAAGCAAATTCCTATGCAAGATCCCCTACAACCCTTAAGCGTCCCATGCAGATCAGAAAGTTGAGTGAAGTTTAGTGAAAAATTTGGATGTTTTGCCATCCTCGCTAAACTTCGCTCAACTTCACAAAACAGAAGTTGAGTAAAATGTTTTGTGAAATGTTTAGTCGTTTTACCAGGGCTTAAAATGTTTTTTTGCGTTGAAAAATCTTTTTGATGCAAAACTTTTATCTGAGATGCAAAGATTGATGAAATCACCTAGTGCTGCGCGCTTCTGACTTTCCTTTTAAATTGTAAATAATTCATTGAAAGAAAGGAAATGTTTCACTACAGTTCCCTCTTAAGAGTTAGAGTGTTCTGAGGGTTTGCACCGCCGCTTTTCCTCTGCTTCTCAGCATGACTCTAGAAATATGCCGAAAAAATGGTCCAGTGATGGGTCGGCATCTGTCTGTCCATGTTTCTAGGATCAAAGCTCTCACGTTTTTGAAATTTTCTTGTAAACATCAACAAGCTGTCTACACAAAATAGAAAAGACACTGCTATCGTAGCCATATAACGAGTCCTTCCTCACTTGTTTATATTTTTCTGGCTAATCTTGATAGAATTCATCACTTAATATTTTCTTTTTTTCCTTTCAATTGCGAAGTTTTTTTTGTAACAGAGCTTTTATTTTAAATGAACTTTGCATGCGTGATCTGTGCGGTGCCATTCAACAATCAACTGTGCCATTCCTTGATCCAAACGAAAAGAACAGAAAAAATCATAAATAAAAAATCTTATCATAAATCATAAGTCTTTCCTTAGAAACAGATACTGCTTATTCCAGTTGGTTTCAAATGCCTTGTGGAAGATTTTTTTATTTAATGCCAGGTATTTACAATATTAAGACGGTTTGTTAGGCTTTCATACAGCGTAGGAAGTGTTTTGCCCTCTGTTTTGCCACACATGGTAGGTGAGAGTAGTACTTTTATGTTCTGTAACTAGTAAAAGACCCCTGATCGGGTTTTTGTATGTTCCCCCTAACAGCAACTCCCTGCGGTGCCATGCCATGCAGTTTCCTGGAAACCTTCTTCAAAACACACAAATCCGGAAGAAGATGAAGATCAAGAGCTACCGTGGTGTTGCATTTGTAACGAAGACGCGTCACTTCGTTGTCATGGTTGTGATGATGACCTTTACTGCAAACGCTGCTATAGGTTTGTTAAACTTTTATTTGTAATGTTCAACTTTCAAATTTAACAATATCCTGCTTCTGTGATATTATGCTTTCTAATGTCACGCAACCTAAACTGTACTAAATTTATAAATACAGCAGCAAACCATTACACTGACGCTCTCGTGAAAAGTAAATACAGTGCAATGAGAGTTTTTTTAATCTAAGGCTATGTTCCTCTATGTTCACATTGCTCCGTATTCGTTTTTGTTCGTTTTCATATCGATCCATTTTACCTGTTCACACTGCTCCGGATACATTTAATAACGGTTGTTCAAATTGGCATTGTCTAAGCATCTTGCTGTGCTGTTGTTGTTGTTATCGTTTTCAAAGTATCCGTTTTCGATGTACACACTGCGTTTTGCGTTTTCGAAAGTCTCCGTTTCAAAAGTCTCCGCTTTCAAAGTGCGTTTTCAAAAGACTTCGTTTTCGCAGCGAAGCAGTGTAAACGCAAGGTTAAAACGGATACATTTTTATCCGTTTTCATCGGAATCCAGGTTCTGACATAAAACTCATTATCTTTGTCAAAGTGGAAAATCGAGAAATCTTTTTCAAGTTTGACAAAAGTAATCTAATTTCCGCTTGGAAATTCGAGCGCGCTGCAGTTCATGTGTGAAGTGGTTATTTGCCGTTAGGCTAATGCAATGTTGTTTAAAACAAAGAACGATTTGACTTTGGGTATTGTGCGGCACCAGAAAAATGCATTAATTGCTAATCATTTCCGGTTTCCAGAGCTCGTCCTGCTCTGGAGCAGGACGATGGAACCTTTGAGGGATTAGTGGATTTGGTTTAGTGGCAATTTGGGTGGCCGCACTGGAAAATCAGCATTTGTTTACTAACAAGCTTAATCCCTTTCTCTATGAAGAATAGAGTTTTAGTGTGTCAGAAGTTCTTCCTGAAATCTTGTTCGGTGCGTCTAGGGCCTAAGAAGGACTAAGAATTAGAAGGTTCAAAGAGCCATCGTTTTGTAAGGGTCACTCCAAAATTATTGAGATATTCAAAAACCCCAAGTGGCATCATGTTCCAATTTTCACAGTTTCTTTAAATTCTCTCCACTGGCTTCTACACAAAATCTCATACAATATTAAAAGCCACATATCAAAACAGTGGGCCCATTGTTCCGCAGCCAGGTCCGAAACAGCCCCGTTGAAGGCACAAATTACATCATCAGCACTGTCAAACTTGGTTCTGCGAATTTTTTCTTTCATCGTTAGAAAGAGAAAGAAGTCACAAGGTGCCAAATCAGGTGAATATAGCGGGTGGGTCATGAACTGAATTGAATTTTTATTTCGCCAAACTTCTAGAACCTGTGGTATGCAGTGGTTAACATACCAATCCGCGTTCACTGTACAATGGTCTTTAAGTTGAGTGGTTGCGACATGACCTCTCTTTGAGAAAAATGACGCAAACATCTTTTTGCCGACGTTTCTGGATCGCCGAAACTTTTGCGGCGGTTTTTCACCTGAAAGGATCCAGATTGAGCATTGGCGCTTTGTCTCCAAGTCAAATTGGTAAATCCAACTTTTATCGCCTGGCATAATGTCATAGTTTCGAGTTCTCTTTACACCCGTTTCGAGTTCTCTTTATTAAACTTTTGCAGTATAAACTGGCACCAATTGACGCGCTGCCCTTTTTGCTCATCTGACAAGCAATGTTGCACTCAGCGGGCAGCCATTTTCCGAACTTGCAGGTTTTCATGCAAAATTGTGTGCAATGCTGCTGATCCAATCTTTACGCTATCCTGCATCATATAATAAGTCATCCGACCATCTTGCCTTAACATCTTCTCCACAGCGGCAACTGTTTCTGGCACAACAGCGGTTGGGGGCCTCGCTGGGTGGGTCTCATCTTTGAGGCTCTCCCCCTCTCTTAAATTCGGCAAACCATCGAAAAACTGTCGCCCTTGAAGGCACATTATCTCCAAATGTCTGCAGAAGTTGAGCTAGGCACTCTTCTTGTTTCAGCCCCCTTTTAAAATCATAATAAATCATCGCGCGAAAATCGCGTTTTTCAAGCTACATTTTTAACAAATAAGAACATAACAAATAAATCCTTTTCTAATTTTTTCCCGCTCTTGAAATTAACAAAATTACAAAACATGGGTGAAATAGATGGTACAAGCTGTCAAAAAAATTTCAAACGCATATCTCAAGCGGTTACTGAATAGTATTACCGACTTCTCCACGACTTTCTTGGGAATGAATGCGTCAAACCTAGCTGAAAGCCAGCTTTCTGCTGCAACCCTCTTCGGTCAGAAATGCGTAAGTATTCCCGCTAACAAAACTGCCTCTATGCTTTTAGGCCTGTATAAGTTCAACACACTTTACTTCATGTTTGAGGATCCGTTGGTTGGCAATATCACATTAGTAGTTCAACTCAACATAAAAGAAAGCAATCGCGAAATATATCAAATCTAAAGTATTTGCTGATATCTTCTACGTCGCACAGTATGTAAAAATATGGGACACAAACAAAGCAAAAGTTTAAATCGAATCTTCTCCTCATCACCATCCACTCTGTCACCAAATGCAGCGTTCTTAGGGTCCTTTTGAAAGCACAGGCAGATAGACACGAGCTTTGGCAGTTTTTAGAACTCAAGGCTGATTCGGCTAATCCAATTTACAACTAACGTAAAGAATGCGAGATTGCCGAACCTAACACCAAAAACTAATAAAAACATTTCTGGTTTCAAATGTATTAACTGGCAATATTTATTACACTCGGTTAGACTTTTATGTTCTTACCAATGTGCAATAAGGTCAACCGAACTTAATGAAACTCTGCCATTTTCAACTCAATACAGGGTGAAACGTCTACGTAAATATCCTCTGAACTGGAAAATTTGATTTGCTAAAAATCGCGTTAACCATTAAACACAGGAAGCACGCTTTGATATTTTCTGTTTTAAATGGCCGATGAGCACGCAACTTAAAGAAATCGATGTATCACGCAAAACGAGAGTATTTTGTGTACCAAATTTGTTCCTATATAAAACTTTTGGTAAACACGCCGTTATTATCAACACTTGATTTTCATTTTGGCTAACAAGAGGTTTTTTAGCTGAACTACTTTCAATGTAGATTTACCCAAGAAAGAGCTAGTTCATGCATTCATCGAGTTGATTTTCTTCTTAACTCGAAGGCCAAGCTTGTGTTCTACCAGCTCCATTGGGTTCCTCTGTATCTTAATGCCAAACACTGGTTAGCTTGTGTAACCCGCCCAATCCTTGTCCTTTGCGGTCCTTCGTTTTCACTTGTTCCTTCTCCGCTTTTGCCTTGTTAATAACTCGGGTGTTTTGAAGTCACTTTCTTTCAGTAGATAGAAAAGCAGCCGAATTATCTTTACAGCTCATTGCGGCTACAATTTAAGATAAATCGTTTTTCGGATTCTATTTGATTTGTTTCAATTATGAGAAATAGTTGGATACAGTTTTTCGGCACTCTTCTAAAATTTTAGGACAATCTAGCTTGTGACTAGTGCTGAAACATTTCGCTGTTACAAAGTGGTTCTAGTTTGATGAATTTGCATAACATTTCACTTTTAGCATCCTTTTTAACCGTATCTCTCTCAGATGTCATTGTTTTGAGCTTTTCTTGCTTTGGTTTCCTCTCATCATCAATTAGAGATCTTTTACGGGTATTTTCTTATCCACAATGTTTTTAACCAACAGCCGAAACTGTCCAAGTCCTTAATTCCCCACAAAATTCTCAACCCTCCTAATTTGTTAAGTTTTTAACCTAACCCAACATCATGAAATTTTATCATGGTTTTAAGATATGAGAAAACACAAGTTTTTAATATAACCCAACACCAAGTTTTTACATGTTGACAAAACTCTCTGTTAAATGATGCTAGAAATTTTCCTTAGTTCGTATTTTTTCTCTTGTGTCGTTTTTCTTATTCAAAGCAAACATGGCATGTTTAATTACAGAAAAAGTTTAACTTTTTCATGATTTCACAATCTAACTATTTTTTTTATTTCTTGATGGAGGCTTTAAATTTGGCTAAAGGAAGGTGAACACTTTTCTGGCTATGGGCGAGTTACGAGGAAAGTTATTTTAGGGTACTCAAGGATCTTCGCCATTTTCAACCGCAAAATAGAATGTTACAGGCTTTCTTCAATCAAGGTGTTTTTAAGAAATAATTTTACTGTTTTACAGGTGGCATTTGACCGTATAAACTTGACAAATTCATCGGGCAGAGAATCAATTTTTTTAACTGTTTGTATTTGTATTTGTAGCATTTGTTTTTGACTTGTATTTGATATGGTTTCTGTTTCTATTCATAATAGTATTCGTATTCATATTCATGTTAGTATTCATATTTGTATTAGTCTTTGATTTATATTTTTTTGCATTTGTAATTGATTTGTATTCATGTTTGATTTGTATTTTGTATTTGTATTCGTATTCGTATTCGTATTCGTATTTGTATTTGTATTTGTATTTGTATTCGTTTTCGTATTCGTTTTCGTATTTGTATTCGTATTTGTATTCGTATTTATATTCGTATTTGTATTTGTATTCGTTATCGTATTCGTTTTCGTGTTTGTATTCGTATTTGTGTTCGTTTCCGTATTCGTATTCGTATTTGTATTCGTATTTGTATTTGTATTCGTATTTGTATTCGTTTTCGTATTCGTATTTGTATTCGTATTTGTACTCGTATTTGTATTCGTATTTGTATTCGTTTTCGTATTCGTTTTCGTTTTCGTATTCGTATTCGTATTCGTATTTGTATTTGTATTCGTATTTGTATTTGTATTTGTATTCGTATTTGTACTCGTATTTGTATTCGTATTTGTATTCGTATTCGTATTCGTTTTCGTGTTTGTATTCGTATTCGTATTCGTTTTCGTATTCGTATTCGTTTTCGTATTTGTATTCGTATTTGTATTCGTTTTCGTTTTCGTATTCGTATTTGTATTTGTATTTGTATTCGTATTTGTATTCGTTTTCGTATTCGTTTTCGTATTTGTATTCGTATTTGTATTCGTATTTATATTCGTATTTGTATTTGTGTTCGTTTCCGTATTCTTATTCGTATTTGTATTCGTATTTGTATTCGTATTCGTATTCGTATTTGTATTCGTATTTGTATTCGTATTTGTACTCGTATTTGTATTCGTATTTGTATTCGTTTTCGTATTCGTTTTCGTATTCGTATTCGTATTCGTATTTGTATTTATATTCGTATTTGTATTCGTATTTGTATTTGTATTTGTATTCGTATTTGTACTCGTATTTGTATTTGTATTCGTATTCGTATTCGTTTTCGTGTTTGTATTCGTATTCGTTTTCGTATTTGTATTCGTATTTGTATTTGTATTCGTATTTGTATTCGTTTTCGTATTCGTTTTCGTATTTGTATTCGTATTTGTATTTGTATTCGTATTTGTATTCGTTTTCGTATTCGTTTTCGTATTTGTATTCGTATTTGTATTTGTATTCGTATTTGTATTCGTTTTCGTATTCGTTTTCGTATTTGTATTCGTATTTGTATTTGTATTCGTATTTGTATTCGTTTTCGTATTCGTTTTCGTATTTGTATTCGTATTTGTATTTGTATTCGTATTTGTATTCGTTTTCGTATTCGTTTTCGTATTTGTATTCGTATTTGTATTTGTATTCGTATTTGTATTCGTTTTCGTATTCGTTTTCGTATTTGTATTCGTATTTGTATTTGTATTCGTATTTGTATTCGTTTTCGTATTCGTTTTCGTATTTGTATTCGTATTTGTATTTGTATTCGTATTTGTATTCGTTTTCGTATTCGTTTTCGTATTTGTATTCGTATTTGTATTCGTATTTATATTCGTATTTGTATTTGTGTTCGTTTCCGTATTCGTATTCGTATTTGTATTCGTATTTGTATTCGTATTCGTATTCGTATTCGTATTTGTATTTGTATTTGTATTCGTATTTGTATTCGTATTTGTATTCGTTTTCGTATTTGTATTCGTATTCGTATTCGTATTTGTATTTGTATTCGTATTTGTATTCGTATTTGTATTTGTATGCGTATTTGTATTTGTATTCGTATTCGTATTCGTTTTCGTATTCGTATTCGTATTTGTATTTGTATTCGTATTCGTATTCGTATTCGTATTTGTATTCGTATTTGTATTTGTATTCGTATTTGTATTCGTATTCGTATTTGTATTCGTATTCGTATTCGTATTCGTATTCGTATTTGTATTCGTATTCGTATTTGTATTCGTATTTGTATTCGTATTCGTATTTGTATTTGTATCTATATTCGTATTCGAAAAAGGATTCTGAAATCTAAAAGAAACTATAATGATGACATGGTTTAGATAATTGGTTTGGTACATACAAACAAAAAAGCCGCTATGGTTTTCTCTCTTGGACTCTAGCGGTGAATTTTCTATAGGCACATGGTACTGATTGGCCAGCTATACCGGTCATGTGATAGCGTTTTTCTGATTGGCCTATTTCGATCCACATCTGGCTATATAGATTACCCATCTTGTGCTTTCGATGCAATTTTAAACCTAGGACCCCTATTCTGACGTTTTATACTCTGAGGAGTGTCAGACAGAACAAGTTTTCAGTATGTTGTAAAATTTTTTTTTTTAAAAGCAATTTTTCAAATTTTCTACCGCCAAAATATTGTCCTCAATGATGAAAACTTTTTTCATTATTTGTTGATGCCCGAAAAATCGCAATGACTGAATAATGATCAAATTGCTTCAAAGCAGAAAATAGAAGCCCGCACCTTTGAAAAAATCGAAACCGGGGCTTCTCCTTGAGAAAATTCGGCAGGCCTGTAGTCCACATTAAACCCACAGGTGTTTCATGTAAAGTAACTGAACAAAGGTGTTAGTTGCCGTTATTTGATTGTCTGTTCGTCAAGTTAGATATAAAGAATAGATTCTGATATTAACTTTCTTTTTTCTTCCAAATATATCCCAGTCATGTCACCTTATGTAACGTTGTGTGTTGTGTGTAGCATTTCAATGAATCCAATTAGAGGTCCAGGTCCGGGCGTTATTGAAAACCAAGGGACAAGTTTTTGGATCGTTTTCAAGTTGACAACCGGACTAAAGTTGACCCGAAATGATGTATATTCTGGTTTTAAGGTCGCCATATGTTCAATGCGTCTCTAGACTCTTGTGATTTTAAATAGTTCAGAATATTTTCCCTTTTTAAAGCTTTGTGCATTTTAACTGATACTGTAATAATTTAATCTTTGTCTGTGTGTTTATCGATGTTTAATATTTTCCTGCGATGTTGTTTTGCAACCCAAACTCCCTCTTACATTATAGTGTTTCATGTTCACATTGCTAAAATAAGTATTTTGCCTTTTTCAGGGAAGGCCACACGAATTTTGACATGACAGATCATCAAACGTCACCTTTCAAAGCTCGAAAAAAGAGATAAGGTATTACACACTTTGCTCTAGCGTCGTCTATCAATGTCAAGGAATTGTTTGATGTTGTATTGACTAGTCATTTTCGTTAGGAACTCGAAGTTTTGAGCAGCGTCGTACTATTACTCTTTTTGAAAGGTGCAGAAGACTTGGCTCTGCCATGCACGCCCTTGTCCACTTGAACGTCACAAACAAGAAAAAAGCTGAAATCAACTCTCAATGCCAGATAGGTCGATTCTGGCAGAACCCTAATAAACTGCAACTGAAGTTTATTCAGCTTCAACAGTGGTTCAATTGAACCTGTGGGTATTCCTAGTGATAACAATTGGACATGTCAAGCATTACCCACTCACCCTCCCCCCCCCCCACCACTATTTCTGCCACTTTTGTACGCCATTTTTCCATGCAAATTTATCATGAACGGCTTACAATAAGACCTAACTGGTTCATTACTGGCAGTTCTCCCCATTAAGAACCACTAAAAAGATAAGGCTCTGGCTTATTCTTGGTTGCAGCTATGCAAAAATGCCAAGTACAGAATTTCTAGGTAGCTGTAAAATTGAGGGGTTGCAGCTTTGTTCCTTATTATGTACATAATTTATTTGTCAATGCATAAATCATTTATTAATCAGTATTTCCACAAAGTTATGGTATAAACTAGAAATTTGCAAATGGAAAGCTTTCATTAAAATGCATTTTTATCAGGAAAAATCTTGATCTTTTACATTATTACATATCTGCAGCTAATTCGAATTAATGGCTACTTGACTAAATACAAAATTAACAATTATCATACTATCGACAACACAACATTATAACTACTGAAATCTTACATTGCATGTTAAAAGGAAACTAAGATAGATTTCAGGTTTATCCAGGATCTTTGCCCAAGATTCCTTCATAATGCCATCAACAGAATTTTGCAGAGCATAAATAACTTCATCGAAGATTAAAAATTGGTGCACTTGTAATGAATTTGAAAAAGCAAACATTTTATGGCATACTAAAGCTTTTCGTCTGACATTCTTTTGAGTGTTAAACGTCAGCAAATTGCTGAAATCAGTCAATCATGAGGTGTGTAAGGCAAAAATGCTTTGATATGTCAAAAAATGATTGCACTTTTCAAAGCAATTTTTAGATTGTAATATTTGCTAGTTTCTCGAATCCTAGCAAATTGAGCTGTCGTCATTTCTAAGACAACATTATTTTACCCCACTATAGCCCAAGGGAGTCCCTGGAATGACTGAATACCTTGTGACTGCAAATTACTTCTAAGACTAGCAATGTAGAATATATCATTCCTGGACTTGCAATGAATGGCAAATTGAACATATCTCCTACGTGGGCATGGTTGTCATTTGCATTCTGATCGCATGATAATCACGTTTCATTCACCTGTCGCAAAGCTCTTTTTTCTTGAAAACGTTTGCCGCATACAGTGATTAAATATTTCATGTTATGAATATAACGCAAAGAAATTTTTCTGTTTACTTCATCAATGGTGATGGAATCATCTTAACCATGGGGCATTGTGGAAACATTGCCCACTGAAGATCTTCAATGGGAGTTTGTGATATCATGGCTACCCAAAAAACAATTTGGGTGCCATTCTTGTAAATTTTGTCGACGCAATTTTAAGGTTTACATAAATATATCGGTTAACAAAGAAAGGCAAAATGTACGGTCCGCAAGACAATGGATAGGTTTTCGGGGATACCTGGCAGATTTCCTAACAACAGCTGGAATAGTTTGTGACATATTCTTATTATCATGCAATAAGAAGGGATAGAAAAGTAAGTGGAATGTCCATGTAGTTTGCGAATGCCGAGGACATTTAAATGCTTATCAAACTCAAATTTAAACTGAAAATTATATTTACATTTAAAAGATTTTGGATACTCATAAGCCCATTATCATAACAATGGTACCATAAATTTAGTCTGTCAAGTGAACAATTTTTTTTTTCCCTCGCAGATTTTCAGGACTGCAATTATATTTTTCGATTATATCATAATTTTGGAGCAGAAATGTAAGCTTTTGACAAATTCATTTAAAGTTATTTCACAAACAATTCTTAAGCTTCATATTCTTTTAAAAGAACTAGTTTTTCATTTGGGTACATGAATGTCTCATTTATCGATGAATCCCTTTTAAGAGCACTTCCAAATTGAATGAAGCGACTGCTGTGGTGCATCTAATGTTCCTCAACTTTGTTGATGTCAACCAAAACATTCAACGAAGTGTGTTGCTTTTATTTATCAACTTCAGTGAATAGCTTCGGAACCAGCTGTCTTCGTCCATCATTATAGCTCATACTTGCACATCTAGCGAGAAGATCAACCCATGTAATAGTCTCTTGGCAGGTAACAACAACGGCACTTAAACCGACCACCGATTGTGAAGCTGGTTCGTGGTGGAGTTGAAAGCAAAACGAATGGCAACAGCTGTTCAACATCTGACGGTGTAGTGAATTCTCTCTGCTTCACCTCTTTTCATTGTTTCGTAGCTTATTCATTTTATCTTGAGTCAAAGTGTAAAAAACCGGAATAAGAGACTGAAGAAGTCACAATTAACATTTAACAATGAGTGATAGCTCGACGAAAGTACTGCCTGTCCATGCGTTATTTCCGTGTGCATGTGAAGAGTTGATCCTCAGCATTCTCAAGCTTCACCTTTTTTCTAGATGGTTTTCTACATCTTTTCATGCTTCCCCTACTGTAACAAATGGAACATCTAGCATTTCTTGGAAGTCTCCAACTTCATTGCTTCTATCTTGCCCTCTATTCTCTTTTCTGAGGCATCGGAACAAAGAGGATCTGAATTTTTTATCAAGAATAAAGTATATGACAGGATCATAAACAGAGTAAGATTTTGCAAAGTAAGATGGAATGCTGCAAATTAACAAATTGTCAAAAGGGGATCCTCTTGCTAGGCCAAACAGCGTTATGACTGCGTAGGGAAGCCAAGCCATGTTGAAGGAAAGTATCAGGGTGCACACGAGGAAGCACATCTGCTTTCGAAGTCTTTTGTCTTCTTCAATCAAGGCAGCATTTGCTCGGCGACCTATTGCGTTAGTGCGACTTGATCCAGTGTTTTTCGTCAGTCTGTGGACCTCTTTGAGGAAGCGTGCGTTACAGAAGACAATAGCGCACATTGGAGCAACATAGCCAATTAGCAATATAAATATACTGTAACTGATGCTATTGATTGTATTTGGAAAGATATCAACAGCACACGAAGTCCCTATACCTTCTATCTTGTATGAGGACCAGCCGAAAAATGGCATCGATGCCACAATTATTGCCAGTACCCATGATAGAGCAATAGACACGTTGAGGTTGCATGGGCGGAGCAACCTCTCGCTTCTGAAAGGGTAGACAACTGCTATGAATCTCTCTGTAGAAAGTAACAGCAAATGGTAGATGCTAGAGAGACCGGCAGAGAACGTCACAAACCCATAGAAGGCACATGCGTTTTGTCCCATGTTCCAACTGTTTGTAAGATTAGCATGGATTGTAAATGGGGTTGATATTGCCGTGCATAATGCGTCACTTACCATTAAGCTAAAAAGTATATGAGTCTGGGCGCTTGAACTCTTTATTTTCGTCATCAAGACAAAAGCTGCTGCTGCATTTAAAACAACCCCTAAGAATCCAACGATTATCATATACAGTGCTACAATTGTGTAGGTTTGATCTGATATTCCGTTCAGAGATAATGTCTCGTTGTTACCAGACTTAAGCATCCTAATCCGATACATACGCTTTCAAGACGATCTATGAGTTTCCTTTCAGACAACAATTTTGTATGCTGCTCTGTTTGCACCGCGAATGATTTTCATGAGTGTGCTACTATGTATCTTAAGACTCTGATTTATCATACCGATGTTATCACCGATGTTTATCACTGTCTGAATAGTTATGGCTGCTGCTTATCACTGAAGATGTTCCAACGCTTTCATGTTAAAACAAAATAACCTGTTTAAATTGCGTAAAGTTGTTCAGAGTGTTTGAATTGTTTTTAAAACCATACCTGTTCCAAACAGCGAGTCAAGTCTAGCTTAGTCTTGAATTTTTCTTGAGCAGTTTTAAATTGTCTAAATACGAGTATCCAACGAAAAATACGAAGGTCCAACGAACCAAACAGCGCATTCAGAATTCTTGCAGTTTTCTTTCTATGCAAATTTCCGATCAGCTTCTATGCTGTTTTTAAAGCTGAAGATTAGTATGTCTTGCATGGACACAGATGAAGATGCATTTGATTATTCTGTTGCCAAGCTGTTTTTTAATGTGACGAATCCTCAGTTATCTTGCCGGGTGCCAACAAATTGCAAAAACATCTGCGTCTTGTTCGTTGGTGACGTAGCCTTGCTTTTCAACCAGTGCTGACTTCTGTACAAAAAAATATTACATATTCATATTGAGTGAATAATGGAAATCCTTAATCGTTGAAAGAAGCTTTTTCATGATTTTGCCGCGAGAGCTAGATAGTTCTGCAACTAATCAATAGGCCCTTTATGTTGCCACAGTATCATTGACTTTTCAAGCTCGTGTTCAGGAATTCAAAGCGTTTGTTCCTAAAACCTGCTAGCGTTTGCTCACACTTCTAGATTGATTATTCAATGATATGTTTAGTTCTATATGCCAGCTATACAACATATCATCGGCGTAAAAAGACATACATAGAAGTGTCCATTGTTGATATTAAAAAAGCGTATTAGATTTAGAGAATTTTTTGACAAGCAACAGGTTTTTGTGTGAGCACAAATCCTAAAAATGGTAAACAAGTACAGTTAGAGTAAGAAATTCAAAAATTAAAGTTGTTTGGTAATTTTGAAAGTTTGGTAGTGTCGCGCGACTCGACGATCAATAGAAGGGATTTGAAATGTAATATAAACTGCCGTTATTCGTATAGTGTACTTTGAGAAGGAATAGCCCTCTTAAGCTAATAATACTACGCAAAATGTGGTAGAAGATTGTACATCGCTGATCATTTCACTCAAGTGCAAATTAAAGAACTTGTTGGCTACAGTTGATTCCATCGAGTCAAGTTATGCTTTACTTTTGCTACTGAGTGCAGTCGCTTAAAATCATCTTCTATTTGTATCTCATTCAAATTAAGCAGAACGTATCGGATCGGCAAATCATTGCAGTTTTTGTAGATAGTGAGGCAAAAACTGTCAAAATTGGTCTTATCTTAGCTATGAAGACATTTGTTGTTAGAATCCTGCGTGCTGATTAGCCACTCACTCTAATGCATGTATTCCTTAATGCTTTCTAGCCTCGTCGTGTAATTTTGCTTTTTCTTTGTTATTTTTTCTCATTTCGTTCCGTGGCTCATGACTATTTGCATGTCGTGATGTTAATCTTAACAATTTTTGAAGGCCAAAGTTTGGCAAGCCATCCCCAAAGAAGACTTAGCTCTTTCCCTTACGGTAATCACCCTTGCCTTAGCTTTTCAGTTCTCTTTCTTTGTTGAAATTCAACGTATCTACAATCACTGCCAAAATTATTTGGAGCAACCAACACTTTGCGCTGTGCTTTTCTGTTTTTCATTTGTTTTCCCGAATACTACTTCCGCCCCCTTTCCCCCCAAAACAATGTTGAAAGTAAAAAATAATGTCAAACAAGCTACAAGAAAAATCATACTCCATAACCCCTTTCATTTCTCTATAGTAAATCAACATTGTTCCTAGGGGGAGAGGGAGATGGCTGAATTTGCCTTTGAAAACCTACGTTAGTGTTCCAAGACTTTTGGCAGTGATCGTAGCAGGTAATCATAAAACTGCGACGAAAATATTCTAATAATTTGTCTAATATTTTTCTGTATTAATTTCTTGTTGTCTAAAAAAGCGTTTGAACTACATTAAAAATAATTTTTGAGACATTTCTGAAGATAAAAGCAAAATAAAACATTACTGAGAATGTTACCAGAAACTAGAACAGATGTTCAGACACAGTTGGTTTACAAGAGCAGATGCAATGAACATCAGTACCAATTAAAATCCGTTATCAATCATTGACAAGTATGAATAAAAAACCCACCTGATTTTATCATACGGTTTTGAGACGACTAGCATATCTAATTGAACAGGGATTCAGAGTTGGAGAAAAGTATCGCTAATAAAGGGTATGCAGATAGAACTGAGGAGTATCAACTGAGGCAGCCTTTCCACTAACCCGGCTTAAAACAAAAGCGGGTTAAAAGTTACCCGTTTATACGTTGCATTCCCACTAACTCACTTGAAAAAGTGTCTCAAAGAGATGTTTAGAAAAGTGTCTCAAAGTGGATCGTAGCTTTTAAACGACTTGAACATTAGTGGGAACGTCAAAGCCGGATAACTTTTGATCATACCTCTACGCTTTTTATCCACTTACAACAACAACAACAGCAACAGCAATAGCAACAATTTACAAATATATTCAAGGCTTATTGCTGTAAATACTGATTTATCTCACAGCTCTCTGTGCTTTGATTTCTGTTTATAATTATCTAAATCTGATTTACCTGAAGAGAAGAGGGCTGAGAACACATTTTAAGCCTGGAAAAACTTTAACCCAGCTTAGCGGAAACGCTAAAAAACGGATTAAAACGAGTTTAAAGCAAACTAGCGTTTCCATTGACTCGCTTTGAAAACGAATGCATTTTAACCCGTTTTGCTTTAACCCGGGCTAGTTGAAAGGCTGCCCTTGACACTAAGAGCACCAACGTGGGCATAGCATTTTGCATGGATTACAAATCATTGAACTCTCTTACTTCTCGGTACTTTTGAGGACCTTTGATCCTTTCATTTTTTATGACCTACTTACTTGAGATCTCCACGACGAAAGGTTTAATCTGGCCCTATCATTAATAAGCAAAAAGAATGGACAATGATTTTTTCCAGGAATATGTGATGACGTTAAAAACCAATTTGTAAATCTTTGAATTATTACGGCAGGTTCCAAGCTAACTGTTCGGCAAAACTTTAGATTGACACCAAGAATAAACACAGATATAGTTTTCTCAAACGTATATCATTGAACGACTTGTACCACTAAGCCTTTCCAAGAGCGGAGTGTACGTGCTCACAATACTAACTCTTACTCCAAGGTCTAATTATAATCTTTAATGTCTTCTACGGCGGAAAGCATGTTAAGATATCAATAGAAAGAGACGTGAGATGCGTTTACGTTGAGTTGTGTCACATAAGATGCGGCATGTTAAAATGTTAAAATAATAACAGAATGGAGGGTGTGAGGTGCTTAAGCGAGAGTGTCTCCTGAAAGCATCACGTTGCCTAGAAATGAATACGCAAGCGGGGTTACTGGACAAAAATAGTGCACAAACAAGAATGAATAAGGAAATGAATGGCGCAGAAGGAAATTTGGAAATGAGGCTCATGAAAATGAGGCAGCGCGAATAGCAGTATTACAAATTCCCTGTAGTTGTTTCAATTCGAGATGAAGTTCGTTAAACGAAATCTTTTCTGGAATGCTTGTGAGCCATACTTATATCTTATTTCTATCTGAAATATAACAATTATATTTTGCTTTATTTCATGTAGTTGTTTTTGAAAAATGTAGACCGACAGGGCTGCTGACAGCCATGCTAGGCCCTGTAGTCCAGGAGTAGGTCCAGTGTTTGGGCCTCTTCCAACTTAGAGCAATACGGATTTGAAATGCATTAAATTTTTTTTAGTAATTAAAGTAAGCATTGTTAAACTTTACCAGTACAGATATAATTTGATTTTCTAAATTTTACCATGTTTTTGAGAGTCTAATTTTAGATACAGACCGTTTAATTTCCAGCGTACCCCTCTTTGCTTACGGATCCCCAGAGGCAGAAACAACTTTTTCGGGTAGAGACAAATAAGCGCTTGCAAATAAAGACCGTAAAGGCTCCGAACAGTAATTTCATGTAACAGATAATATACACAATCAACAAAACACTTTAAAACATCAACAAAACAAACAGTATCTACAAAACTTGAATAGAAACATAGTCATTTGTCTCTTGTAAACGGAGTCACTATCTCATGTTTTGTCTGGACAGTACAACTAAAAAGTTTTATTAGGCTCTTTATCTTTCTTTTTGTAAAGTTTTTGCATGTCTGTAGCCTCCCATAATGTTTGCACAAACCACCCCTGTTGGATTGCCACAAGGCCTAAGTGGGTAAAGTGGGCTAGTTTCCGCAGGTGAGATCGTATTCGCAGGTGTTTACATGAGGACGCGATTTATCCCACTTTGGTGGGATGGCCTCTTATTTGAATATTGTAAATGAGGTTGTTTTAGTTTATGATGCCACAGTATTGAATATCAGTTCTGTTCTGTGTCGTTTTTCACTCATCCAATATGAGGCAGCAGGTCTTGGGTCAAACTCAGCAAGGGTTGGCATATTCATGTTTACATACAAATTGTGGACATGTGTCTCGTTGGATAAGCTGCTGCGGTCAGCTGTTTTCAGATGGTTATAAAGTACGACGTCAGCAGAATGTGCAGTACAAGATGCTACTCTTGCATATACAGTGCACAAAGTGCTGAATCCCTTCATTCTAGAAACTCTACTCTACCGACCCTAACAATGAAAATGTTTTGTCTTTGACAAGATCAAATTACAATGTTTACAGCAATGCTGACGTTTACAATCAGATGTTTTGTGTTTGGTTCTTGGCATTTCTCTTTGTTTTAAGTTTTGATAAGAGAGTCTTTACGATGCTCATACGAAAATTACAATACATAAACTCTATGTCGAACTGACGAGGAAAATTCACATTTTGTGAACAAAGCAGGAATCTGGGATAACCGCAAATAGACATTTTAACAAATTCCAAAATTAAATACTGCACATTTTCGAAATCAGCACTGCACGTTTTTAAATTAAAGCTATAAGCTAACAAAAGCTATTAATACCAGTATCAAAAATAGCAGATTTCCAGACCGTGGAAAACGAGCTGCAGTCACACCTCTTGACAAAGGCGAACCTGTTCGAACAGTAGAAAATTATTTCCGTCCAGTTGGTCGCTTAACATTCTTTCCAAGATAAACAAAAAAATAATAAAAGATCAATTTACTCCTTATCTCGATAAAACCCTATCTGCTTTTGTTGCTGCCTACAGGAAGGCTTACAGTACACAGCATATCTTAATTAAAATGCTTGAAGACTGGAAAGTCAAATTGGACAAGGATTACACTGTCGGAGCAGTACTGATGGATTTTTCAAAGACCTTTGACTGTGTCCCGCATGACCTTCCTATTGCAAAACTTCATGCATATGGCTTTGATGAAAGCTCTCTGGTCCTTATTTACTCCTATTTAAAAAGGCGTAGTTCGAATAAATGATACACACGGTGATTTTCAATCTGTTTTATCAGGGGTACTGCAAGGATCAGTCCTTGGCCTTATTCTTTTCAATTTTTACATCAATTGCCTGTTTTATTTCATTAAAAAGGCTTCTCTTGTAAATTACGCAGATGACAACACTTTAATACATTTTTCAAAAAACCTGCCTCAATTAATTGACGTCTTGGTAAAAGAAGCAAGCATTAAATCTTTCATTGGCTTTGATGAGAAAAAGTATTGGTCCAACGCTTTGTTCTCTAACTTTAACTACTGCCCTTTAGTGTGGTTGTTCTCCTCGGCTAGATCTATGGAGAAGATCGAAAAAATACAGGAACGAGCCCTACGTGTTCTTTACGATGACCATGACTCATCTTATAGAGATCTGCTTTGCAAATTACAAAAATTCACAATGCATGTAAGTCGAAAAGGGATCTCTGTATTGAAATTTTGAAGTTATCACATATGCTGAACTGACGGGTGATGCCATAAATCAAGTTATCACATATGCTGAACTCACGGGTGATAGCACAAATCAAGTAATCTTATACGTTAACTCACGGGTGCTGGCACAAATCAAAGACTCTAATATTCTGGACTCATGGGTGATGCCACAAAACAAGTTATCACATATGCTGAACTGACGGGTGATGCCATAAATCAAGTTATCACATATGCTGGACTCATGGGTGATGCCACAAAACAAGTTATCACATATGCTGAACTGACGGGTGATGCCATAAATCAAGTTATCACATATGCTGTAAAAAGGTTAAATCCAGAATTCATGCAAAATATTTTCGAACTAAGAACCTCTGATCGATCCTCACGTCATCCACAAGGATTGCAGCACTACAGGCCCAGCCAAACCATTCGGTACAAACAGCCTCAGGTCTCTCGGACCACAAATTTGGAATGCCTTACCACAGGAAATAAAATGTGCAGAAAATCTGATCCAATTCAAAAGATTAATTAAAAGCTGGGACGGGACAACCTGTACATGCAACGTATGCAAAACTTAACGATTTTATAGTAAATTTGTACTTAAAAACTATTAAAAAATTTTTGATTTAATATGTGTTTTTTTAAAATAATCGAATTAGACAAGTTACGGTATTGTAGCTTGAAATTATATCTATCCGATTTAAAATAAGATTAAAAACAAACAAATTAATACTACACAAAGTGTGTAATACTGCACAATAAATAGGCCCTGTCTAAAGTTATCTGAATTTCAAGGTGAAGCCTCTGAGTGTGGAAAAGCTCCGGGAAAACGGAACAGGCTATGTATAAAGTCTTTAAATTCGCCGATTTCACTTGAAACCAAATAACTGTGGGAAAACAAGTGTGATCCTTTGAGAAAAAAAACAGCTAGATAGATCTACATATCTGCATGTATGAATTTAAATTGAGAAGATAAATATTTCCGGCCAATTCGTAACTTCATTTCGGAAACATCTGCTGTAAATGAATAATTGTTTGAAAAAGTGATGAAATTTCCGGGTAATTTTCATCAGCGCTCAAAACTCTGCCTTTTACTCACAGCTTCATGAATATTTGTTTAAAAAAACACCTGAAAAAGGCGCACAATGCTGTAAAACCGATTACGCAAGGACGATTCTTATCAAGTTTGTCTGTACAGGCCTCCTGAAATATGTACAGGCCTCCTGATTTAGCCTCTTTAATAGATGAACTTTTGGTGCTGTTGAGTAACACGACTGCTATGGAAACCATGTATCTATGGAATTTGGGAAGAAGTATTTTGAAAGGCAGAGCACAGAAAGACAACTGATATCCTATGGGGTGCAACAAGGATCCTACCTCAGTCACTTATTGATCATTTTGTCGACATCGAAAACGTGCAAGTTGTAAATAGAACAGAACATTCTATCAAGACTGGAATACTTTCTTCGACCACAATCGAGTTAAATCTTTCTTTAAAAGACGCCTTTATGAATATGCCTGTTATGTCTAACAATAATCCAAAATTATTTTTATAGAGCATTTTTCTCGTAAGCTGCTTAAAATTGTGCTTTCAAAAACCTAAAAATTGGAATGCATTTTCGGAGAGAAATTTCCATTAAATAAACTTGTTCGAAGATAATAAATTTAAAAAATAAAATGAACGTTTTTAATTGAAAATGATATTAGGCTTGTTGGCTTTTTCCTCAAGTGCACTTTTTTCAAAAGGAACTAGCTCGAGGCCTAGTTTTTGTAGGTACTTATTTTTGGACCTCTTCTTATAGAAATATAATACTAAAAGCTTCTGAATAGTTCCATAATTTAACTGCACATTTGGTGCCATGAAAATTGCACATAATAAATTGAAATTCTGTTTTTTTGTGGCCAGATTTGTGGCATCACCCGTGAGTTAACGTATAAGATTACTTGTTTTGTGCTATCACCCGTGAGTTCAGCATATGTGATAGCTTGATTTATGGCATCACCCGTCAGTTCAGCATATGTGATAACTTGAATTATGGCATCACCCGTCAGTTCAGCATATGTGATAACTTGATTTATAGCATCACCCATGAGTCCAGCATATGTGATAACTTGATTTATGGCATCACCCGTCAGTTCAGCATATGTGATAACTTGTTTTGTGGCATCACCCATGAGTCCAGCATATTAGAGTCTTTGATTTGTGGCATTACCCGTGAATTTAGCGTATGAGATTACTTGATTTGTGCCAGCACCCGTGAGTTAACGTATAAGATTACTTGATTTGTGCTATCACCCGTGAGTTCAGCATATGTGATAACTTGATTTATAGCATCACCCATGAGTCCAGCATATGTGATAACTTGATTTATGGCATCACCCGTCAGTTCAGCATATGTGATAACTTGATTTATAGCATCACCCATGAGTCCAGCATATGTGATAACTTGATTTATGGCAATACCCGTGAGTTCAGCATATGTGATAGCTTGATTTATAGCATCACCCATGAGTCCAGCATATGTGATAACTTGATTTATGGCATCACCAGTGAGTTCAGTATACGTGATAACTTGATTTATGGCATTACCCGTGAGTTCAGCATATGTGATAACTTGATTTATGGCATCACCCATGAGTCCAGCATACGTGATAACTTGATTTATGGCATCACCAGTGAGTTCAGTATACGTGATAACTTGATTTATGGCATCACCAGTGAGTTCAGTATACGTGATAACTTGATTTATGGCATCACCAGTGAGTTCAGTATACATGATAATTGATTTATGGCATCACCCGTGAGTTCAGCGTATGAGATTACTTGATTTGTGGCATCACCCGTGAGTTGAGCTTATATACTGCCCAGCCTTGCCATGCTTTACATTTGCTCAAGTTTTTTTCATTTCATTCTAAATGCTTGAAAGTGGGCGCCTTTTGCTGAAATCATGGGAATGATATCAAATTGATCAATTTGAATTTTTTTTCGAAGTTAAATCCTATCCAGGCTGGTTTTACGCAAGTTATTTCGGTGTACAATTCTCAGCACCAACTGGTCTAAGTTTGAGAGGTGCGCCATTCCACGGCAAGCTACCCTCCCGCTTGCGGATACGTAGTATAGGATATTTGTTCTTCGCGGAGGTGCCGTTTATACAACTGGAAAACCCGGGTTCCGCCCCTGGAAAACGATATGAAAGTAGAAGGATTTCGCTCCGAATTCAAAGAGTAGCAAAGGAACAATTTACTTCTATTTTGATATGCAACGAAGTTGTTCTGTTTCAAGAATGGAACGTATTATGCCGTTTTCAAATCGTGCCGCTTTCCAAATTTTGTTTCTTTGATTAACTGAAGTTACAGTGTAAAGAGAGAGCCAAATCGGCATGATATTGCATGGTTTTCAATTGAATCGGTACGGTATAAACGGATTCTAAATTCCGAAAAATGAAATGCCTACATCATACCATCATAGACCCTGAAAGTTGCATGTAGATGCGCTTGAACATACAGTGCGAATGAATCTTTGGATAACTTTGAAAACATAAGTCCACGCAACCGAATTTCCGAATGAAAATGTAATACTTGACGTCCTGCCACGCCAATGCGTTTACACTAAATTTTTGCCGAAGAATTGCGCCAATGCCAAAGAAATCCTCCAAAATTTGTCGAAACTACCTCTGTTGTAGGCGTAACAGACATTTTTCCCAGCGTGGCTACTGGCTAAAATTCTGTGCTATGTTTCTTGTTAACATAGCTATGTTAGCAATGTTGGTCCTCTTGCAAACTCACTGCTTCCGGCTGTCCTATACAAAAGTAAACAAGCTAACATTTCCTTAATTTGGAGGAGGGGCGTCCTTTCATTAATATTTGGACACGTAAGCCCCGCTCAGTCTGACACGACTGCTTTTCAGGGGGCCGCCCTAAAAATTCCTTTTATTTGGAGAAAACGTTACACTCGTATCTAAAATAGGACAAAATACCTTATTGATTATAATTAAATAGTAAGTTAAATTTTTAAAGTTTTTACTTAAAAGTCACAAGGGAGGGCGCCTGGTTGACATCAAATGCTCGGTTGTTCCAAGGCTTACATCCACGAAAGATATAGCCTTCTGCCCATTGTAAATTTTCCGTAAAGCCTGACAAATGAAAGACCAGTTTCCGTATTCATCAGATATCTCATAGTTTGAGTTGAATTTTTGACAAGCAAGTTAGAAAGGTTCTCAGGTACCACACAATTTAGCGATTTGTAAATGATAGTGGCAGTTTTACTTCTAATAAATCACTAACAGTTGGCCTTTTTAAACTGCGTGTAAGTGGGAAATCACTTGTATGATATTTACTATTTGTCATAATTCTAGATGATCGAATCTGTAAGAACCCCCATACTGAATCTTAGAGCCGTAAAAAGAGTGTTGAGGGAAATGTTACCTAGTATATCTCAAAAACAATATTACACCATGAGAAACATTTGTGGTATGAGAGTACGGATACTATTAATATGTTCTTCCCAGGTGGTCTACATTCTCAGCTAGGGAGTTCCCTCTAAAAATTGCGGGTGATCAACAGTTTTACCAGGAATTTTCTCGACTTTTGTTTGGGAAACTATAACTACAGCCTGGGTTTTGAGAATGAAAGTTTATTAACTAGCCATCATTTCTTCAGTAAATTCAATTCCCAATTTAGGGGTTGATTTAGGTCTTCTATCCCCACCCCATAGAGGAGTAAAACAGTGCTAGTATCATCGGCGTACATGGTCAATCTACCTTTTTTCAGAGAAAGTGGAAGTCATTATCATAAATCAGAAGCAAGAGAAGGCCAAGACAGGAGCCCAGGGGAACACCACACCTAATGTTTTCTGGTTTAGAACAAACACAATTAACTTTGCGTAGCTGCGTTCTTTTGGTAAGGTAGGAAGAGATCCAAGTGAGTTCTAATTTTTCTCGTCAACTTAGCAAGTAGAATGTCATGATCTACAGTATCAAATGCCCTATTAAGATCAATAAATATGTTTGCAATGTATTTTCTTTTATCCATGTCAACAAGCTAGTCATCTGTGCTGGTAAGAAGGCAATTGACTACAGCATGAAAAGTTTGTTTTTGACCAAGGAATCGTAAATTTGGTTATCCAAGACAGTAGCTAGAACAAACAGAACTGTTATTGGTCAGTAGCAACTCTGGTTGTTTTCCAGCTATCTGGGGAATACCCAATGGCAATCAAAAGATTGAAAATGCAACATAGAGGTCCCAAAATAACCGGAAGTGCAATGTTTGGAATATAGCACCAATACCACATCCCTTTGAGGCTTCGAATTTGCCATAAACTTTTGCTAAATAGTAGGGGCCAATAACTTGAAATTGAAATTAATTTTTTGTGGATGACCTTATAATCACTCTCTAGGAGAGTTTTTTTAGTTTCGGGAAACTTTTTAGTTCTTAGTTATTTGTAAAGAAGAAGATATTCATACCTTTTGCAATCCCAATGTTATGAGAGACACGTTGCCAATCGATATTCAGAGACGTTTTTTTGGTAATTTCTTTTTTATTTTATTGACAATCTTCCAAGTGTTTCTGTTAGTCACCTTCGCAGGAAGCAACTTGGTTTCGCATATGTCTATAAGACTTTTCGCATATGTCTATAGAGCGAATCGCTTGCTTTTTTAACCTAGGCATATCCCTTATCTTGCACTAGAGTTTGAAGTCATTTGCCAACCAAGGACAAAACCTATCAGGGTTACGCCTGTTACAGTACTTATACAGAAAATGATAGACCATTTGTTAACTACAACATCAATATCGTCGGTGTTCCGCGAGATGCCGTACCAGGCGAGCCCTAAAAGATCGTTTACAAATTTGGCATGATCAAAATTATTCATTTGCCTAGTAGAAAAAACTTTATGCTGTTTTTCGAAAGCACCGCGAAATTTCCGGATACAATAGACCTGGTGATGATCACTGGGCTAGATTTGTGTATTCAAAACGTTATAATGCCAGACTTGTTAGCTGTAGGAATTTTTTATTTCCCATTCTGCAGTTTCCTCAAAATTTTCCTCACTTAGGCGCCTCAACAATTTGCTGTATTCATTGATGCTTTATCTTTGTTATAATCTACTAATAATGTCGTGGATCTTGGAAATTATACATATTTTTATGGTGCAGTGATAACCAAAGTGATATAACTAGGACTTATTGTCTAGGCGGGCAAAGTTTACGCATCTTCCACAAACTTTGGTAGCTTGAGCATACCCAAGGATGGAAAGAAAGGGGGCAAGGGTGGTCAGATTCCTTAGGATCTAAAAGTATAAGAATCCTGATAAAGCAATGAAATCGATTTTAAGAACGGAATTAATCTAAGGTTACAAATTTATGGCTGAAATATAGTAAAATGTTTTAAGTATATACAAGATAATGACTGCAAAAAATATTTCTGAAATGTTTTTTAAGCTAATCCAAAGAGCGTGTTTGCCACAATTTTCTGCTGGCTTCTCTCGTAGGGAATGCCTGGCCCCCATAACCATAATAACCTCCCTGTTATAATAACCTTCCTGTGACCTTGAACATACCTGATACAATATTAGCCAATACTAAATAATCAAACAAAAAATATGTTGAAGTCAAAACTACTTGCGAATCATGTATCTTCTTTCAATTTCGTAAAGTTTGGCCGAACTTTCCATCAATTTCTCCCAAACTAGAGTCATTTTCAAACTCATTTCCCACTGAGGAAAAAGGTGAAATTGGGTAGAAAAATGAAAAAACGAAAAGATGAAAAGCAGAAAATACACTTCAACGATTAATTTACCACTTTTTTTATTTTGTTGAAGAAGTTCCAATTATGTTGATGTTATGAATGACTTGTGAATAAATAGGTCGACCTTTTGTATCATCAGTTTATTTTCATAAGATAAGGTATGTTGGAAACTCCCAAACTCCATTTGAATAGAGGTTTTTCCTCCCTTGAGTTGAGGTAAAACTGTGCTTGCGTGGAAATGTCTTGCCAAATGATGTTGGGCGAAATGTTTGGTCGTTTGACCATTGTATTGGTTCATCCAACATCGTCGTTCGTTTTCGATGTTGGATTAAATTTGACTGAGGTAAAATATGTTGGCTGCCGACATCCAACAATTTCCATTGTTTTGGATTGTTGGATGAAATGTTGGATCGTTTGGCTACCTCAGCAATTGTTGGCTCTGCGCAAGCGCAGTTGGTTAAAGAGCGCCAACATCCAATCATCGCATTGTTGTTAATTTCACGGGTTGGTTTCGTTCGTTTTAAAATTCACGTTTGCTTACTTTAATTATCAGTTAAACTTTAATCATGGACAACATAACGAAATAAAACGAATATTGTACGCAAGAAAAGGCATAAAGCGTCAATAAAAAGCCTGTGACACAGAGGAGGTGCAAGAAATTGCAGGGGGACGAATTAAAGCCGCGGCTTTGATGGGGATGCAACGCTCGTCCTGAAAGACCGCGATGACATAGAAAATATCTCCCTTCGCTTTCCTTTAAGAGAAGATATAAAGAGAAGGCGGTGACCGCCTTTCGTTTTATGGAACGAAATGTCGCGAACCTTTCTGTGCAGCCTTAAGCGCGACCTTCTACTCAGTCCTTTTATCGATCTGCACGAGAAAATGTTGGGTAAAATAATGGATCGTTTGACCACCAACCTTGGATCACTTTCCTACATAGAAGAAAAATGTTGGTTGAAAGTTCGATGAAATGTTGAATTCACACGACCCAGCAAATTACAATTATGTTGTCTATTTTGAATAATCATTACGAAATTTCAATAGAAGGTGTCAACACGGATTCAAATTTTTTGTACCTAGGCCCAGTGGTACTGTTCTTCACTTACCCAGCTTGTAAGCTCTTTCGTTTAACTCTGGCCTTGGCTTTTGTGGATAATTTTAAAAAACGAAGTCATTCATGGGTTCGCTGTTCAACCGTGTTTCAAAAAGCTGATACCAAATGTCGATGCTGGACAAAGGTCTCACCTGTTTGATATGTTCTCTTCATGATCTTCATCGATTAAGAAGAACAGAAGACACCGGTTTTCACAGGTTTTAAGAAAACAGTAGACACTGGATTCAAATTCTATTTCATCATCGACTCCGTCGCTACGGGGAAGTACGAGAGAAAGCTCGGTAGTTCATGCAAACTAATTATTTGGTGCGTTCATGCCAATGGGTCGCACAATTTTGCAGCGCTGTTGGATCGCTTTCAACTCTACGTTTCTCGTGCCGAATTGATGCTGGTTTACACGTTTCTCACGATCGCCATCACTAGCTAAGTATTTTTACTTTTTGCATTAACCTGTATTTTTTGTTATGGATACTGAAAATAGTAATTTCCCCTCTAATTATGATTCGGCCAAACCTGAAATGGAACAAAGCCCCCACGTTACTGACAGCTCTCCAGTTTCAGCTAGTGGCAATAAAGAAACCATGGTGGATATATTAAAACCCATGCAACTTCAAATGCAGTTGTCAAATAAGCTAGTACTAAGTTTAGTAAATGATAATACTGATAGTTCACGTAAAAGGAAAATATCTGTGTTACTGTTCAATTTGGGAAGTTAAATCTGTATTTGACTTTTTTCGCTTACAACAAAACATTGCTGATCTCCATCTGAAAGAGCTTTCGCATCGTCTTACTCATTTGCTGTGTTTATTAAGTGGGCAACGTTGTCAGACCATACAGTTTCTTAACATTCAACACATGGATGTTTATGATACAGCTTATACGTTCCACATTACTCAAAAGTTAAAAAATACTCGTCCTGGTGTCCATCAACAGCCTTTATGTTTTTTGAAATACAATCTGGAACCTCAACTTTGCATTTATGCACATTTATCCGAGTATCTGACTCGAACTTCCAATTCACGCGGAGAACACAACCAGCTGCTAATCAGTTTTGTACGACCTCACTCTCCCGTTTCAAGAGATACTATATAGCGCTGGTGCCGCACTATTCTCGCTGAGGCTGGTATTGACATTTGGAAGTTTAGTGCTCAAAGTACTCGAGCTGCATCTACTTCTTGCCTTTTTCAAAGACATATTGATATTAAGGACATCATGATTGCCGCGGGATGGACGCAAGAATAGACTTTTCAGCGATACTATAACATTCCAGTTATTAGTACATTTAATTTTGGACACGCTTTGCTAAGTGCTGATATTCACGTTGGTAAGCCATATGTTTGTTTCAAATATAGGGTATTTTGGTCTCCCTTTACCACGATGGCTCAATGACAGCTCTAGATTCTCGTACTCCTCCGTAGCGACGGAGTCGACGATGAAATAGAATTTATCAATCAAACTTCGCTTACAGGTAAGTCTCGTTTGATTGGTAAATTCTGATCATAGCATACCGCAACCATAGATATTATCCCCTTGATCGCAATTAATTTGCTATATAGGCTGAAGATTTTTAAAAAGATTTTTTATTCGATCGTTGAAGAAAATTTTAGCGACCATGTTCCCAAAGAAAGTTACGACTTTTTTTCAGACTTTTGATAATCCTCACCCAATAGAATACAGTGAGTTTACAGACAGCAAAGCTCAAGAATGCTAGTGAAAATCATAGTACTAAGAAACAGTGGGAATGCTAGTGAAATGCTTGCAAAGTACCAAAGACCTAAATGAAAATGCTCTTGCTCAAACATCATGCTTCCATTTGTTTGGAAGTTTCTAGAAACTCATTTACAGGCTGGAACACAAATAATAGTTTTAGAGGTGTTTAGCGATAATAACGCCCTGTTTACACGAGAGGGAAATCAAACGGTTCCGTTTGGATCTGATCTGGATCCCTTACACGAATTCTTCTATTTGTATCCGATCCACTGTGGCTCTCGGGTAAACAGCCAGACCGAAACGGAACCGAGCCAAATTGAAATCGATGGTGAAAAATGCAAGTTTCTGAGTGATGAAGCAGAGCACTGAAATTTTGTTATTTGTGTTACATTTTTCATTAACCATTAAATAGATAAAGAAAATTCTGGCTTAGATTTTACCTTTTTGGTGGTTATCTTGGAATGAAGCTTCATCTCAACAATATATTGTTTTTATTTCATAAGCACTAAATTTTGAATAAGATATTGTACGTTCTGGAAGCGTGGATAAGTTCTTAGCGGATCTAAAGTAAACGTGTCAATTTTTGCATCAGCTTCAGGGTACAGTATAAATTTAAGACCAGCTATGTTCTAAAAATGTACCCTTTGGTCGAGAAGAAAGCCAGCTTTGGTATGTTTCTAGCAAGCTGACTAACAGAAATGTTTAAAGTTAATTTTTATAATAGTATACTGCTGACCGTTGTAAACTTGGAATCATTTTGGCAAGGTCACTTTACAGGAACACGAGTAATGCACGATCAGCACACTTTCAATCATCGAATTTTTTTAAATTTGATGATACCATTAGAAAATCTTTAAAAACTGACGAAAAACACAGGGCCCATGCTACCGCAGGGGCCGGGGTGGCCATGCCCCCCTCACTTTTTTCGAATAAAGTAGTTTTAAAGCTGCTGTAAACGGGGAAAGAAGCCTTGACCCACTACTTTAGCTAGTTTTGCCCCCACCCCACTTTCAAATTCATGGCGTGGGCCCTGAAACAGTGAAGCATCAATGTCGTCTGACCTATACCCAAAAAGCAGAGCGCAAAAAGCTTTTCATTTTGTCAAACAACTTGCTGCTCTAAAGTTTAATGATAGTGCAGTCGCTTAGCAGTTGAATTGTGCATTTTATAATACAAGCATAATGCTTGGTACATGGACACAATTCTTGCACAGCAGTGAGCACTGTCGATACGTGTTTGGTTTCATTTACAACCAGTTTCAGTTAACGGTTCTAAGAGAAACACATTTGCAAAATAGACATTGCCTATTATAATCAATCTAGGCCACGATTTTGAATATGAAATTATATGTTGTTGACGTCGTATTTCTAGGAAATATGTAACGTGACCTGTTCGTTGCTTTAGTCTGTATGAATTCCTGAACAAATAAAACGGGGAATAAAGATTGATGTTATGTAACATGACATGGTGCAAGCTTGATGAAAACGTAGGCGTGTGTAACTTCGTAGAAATCTTTCTTTTTGGACGAAGTGCACTAAATACTGTGCTTTGCATGTTTTAAAGCTTGCGTTTTTACAAACTCCCTCGTTTCTCAATATTTACAATATACACCTAAATATTTCTGTCTCGTAAGGCCTTGAAGACATGTTATTCAAGAAAAGAATAGTCTTGAAAACGTCTGCGCTAGTTATCTAACAACCCTTAGTGTGGTAGTTGGCTGACACGAACCATAAATATTTTACAAGGCAGATCAACACAGTTATCTTAAATCGCTGGATGTAGACATTGTGCGTCATTTGACAAATTTTTTTGGTGTTATTTGCCGTTATGGAAGCTAGACAGGACGATGTCAAATGTTCTAAAAACACTGTAATTTATATCGATGGAAACAAAATCTGAAAACGTCGGTTCTATCCAGCTGCTTTTGTGCGAATGTCTTTCTGATAAAACTTACGGGATTTATAACACTATACTACAAAATCCAAGATGTGAGATTTTGTTCGTTCGAATGGTGAACTATGATGCACTTTTTATTATAAATTCTATTTTTGCAAAAGCTAAAAAAAAGATTTCATAAAAGCTCTATTAAGCTTCGAAGTCCTTCAAAGTCATCGCCAATTTCGGCACACTATATATTACACCAAACATTTTTCGACTAGCGCAACTTTTACCCAACTTTGAAAAGCCAATTTTCTTCAAACAGTGTCCCATTAGGGTGATCAAAGGTCTCACTGGGTAAAAGGTTGGATCTTTTGAACCAGGCTTAAATCCTTATCATATCTGATATTTGGAGACGCTTTTATTACTATACGGTTAAGCTGGTCTACAACAGTAATGGGTCTCCGTTTGTCTGTTTTGGGATAGCGAAACTGACTTCAACGTTGCAAGGATCGTCGTTCAGTAATAAAGCATTCCTTTGATCTTCACTATACATGCTGACCAATTTGAAACTAAACAACTACGAGATTTTTCATAGAAAGCCTATTTTAAACGTTCATCACCATTTTCCATCTTCTTAAAATTTAACAATATTAAATAATGCCGTGTCTTTTTGTAAATGAACGAGTTTCTATAGCTTCTTTAGATATAAGACTATGAATTGTTTAACTTAGTAGCATCAGACAGAGTTTTGCAGTTCGTAATTTAGTTTACGCGATTCAGAAACTCTTTTTTTTAAAGCTGCTAAATAAACTCTTTTCTTAGAAGTGCTATCTTGAAGAAATATTGAAAAGCGCCAAAATGTTTTTTAGAGAATGCCCCTTCCTAGCTGTGCTCCTTCCACCTAAAAATGCTTCTGACGTCCCATTTCCCAGCGCTGAACCATGAATATCCTGAAGATATTTTTATGTCGAAAAGTACTGTGGGAAGGATAGAATTACTGGATGGCGCTTTTGTTTGCGAATTATAGGAACAAAAATGGATATTAAAGATCTTTAAGCCGCCTTAGAGCAACTGAGCGTTACAGAATGTGTTTTTTGTATATATCATGTAACTTTATCATGAGTGCATATCGTATATGTGGGTGTATTTGGGTATGTATATATTTTTAGAGAACAAGCATGAAAATAATGTATATATCATGTAACTTTATCATGAGTGCATATCGTATATGTGGGTGTATTTGGGTATGTATATATTTTTAGAGAACAAGCATGAAAATAAAAGGAAAGCAAGAGAAAAGAACGCTATAACCCGCGGCTTTTGGCTGATATGCTGATTTTATCGTTCAATTTTAATCTAAGTGTTTAAGTAGGCTCCTTCTTGAAATCAAAATTTTCAGAAAAACTTTTTTTTTGAGATGAGCACCGAGATTAAAATCGAAGATAATATTGATATCAATATCACAGGGCAATCAATCAATCGATTTTTTCTCTACGGAAGAATCTACTATTCTTTCTTTCCCCTTCTATCATACCTAGGGATCAGATATAAGAACTAGGCTACTCCTATAAACCAAATACACCTGTTTTTACATTATACAGCTAATGATATTTCAACACTCAACTGAGTTACTAAGAGAAAGAGACATTTCACAGCCTCATATCAGATTCAAAGCATCAGTTTAAGTCAGTTTATTTTTCAATCTTTCTATCAGTTAACATGGCCTTTTTGGCAACTCTTGCAGCTCTCTCACCGACAACTTTGACTCTCTGTCTTCTTCCCATCATTATTAAACGCTATTCTCGTCTCCAAGCTTCAAAGTATCTCCATTTGCACCAAATACTTCGTTATTTCTGCTGTAAAAACAAAACTTGGACAAACCCAGAGCTACTTCCAATTCATCTTCTTTAAAGTACTACAGTTGTAATAGTTATATTTTGTGAAAAAGACTACCCATTCAAAAATCCAATTGGCAATAGAGAGACTTGTAGTTTAAAGCGAATTTGAAATGAAAAGTTTCCATTATCTACTTTTACCCCGGTATTGATTTTAAATAATGGTCCTTTTTCATTCTAGGCTCCAACTTAGCGCTTAGTATGTCTAAATTGGCCTTTCCCGGTATCAATTATCTCCTGACTAACCTTCCTGACAACTTTTTATACTGATTCAAGTCAAATTCAGTGAGGTCCAAATTTCTGGAGAGTTTGTCAGCTTAGCACTATTATCAAACGATTACATGTACAGCCATGTCCCTGTTATTCTGTCTTTCAACATTTTAAAAGAAATCTGATTGATTTATATCTTTTAAAGCCCATAGTATAGGGAGTACTCTGATATTTTTAATAGGGATGTTCAGGGTACTCTTTTGTGCTTGTAAATTTTGTAAAAATACTGCTTTGGGTTAAGCCATATTTTAAATTTCAATTTAAGCCACTTTTTTGTTTAGTCACTGGGTTTATGCGATGCTGAAATATTTTTCAGACCTCAAATGCTGCAAAACATTAAAAAAAAGTTTTGATTTTCAAATAAAGTTGAGAACACTAAAGCTCGTTAAGTTAAGGAAGTGTGTAAGTTGAGGAAGAGCAACTTTTTGGAGTTCCTAATTTCATAACCAACCTGAGCATCCCTAACCTGTAATCACCAGGGCACCTCACCCCTTCCCTCCTCTGGGTATGAAAGTCCTAAGAAATTGTTTGACATAATGCCTAAGTTGTGCACTCTTGTGTGCCTGCTGTATGTTATGATAATGCTTTCACTAGATTCCGAGGAAGAACTTTTCACTTGATCCCGAGGAACAATTAATCATTCTCTTTTCCTGATGGGAAACAGATGGATAATAAAGAGAGAAATAGCAAAATAAATGGTTTTTTCGAAAGCGTAAGAGATTGTTTTCGGTTCTGAAGTTTGCTCTCGATTCACGTGGCCTTAATGATTTTTTGTGATTCTTATTACTCTAATGAATTAGTGCCCGACTTATGGTATTGAATTTTGTAGCCCAAGAGTGTAGACGTAGAAACAGTAAGACAACTGAGAATATTCTTCTTCGTAATTTTTTCGAATGAATACTTTGTGCACTGCAATAATACTTGCTAACAATTTATTTTGCAAGCAAATAAATGCAAAAACAGAAATATAAAAAAACATTCAAATAACATCATATTTATCATCGATTTTAGACATAATAAACCATAGTATATGCAAGTCTTATGTACCATATATCAATGTAACGTGTAATAAAATTTGCAGTTTCCATAAAATATAAAAATGCACATTGGAAAAAAATTTAATCATATCTATGTCGATTATTTTAGCATCGGCCTTCTTATCATTTTAGCAGGCCAAATTGACACAATAAAGCGAGCGGGTAAGAAATTGATCGCAAGATTTATTCTGAATTCTTATTAAATTAACCAGTTTATCATTGTGGATACACGTATTGTGGAAGTCTTTTTGTTTTCGTGGTGATCTCGTATGCTTTTTATGAATGATGGAATCTAATATGTAGATAGAAAATGAAGGCCTTTTTTCCATAAGCAAATCTGAGTAGCTACTGATAAAGAATTTTGAAAGCAGAATTGATTTTAACAATAAGCAATGCCACTGCAATCAAAACACAGAAAGAATCACATCAGAACTAAAGACTTATGCTCGTACATGAAAATAAATTAAATTAAACACCAGTGAGAAACAGCCTTTGAGCTAACAATTAATTCAACTATTACTATTATTTTACCTTACATGCAAATTTCAATAAGATTTTTAAAACCGTAAAATCAATTGTCAATTAAAACCCCTGGCATAAGTCCTGTGAACCAGGGCCGTCGCTACGGTAAGGCGTGGGGGAGGGGATTGCATTTTAAAATCTAGTTGTTTTTGCTATGTAGGGATGCTTTGTCGGAAAAATTTTCTGACTTTTCAGAAAAAAAGGATTGGTTACTCACTTTGTCGGCAAGTGGAATCTGAGCATTTAAACTAAGGACGGCCCTGCTTGGGACGCCCAGCTGCAGAAGTGTTCTTTAGAAAAAAATTCAAGTAAAGAACACCGACCGCGCCCACTCTCCCCAAAAATTATTCTAGGTGATAAGTTGGCTATCATCAATATCTGAAAAGAAACAGCTGGGAAACGCTTAAAATCATATAAAACAACATTGTTTTAAAAGAGAGACAGGGATGCAATTGAACTTTGGCAAGAAATTGATTAGTTTGGGGTCTGGAACTCAGGCTACACTGCCAATACTCATTTCACCGAAATTACCTGTACATATGCACATCCTAAAATATTTGGAAAATTCGGTATTTCAATTAATTTTAAAGCCATATCTTGGTACTCTCATATTAACTTTCATAGATATGTGATGTTTCACTACAAATGTACGCCAAGGCAGGGAGAAAGTTTGTGTTGGTCAGCACTTATTGAATATTTAATGTCGGATCGATTATAAAAAAGATTTTCGTGTCGCTCTACTGTTCATTCGATGAGAAACCAACCAGTCAACCGAACAAGGTTGTCTTGCTCATCTCCTTTTGCCGTAGTTGTTGCGGAAAACTGAACTTTTAATCCAATTTTTTCAAACAAGACTGTTCGTAAGCTGCTTGTACCGTATTATTACGACATGGTTGGTTGCCAAATTACACTCAGATGGTTAACTTCATTTCGGATGTAATTTAATTGGAACTGATGTGACACCTGGCCATTGACTCTCGTCGGATAATTGACAACCGTTTAACATGTCAAAATTGCTGCAAAAAATTATTCTTAAATGTATTTAAGCTATGATTAAATGGGCGTTTTTGCCCAATTTTGATCCGCATTTTGCTCTATAACCTCCTCGTGCCCTTTTTGCAAAACTTGAACATGGCATAGCTGATAAAATACTAGCTAGTGTTAAATAATCAAACAACAATATTTGACCAAAATCAAAAATGCTTGTGAATTGTAGGCTATATTTAATTTCAATTCCGTAAAGATTAGCCGAACTTTCCATCGGATTCTTCCAATTAAATGTTATTTTCAATCGTATCTCCCACTGAAGAACAAGATAAAATGCAGAAAATGAACATTACAATTGCAATCATGTTGAAAGAATGGTGACGCGGGCACTGTATACCATTCGCCAATTTCCTACACATGTAAATATCCATCGTGAATTATATCTAAGAAACGCTATCAGAATCTGCAGTTACAAGATTCTTTTTAAATTTGCTTGTGAGCTACAGTTTTATGAATGTTGATACATACACACATATACAAATTGATTTTTTCTTGTTTTCTATTTACATCACCAAACTTCTACATCAGTGGAAGTAGAAATATATATTAAGAATATATTTAGTTTCCGCTTAAAGATGTTAGTGTTTTAGCCATGAATCTCCGTATAATTTTTAAATTGTTAATTAGTATTATGGCTATTTCAACCCACTTGTTTTTAGCAATTCACTTCTTTTAACAACGGATTATAAAACTTTTGTTTTCCTTATGATACATCTTGGCGAAGGTTCTGAGTTACACGATGCTGGGTTAGGTTCATTTCAGAGTTTGTTCATTCAAAATTGGGTTCATTTCCGATTGGTCTCACCTCGGATTGCGTTAATTCCGGGTAAGATTCACTAAGCGCTTTCTTCCATTTCGGAGGAGGCGTTTCAGTTAAGAATAGGCTGTGACAATCCAAAGTACTTCCTATTGCCAAACCGGTGTCAAGGTCAGGGACGCCGGAGCCAATAAAGGGCAAAGGGGGTAGAAATTTAGAAAGGGCATCTTCAGTGGCTAGATCGGCGCATATTTGCGCCGTAAGGTTACCCTTTTATCCGCTCCTGGCATCGTAGAAAAAGAAATTATTCCATTCTTTTATTTCATTTGAACTTTAACTTCGCAAGAGAGTAAAAGCATGTGACAATAATTAGCAGTAGGAGGCTGACAATAATTTTACGAAAGTAACTGTCAACGTTAATTCTTATGCTTGATATTTCGTTAATTCTAACTTTTGTTTTGTAATCATCTATTATTTTTGAGCAAAAAAGAATAATAGAAGCATAAGAGCCGTTGGGAATTGTGGTTAACGTTAAATCTTTGAATAATAAATGACTATATTCCGAATTGTTATTTTCTTATAAAGGACACATTTGCTCCTTCTGCCCCTCCTGGTGAATGGGAAGGGGGAGCTGCCCCCTTATGCCCCCTGCTCCAGCATCTCTGGTCAAGGTTATTATGTGCTGGCGGTTGATTGGAAGCCAATTCGAGGTATTCCGACTCCCAGTTCCTATCGTGTAACTGCTCAATTAGAAGCCTCCAAAATTGCACCTTCTTTACTGAATGCCTCCTGCTTGTATATTTTATCGCAAGGTTAACAAGTAGCTGGGGACAAGGCATTGCCCACTGTACTGTCAACATTTTCTTGCTTATTTTCTATTTCACCAGAGAGATATCATCCCTGATATTGTGCGATCATAGCATTGATTGACAATATTTCGTCGCCAAATGGCTCTGCTGCTTCGCCCAATACTTCATCTTGTTGCCTTCCCTCGCTTCTGTAATCCTCCTTTCTTTCTTCTAGCCCTTGCGTAGCTGTATGACCAACTGTAACTATTCCAGTAGGCGGTATATCCCCTGCTTCTGTTCGTGTATTACCACAACAAACTCTCTTAACTGCGTTTCTAAACTTCTTGTCGAGAAAGAAGTATAGGAGTGGATCGTAAATCGTGTACGACTTAGCAAAGTATGAAGGTACGCTGATTGCAATGGCGTTGTCGCGTGGTAGCTTGCCGATAATTCCGAGCGCCGACACAATAGCATATGGCAGCCACGAGGAAAGAAAGGAAAATAGCAAGGCGATGACAAGGATGCACATCTGATTTGCAATCTTTCTATCTTTGCCCAATTGACAAACTGCACTATGCTGGACTTCTCTTTGGTTTGAATTCTTTCGACATGGGCATTCTGTGAGTTTGAACACAACCTTTAGGAAGCCGAGGTTGAGAATAAAGATCATTGTTATGGGAATAGCAAAGGCGACAGTAATCAAGTAAATACCAAAGCTTTTGTCTGACCAAGATTCCGCGAATAGGTCAAACGAACATGACGTGCCGACACCTTCGATTTTATATGATGACCAGCCAAAAAGAGGAAAGACGCTAGAAACGGTTGCTAGGGACCAGGCAATTATGAGACCTCGTGTAACGTTTTTTGTTCTAGTGATCTCCTGATAAGCAAACGGATAGACTATTCCAATATATCTCTCAGCAGAGAGCAAGACTAGGTGATAAATGCTCCCTATACCACCAACACTGGTAGTAAAAGCGTAATACGAGCATGCTTTTCCTCCAAGGCTCCATTCCTTAACTGCATTTGAATACACTACTAGAGGGTAGGCAATCGCTGGAGCTATGGCATCTCCAAGAAACATGCTAAATAATATCCTCATTTGTGGCTTCCAACCTTGAAATTTTGTTGCCAAAATATAACAAGCCATAGAATTGAAGAGCACACTGCAAAATGTAATAACGGAGACATAAAATGCTGTTGCCACATAAAAACCAGAAGTAACGTTCTGTTTTGTAGTCCCGTTCTCAGTAATCATTTCTTTATCTTTTTGTCTTTATCAACTACGTCTACCATACCAGCTAGGTATTCTAAATGCTTTTGAAGTTGTTTTGTTATAAGGTCCTTCATTCTACCTCCTTCATTGTTTCCTGCAATTGCATGCAACCATAAACAATCAAAGCCTCGTTTTCAAGATCGTCTTCAATTGTTCATCTTGTCATGATTCATCCGCTAAAATGCAAAGTGTTCGTTATTTAAGTTATAAATTGATCTCAGAAGTTTTGAGTATTTTTGTTACTGGTTAAAATGATGAATATTAATTTGATGCTTTGTTGAAATCCGTAAGGTTTTTAATTATTCATAAAGTTCTTGTTAAGAAAAATACGAAGCAATCATCAGCTGGACAATTGCAATATAAAATATATAACGTTATGTACAACCCGCTTTGGAAACATAAACCGTGAACTCTTTAACTCAGCTTTTATTAATTCACATGTTTTGAAGTTGGATATGAGGCTCTAGACTTGAAATTTACTTCGGGGAGCTTTCAAATTAAACGTGTTTTCGGAGACTTCTGTTTAAATGAAATCAAGCAGTGAAAGTATGATAAAACGAAAGGATAACCAAACAAACAAAGTTAAACCTGTTTATCATTCTTGTGATGAAGCTAAATTAAATTACTGCCAGAAAAGTGTTCACCTCATATTGATAGGTCATTTGCTTCGAAAATTCTAAAGCTATGTTCACATTGCTCCGTATTCGTTTTTATCCGTTTTCATATCGAAAACGCACTTTGAAAACGAAGACTTTTGAAAACGGAGACTTTCGAAAACGCAAAGCGCAGTGTGAACACCGAAAACGGATACTTTTGAAAACGATAACAACAACAACAGCGCAGCAAGATGCTTAGACCGCGCCAATTTGAACAAATTTTCTTAACATGGCTGATTCACTCGAAGTTAATACACTACTTGGAGGAATATTTGTAAGGTCTGTAAACCAGTTCGTGGCGTTTTCCTTTTTAGCCTGAGTGGAGCAATGTGAACGCTTCATCGTTTTTACGCCGTTATCAAATGTATCCAGAGCAGTGTGAACAGGTAAAACGGATCGATATGAAAACGGATAAAAACGAATACGGAGCAATGTGAACATAGCTTTAGATTCCTTGCAGGGTATTTTTGGCAGGTTATTCCTGGTGATAACAGAAATAAAGTGTGTAGAAATAAAAGCGCAAATTAATTTTCGGAGATTGAAAAAGATGAAATTTTACAGAAAAACTGACAAAGAATTATAATTTCAGGGACCGCGGAAGTGGGGGAAAGGGCTACAGGGGCTTTAGCCCCCCAAACATTTTTAAAATGTACTTCAATCATAAAAGTGGCCCTGTTTTTGGCTTTTAGCATGTTTAGCCCTTAAAACGTTTTAGCCCCCTCTATTTGAAATATGCCCCGCGGTCCTTGCATTTTGTAACAAATTCGATTTCTAAGAGTGTCTATAACCCTTCTCTGCCCTACCCAACCACAGCACTCCTGTGTTGAAAGTGTCCTTCTATCTAAAAATATTTTATCCTAACAAAACGATAAAAAATATATTTCAGACACGGGCGAAGCTGTTTCAAGTGATTCATCCAAAAACCAATTTACTGGTTTTATAGAAATTCTTGTGCATACTATTCTTACTTTCTACCTGTCTCTTAAGATGATAACTTTCAGGAAAATGGAGATAAATTTCTTGAAACATTGCACCCTATTTTATCAAAATGAAGGGATAGAAACCAGAACGAGAAAGACAACTTGCTTTGAAAACAATCTAGTAGGCTGTATACAAATAACCCACTGAAAAGTCGAATGGGAAATGCAACCGTACTGTTATGTAACTTGATACATTGACTCATTTAGCAAAGATTTAATTCTTACTAAAAGTTTTCAAATTTTCCCCTCGTTTTTTGTTGATTTAGTTTATTCTTAAGGAGCCTTCGAAAACGCTATTGTTCATTGGCAAATTAGCCTTGCTTCATGTTTAACGACATCATCAAGATAAAATGGAGACATTTGGAGCTTAATGGCTTCGATAAAAGTCCTGAATAATCCCCGAACTGACAAGTGGGTTGTGCGGATGTAAGGAGCCTTAGAAATACGCCAATATTCATCGGCAACTTTGCATTGCTCGATATTGGACTAGGTCATCAAGATAAATCTAAGGTATTTGGAATAGTAATTGTAAGGGTTAGAGATATTCCAATCTGCAACACATTGAAACTGATCAAATTATGTAACTTGACTCGATGGAAAATAAAAAGGTTTCCTACCTTATGTTACTAGCAGTCCGGTTTAGACGTCGTTTCAAAGTAATTTACCTTTCTATTCAGCAATGATTTTTGATATTGTGTTTTTTGGGTCACAGGCAATCAAACTGTCAAATGCACGTTAAGACTTTGAGTCCGTGCAAATATCGCCATCAATGTTGTGTATAGTAGCTACTCATAGCAAGAAGTTCGTTTGTCGAGACAACTGCAAAAAGTTGGATATTGAGAACGAATCTTACTTTTAAAGCAAGTGCTTCGGCAAAAGTTTAAGCTTACAGAAAAATGAAAATATCACGTTGTACTACATCATTTATAAGCTTCCCATTTGCTATTGCAAAATTCTAGACAACCTACCGACTTCAAGACAACCTCTTTAAAGGATATTATGGAGCAACGGTCATATTTATCGCTGCTATTTTTACATAAGAAGTTCGCTTTGATGATTCATTGCCGTAATCCCTGTTTTTCGATTTCGACATAAGCACCATGCTTAAAGTACAAGCCAGCTTACCTGGTTATTAAAGTACAAGTACAAGAACCAACTCATTACGCGATTAATTGACACTAAGACTTTTTCAACAGTCTAGTTTTACGGCGCTTGAAATGTCTGCTGAATGCTGGTGTTTTTGATCGCTATTTGTTCAGTTGTTGCTTTAATTGAACGTCGCTCGAATTCCTGGTTATTTTCTCACCGATGTATTCGTTAATATAGCGAAGAGATATCCGTTACATCAATTCTCGTCTTTCCTTCTGAAAAAGTCGAAATAATTTTTATTCACGAAATAGGCTATTAAGTCTTGTTTGAATATAGCTTCAACAGTGTTGCTCTTTCTGAACGAAACTCTCATTTCTTTAAGAATGTCAGTGTTTATGCAGACAGGTTTTAGACTCGGAATCTAGTTTACGATGAATATGAAACGATCCTTATATTAACAACAAAGGTGTTTTAAAATGAACAAACCTTTATAAGAAGATATTAGATACACAGTCGAATTCAGCCAGCTAGACGTTCTGTGCTTCTATGTAATGTTTCTTCAACCTACAGCTGGTTTTATAGGCCTTGATTTGTACATTGATCAATATGTAAATCTGCCTGATCAGTTTCGCAGCAACGCTAAAAAAGTTGTCAACAACGTGAAAATTTTTCTCAGTACTAGCAAGCTACAGAGATCTTACCTATGTACTTCGTCTTTAATTTTTAATAGAGAGAAACGCATGCTTAATATCACCTGGGGTTCAATCTGCCAGAGAGTTATGACACGAAATGCAGCAGAAGGTCTATAGAATCCCACCAGTCATATACAAGTTTCAACATTTCTGCGTAAAATTCTTGACAATCAATAAAATTGATCAAGAAATACTTTCTGTTAAATAAACATCAAATCTAGGTTTAGATAAAGGAATTTAAGAGGAAATCTGCAAAGCGTAACGCCAATAAAATAAAAGTGGTTTGAAACATAAGTGCGAAGTAAAAGAATTGAATATAGAAATATTGATTGGTTGATTTTTGATTGAAAGGTGGCTTAAGCCCCTTTGGTTGATTGTGCTGCATAAGCCTGGGAAGGAAGCTTGATACGATGCCCCCCCCCCTTACATGTATATACATGGGCTCTGACAAAGGTTGAAAAGTGGGGGGGGCAAGGAAAAATTTAACACCCATAACAAAAGATTTTGAAAAAAAATCTATTGTTTTGCAAAAAAGTGGGGGGGGGGCAAGGCCCCCGGCCACCCCTTTGTCGGAGGCCCTGATATATTCACGGGTTTTGGAAAAATCGTATATACCATTCTTGACCCTACGTGAAACCTGAAAATTCGTCCTAACGTGGAATCTTAAAGTACTCTGTTTGCGGCAACAAACAGGATGCTATAGCTTTAAAAATTAAAGAGCAAATTTATTTGATTGGAGACTTTTCAATGACTGACTCTTTTTGGGTTTTACGTGCACACGAAATAGTACCTTTTTCTCAAATTTCCCTATTCAGCCCCTTCGTATAACATCTTTTTTTGTATCCTAAGGTATCAAGAAGTGCATGTTTTAGCTATGGCATTCTACAACTACAACTACAATATTCTTATTCATGGAAAACCATAAACGTTGTTCAGAAGGAGATACGTTTCCTGAACTTTAAGCTAGGATGAAACACTGTGGCCTTTTGAAAAGTCCCTTGTTATACATACATCATTATGCCTTTGTTTGGCACGTGACAAATTTCGTTTTTATCAGCTTTAATTCGCCATTAGGTCGCTATGTTTGCTAGCTACAGTGATATTAGGCACAATCAAAGGCACAATAAAACAATCGCGATGTGCAAAGTGTCATTTTGCTCCGTTACTCAAAACCTGAGCTGAAGCCATCTCTCTATTTTGAATTCTCATTTCGCGCTGAACGTGTATGCGACGTTGGAAAGCAGATTACATCTTCACCACGGCGATAAGCCTTTGGTTTCTTTTGCATCTATAGCCGTTCGCATCATCCTCTTGTTATCAATGCCGTCCATTGGCACGTATCTGCTTAGTAAGAAATTCGTCAAGTACTTGACAGGAGGAGCAATATTTAACAAAGAGAATATAGAATCGAGTTTTTGTTGCTATTGCTACAGAATCAACGTAGCTTTAGCTTGGTTATCTCCATAAGACAACGCAGTGAATGATTTGTGCTGTGTTGTCAGATCTGATAGAATTCGTCAACATTTTGAAGCTGAAGCTTAAAGAAGATGTTGGGAAACCAAGAGAGAAGTGAAATTCTTCGTAACACAATATTGCAAAAATATTAAAGGTATTAAGGCAATCCATTGATACAAGAGCAGACGGCTTCATAACTTTCTTGTACAGACATGCGCAGTCAAATGAAGTTAGAAAATTGATCACATGAAATGTGAATTGTTCCATTTTGAGGCTGCTTTCGCTGCTCACATGATCCCACTCCCAAGCTTATTGATTGACCAATAGCTGATTGGCAGATAATGTAACACACTTCAGCAACAATTCCCTTTTATTCTCAAAACATTGTCCTTGACCAAGGTTGCTGATCACTCTCGATCCGATTCAGAATTCGCTGTTCGGATCAGCCTCGGGGGAAATTAAAGTAATTCGATACACTTGTGTTTCGTTATCCGCATCAATTCTGATCCTGCCAGTGGCGGATTCAAGGGGGGGCAACTAGGGCCAGTTGATCCTCCCTCAACGAGTTAAAGCAAGTCTGGTGCCCCTTTTCTGGAAATTGTGCGCCCCTTTTGAGAATGAGAATCTGGTGAAATAGCTTCTGAGACCGATAGGTCAACTTTCTTCAAGGATTACCTCAATGTTATGTTGTTTATTCCGTAAAAGGATCTGAAATTGTTGTATACAGCGAACTCTCGTCACCAATTTTTCAAATTTTTTAGCGCCCCCACTAAAACCAACTGCCCCTCCTTCATATTTGCTCTGGATCCGCCCCTGGATCCTGCTACCTAGGCGGATACTTTTTACATCAGGTCACTTTTCTGTCAAATCACTGTCACTCCACACTGTGTATAAGCAAGTGATCTGGATCAATTTTCTGTGTTCGGGCATAGCGAGGGTTTGTCTCAAGCAAAGAGACTCTAATCTGGATTTTGGTTGAACAGGTTGGCGTCCCATTTTCATCGCTAAACTTTACTTGTAATTTAACATGACAAACCTTCAACAAAGTAAACTGATAATTAGAGAAGGGATCTTGTTACCTGTGCACTTTATCATTTCCAGTGTAGAACCTGCTGGCTCATCATTGCTCTGAAGTCCATAAATACTCGTTACAAAATGTTCGATGTAAGTGCCACGTGACCATACAAAATATCTCATTTTTCCAAGCTTTTTGTTATTTGGGTGGCACCTTAACGTGAAAATGGCAGTCAGTGGTACATCAGGCGATGTTAATGTAATGTGTACTTCGGCAAACTTTTCAGCGTTCAATGACTAGCATCTCCTTCGATCGAGTATCGTGTAGACACATCAGCCAACTTTGTTTCTTTATCCGTTTAAAAAAGGGTTATCCCCATTATCATCAAATTATTTCATCTGTCCATTTTGTCATTAACATGCCACAGCATGTTATGTTTTCTGGAGTTTAGGAAAGCAGCATTTAAGTTGCTGATGTTTCTCAGTTAATGACCGGATTCCAATAAAGTTCAAAATATTAATTTCTGGCTCCGGACTCTAATAAAATAGGATTTTTATTTCACGTTTTAACTGTATTCACAATAAGAAGGTAAGCGTAAAAGCATCTTTCTGGCAACACCGATTTCGCTTTACAATTTCACAATGCAGAGCTGACTTATCTCTATTAATAGGATTGTCTTCTTTTGTTTCCTCGCCTAAATTTTACTAAATTTGCAAAATAAGAATCTATTTACATGATAGTCAACGTGTTCCTAGTGTATAGTCTGCTGGCTCTTTCTATAGCTTCAAAAGACACGCATTTGGGCCTAAGTCCTACGTTCAGAGAGCCCTCACTTTGGCAAACTCACAATCGATAACTAACAGCACCAAATGAAAGCTTAGAGGGGAAAATTAATGCCCGTTACACAAACGGGAAAACCGCATTGCTGGGTAATAAAGACGTCACACTCACATGTTAAGGGGAATTGTCGAAGAAAAATTATAACAAAAACGCAACGTGAAGAAATAACACGAGACCGATCAATAAATAAACACGTTGCATTGGGATAATCCCTAACAGTAGGGCCAAGATAAGCTTGCATTAACCTGCAATTTTTGTCATCTTGGGTAACCTTTGTGGCTGGGTTTACTTTGGTTTCGTTTGTGATGGCCCCGAGGCAATCACAGCCACTAGGCAGAATCAGAATCGTTAGAACCATTAACTTCTCAAAGCTGGTGATAGAGTTACCCCTAACAGTGCGCCTGCCCTGGTAGTAAATACTTCAATAGAAAACGAAGTGATTGTTGACCCAGGACTAGGGTTATTCCATTGCTAGGGATAATTACTATCATATGGAAAAATAACTGTCCTGGTAGCGAATACGTCAATGAAAAATGAAAGGATTGTTGAAACAGAACTAGGGTTATCCCACTGCTAGGGATAATTACTGTCATATGGAAAAATAACTGTCCTGGTAGCAAATACGTAAATGAAAAATGAAAGGATTGTTGAAACAGGACTAGGGTTATCCCACTGCTAGGGATAATTACTATCATATAGAAAAATAACTGTCCTGGTAGCAAATACGTCAATGAAAAATGAAAGGATTGTTGAAACAGGACTAGGGTTATCCCACTGCTAGGGATAATTACTACCATATGGAAAAATCTCTGTCCTGGTAGTAAATATGTCAATGGGAAATAAAAGGATTGGAGGACTAAGGGTTACCCCCACTGCTAAATATTGGTGTTACTCTTGCCAATTTACATTTTTCAGGGAAAACCTTCCGCCAAAACGACTTATTAAATTGTATTGTAAGAGTTACACAAATCAGTTCTGCTGCATCTTTTAGTACTTTTGTAGGGATTTTGTCCGGTCCTGATGACTTTGATTCTTCTAGCCCTTTTAGTGTTGCTAGTACCCAATGGCTTGTGGCGGATTTGAACCTAAACCTAGCAGGTTTTTCTATGTTTGTTAGATGTTGAGTGTCATAAAGTGAACCTTCATTATTATTATTATTATGAGTAATATGCTGAACCTTGCTTTGGTTGCCCTGTGCAACAATTGTTTTGTTATGCTTTGTTATATTAATAAGGGTGTTATGGAATTTTAGTGGAGTTGTGTTTTGGGATTCGAATATGAAAGTAAACGAAGTGTCTTCTATAAGAATTGGCCTACGGAATTAAGAGAATATAACATTGGCGACGAGGATAAAACCATAATAACATAGCATATGTTATGAAGGATGGCTTTCAGTCTAAATCTACACCCACTTCCTGAATTTGATCCAGATATTGAAGTTGGTGCTAGTCTTTCTACGAGATGGCGACAATGGCTTCGTGATTTCGACACATATATTCTTGCCAGTGGTATAAGAGATCTTGGACGCAAACGAGCCATTTTACTTCATCAAGCAGGTTCCCGAGTTCGCGAAATTTTCAGCCAGATTCCTGATACAGGCGCTGCCGCTGATTATGAACTGGCTCGTGATAAACTCACTGCATATTTCGAGCCTCAAACAAACCGTCGGTATGAAGTGTACAAGTTTCGCCAAACTCGCCAGGAACAAGGGGAGACCTTAGATCATTTTCACACACGGCTCCGACATCTTTCTGTCAATTGTACCTTTACGGATACCGACTTCGAAATCGAGGAACAAATAATTGTTGGAGGCATTTCTAACAAAATTAGAAGAAAAGCGTTACGTGACCCAGACTATTCGCTAAAAGATATGTTACTTGATGGCAGAAGGGATGAAATGAGCGAATTCCAAGCGAAGGAAATTGAGTCAAAAGAAGACATGCAACAATACACTCATCGGTTTACGGCTTCAAACAAGGCAGGTAAACAAAAATTGACTGTACCCCCGAAATGTGGAAGCTGTGGTGGTGCACGACACCCAAAGGATCAATGCCCAGCGTATGGCAAAACATGCCATAAATGTGCAAAATCGAATCATTTTGCAGCTGTATGTCGGAGTGCAGCTCAGGACAAGAGACCGAAATCCGGTAGGCCAAACAAACCTCAACGTTTCTCAGTCAAGCCATTGAATTATTCGACACAGTCTAGCGACGATGAATACGTTTACACAATACAACAGAAATCCACAGGGTGTCCTACAACAACAATTTCTATTGCGGGAAAGCCAATATCAATAATGATTGATACCGGCGCCTCCATCAACGTGTTGGACAACACAGCCTTTCAACAATTAGAGGGAATTGAATTACGTCCAACCAAGGTCAAGGCATTTGCCTTCAGTTCAAAACAGCCCGTCTGTTTCAAAGGAAAATTTGAAGCTCTTGTCGAAACAAAGCAAAAATATTGTGTCTCAACATTCTACGTTGTGAGCAGCAAAGATTCAGGATGTCTGCTATCCATGGCTACCGCACAGGAGTTAGGACTTATCAGCTTGAATCTAAGTGCAATTAAGCCCGTTGATGTAACAGATGAGAAACTTTCAACTTTGCTGGATAAATATCGTGATGTATTCAAAGGTTTAGGAAAACTCAGAGACACTGAAGTGCAGCTCAACATTAATCAAGAGGTTATACCAAAGGCTCAACCCCCAAGGAGAATCCCATTTCACATTCGTCAGAAAGTACAGGACGCTGTGAAGGAGCTTCAAAGACAGGATATCATAGAGCCAGTACCTGAAAATCAGCCAACACCATGGGTCTCACCCATCGTTGCTGTTCCGAAGAAAGATGGTTCAGTGCGAATTTGTGTGGACATGAGGATGGCTAACCAAGCCATAGACAGGGTTAGATATCCTATACCCACAGTGAATGATATAAGCCTAGAGCTTAATGGTTCGAAGTACTTCACAAAGCTGGACCTTTCACAAGCGTATCACCAACTACCTCTTGCAGAGGAATCGAGGTATATCACAACATTTTCCACACATTGCGGTTTATATCGTTACAAAAGATTAGCATATGGAATTAATGCTAGCGCTGAAATTTTCCAACACTCGCTTCAGCAAAATCTTCAGGGCATCAAGGGTGTGCAGAACATAGCAGATGACATAATTATTTTCGGTGTCAACAAGGAAGAGCATGACATCGCCCTTGAGAAATGTTTGCGACGTCTACAAGAAAAGGGATTCACGTTAAATGCGAACAAATGCAAATTCTTGCAACCCACATTAGACTTCTTTGGACAGATATTCTCTGAAAAAGGGACTCGCCCAGATCCAAAAAGAATTCAGGATTTGCAAAACGCTTCAATTCCCAAAAATGCAAGTGAAGTGAGAAGTTTGTTGGGAATGGCTAATTATAGCTCCAAATACATCCCAAATTATTCAACAATTACAGCTCCATTGAGAGATCTTATCAAGAAGAACTCGATCTTTTCGTGGAAAAAGGAACATCACAATGCGTTTGAACAGGTAAAACGAGCGCTTACCTCTTCACCAGTTATGGGATACTTTGATATAAACAAATCTACTAGTCTGACAGTTGATGCCAGTCCTGTAGGCATTTCAGCCATCTTATCGCAAAGCTCAAAAGAAAAAAAGGACCATCAAGTAATTGCATATGCTAGTAGGTCCTTAACAGATGTGGAAAGTCGTTATTCCCAGACGGAAAAGGAAGCTTTGAGCATAGTATGGGGCATTGAACATTTCCATTTGTTTTTATATGGTCAACCTTTCACACTTGTCACAGACCATAAGCCTCTAGAGATCATATACGGATCGCCAAGCTCTAAGACATCAGCCAGGATAGAAAGATGGGTTTTACGCTTGCAGCCATATCAGTTTACAATTAAATATAAACCTGGCAAAGAGAACGCTGCGGACTACCTATCTCGCCATCCATCTGCTAAAACATCAAAAGAAACAGAGTTCACTGAGGAATACATAAAGTTCGTAACTTCTAATGCAGTTCCTAAGACAATGAGTCTGCATGAGATTGGTAAAGAAACCAATAGCGACAAAGAACTCCAGAAACTTCGCGCCGCTATTCGCTCAGGTGCGTGGGAATCGGTCGATTTGTCATACCGAGCAATCAAAGAAGAACTTTCGATCGGTGCTCAGAATATTATTCTTAGAGGCTCAAGAATAGTCATTCCTCTATCTTTACGCCAAAAGGCAATTGACATCGCGCATGAAAGTCATCAGGGACTGTCCAAAACAAAAGCTATGATCAGAGAGAAAGTGTGGTTCCCAAAAATAGATGACTTAGTTAAAGCAACGAGTGATTCTTGCCTTGCTTGTCAAGCAACAGGTAAAGAAAACAGACCAGAGCCATTGCAATTGAGTGAATTACCAACAAAACCATGGGAGAAACTACACATAGATTATTATGGACCACTGCCAACAGGTGACTATCTGGTAGTCATTATTGATCGTTACTCGCGTTTCCCAGAAGTAGAAGTTGTTTCCTCCACAAAAGCTTCAACACTTATACCTAAACTAGATCGTATCTTTGCTGTGCATGGAATTCCCGACAAGATACAGACGGATAATGGCCCTCCTTTCAATGGAGATGAATTCAAGCGTTATTTACACATATTGGGAATAAAACATGACCGAAGTACTCCAAAATGGCCACAAGCAAACGGAGAGGTCGAACGTTTCAACCAGCCGCTAGGCAAAGTTATTCAAGCAGCGATCGTGGAAGGAAAACCGTGGAAGCAAGAATTACAAAGGTTTCTTCTACAATATCGCACAACACCGCACTCTACTACGAAAGTTCCACCGTGCGAACTTTTGTTCAACAGACAAATTCGTGGAAAGTTCCCAATACTGAAACGGAAAAGTATTATAAACAAGCACAAGATCGCTCGAGAAAATGAAGAGAAGTCACAGAAATATCAGAAGATGTATATTGACAAGAAGAGACACGCGAAAGAAAGTGATATAGCAATAGGAGATACGGTACTCGTGAAACAACAGTATAAGAACAAGTTCTCATCAAGATTTGATAAAGCCCCATACAAAGTTATCCAACGTAAAGGGACGATGATTACCGCAGAGAACAAAACAAGACGTATCA